TTTCATTTGTCTTTCAGAATTCTTCTGATCCCCTCCACTATTTAATGCTGCCGCAATTCTTTGTGTTTCATAAGCAGCTGCTTGTGAATATAATGGATTTGAAATATTTGGTGTTAATATTTGCGGTATTCCTGCTGATTGTATTTCAATAAATGGTGTTGATTGATCAGAAGAAGACGAAGACATTGTTGTTGTTTCTAACAAGTGTTGCTGTTTTTGATGTTTTCTTAATACTTTATTTGAAGGCGATGAAGAGAGTTGTTGTTGTTGTAAATGAAGATTTTGTGCTTGATTGCTAAAAAATAAAAAGAAAATACAATTTTTCAAATTCTAATTTCTCAAAATTTAGCTAACAACCTTAAAAAATCAAGAATATAGAATTATTGATTATATCAATCGTGAGAAGATATTTTACTCTCACACTCTCTTCCTTCGCCTTTTAATTTTAAAATTACATCAGACATATAAAAGCTATTTTTAAATTAAAGTCTATGTTAGAAATGTCAAATTGAAAAGAAAATCAGTAAATAAAGTCTAGATTTTGACTAGACTTGAAAAAAGAAAAAATATATTTACCTATAATTAATTAACATATTGGCAGCATCATATTCTCTTTCAGAGTATAATTGTTGTTGTTGTAAAGGTATACCATTGTCATTTCCCGCAATTGATAGATGCGTCGGAAGATGACTTCTTGTTGAGGACAAAACTTGTTGTTGTTGAGATTGGTTTTTTAATGTTGTTGTTGCTGTATTCAATCTTCCTCTTCCATTATTTTCTATTAATGCATTTGAATATTCAATTGGTTGATTTGTTGTTGGTAGTTGATTGGAGGAATATTCTGAAGAGCCATAAGGGTAATCTGTTGACATTATTTCTTCAATACTTGGTTGTAATGAGAGCAATCCAGGTTGTAATATATCAGCATTATCACATTGAACTTAAAATTAAAAAAATTTTTTTATAAACTTCTACAGAGGCATTTAATTTTTGCTTAAGTTAAAAGTAGAGTCCAATTCTTTTATTTAAAAAATTTACCAGAAGTTTCCTCTTTTGGATTTGGAAATAAAAATGGCGCATTTAATTGTTCGAATAGTTGATTGGTGAATTCATTGTCCATATCATCATCAAAATCAAATAATGTGCCCAAAAAACATTCTAAATTTTATTAAGTTAAAAAAATCTGTGCAGAAGTTAAACCTGTAGCCATTGTACTTAAATTATCTGGTGTCATACTTCTCAAAAATTGTTGATTGTTTAATAAAAGTTGTGAATGATGACTTGAAGATTCATTCATAGGAATAAGAAGATGGTGATGATTTGATGTTGATTGATCACAACTGCAGCTATGTCCCTTAAAAAATTTAATTGAACAATTTATAAGAGACATACTCGAAACAAATAATCCAAGAAAGTCGAAAATAGGTAAAGGTTATCGATGTTATACCCTATATAATGATACTAAAGCAGGACAAGGCTCTTGCAAGTTCGAATGAGTCCCAAGTTAGTGAAATATTTAAAATTTACCCTTCTCCTGCAGCAACGCTTTCTTCTTGAAAAATAGGCCCTCCAACGCTTATATTGTGCACAAACTGCTTCCATTCTAAAAAGAATATAAGATGATTTTTCTTAAATATTTTAAACCTTCTCTTCCAATACATTCCTTCGAGAACACTTCCCTAAGGATTGAATTTTTAGCCATTTACAATAAAACAAAAAACCTCAATCTTCACATGAGTCATGTCGTCATCCGGGACAGAGAAGTAGCAATATGGCGACCGTCGCTTTCTTCCAGGTTTGCGAAATTCCATATAGTAGGCACGCCAGATAACATTATTTAGACGAATTCTATGTTTCCATTGCAGTTTGATTCCCTTTAAAAAACGGAATAAATAAACTTAAAGTCTAAAAGAACCTTAAAATCTTTCCATTTAGGCGTTGTCATCTTCATATAAGCCACTCTGATGCATTTGTTCAATTTGTTTAAAGAAACATCAATTGCAATCGATTGAGTTTTTTGAGGTCCAAATTTGTAAAAGGTGACGGGTTTTTCGGCATCCTAAAATTAAATTTTAAATTAATATTTTGCAAAAATGACAGGGAAAAAAACTAAATCAAATAAATAATCGAAATGCGTGAAAAGGATTCGAACTCTCGGCCAACAGTGATAAGTCAGTAACACTACCACTACACCACAAGTGCTCTTAGCGGTAACTGCTAATTAACGCAATAAATATGGCCTTGTATTTTGTCCAAATCTTTTTACTAAACAAAAAATCTAGACCTTTTCCTTAGCAGCATTTTTATCAAGTGGAGCAGTGGAAACACATTCATCAACGTCGACGACATCTACCTACAAAATAAATGTATCTTGATACTTGTTTACAATTCAAAATAACCTCGACATCCTCATCTTCATCGTCTGGTGATAATTCACTGTGGGGATTTGAAGTCATAAAATGGCCGCTGTGTATTGGTTCTTTGGACATCCTTATTACTTATTAATTAGAGTTGTTATTAGATTATAGAAATCACTAAAAATAGAAAACATAAATTAATTCCTTAAAACAACAAAATAAGAAATATACAAAAATGAACAGTTTTTAAAAATGTAAATTGAGAAGTTAAACATGCACCTAGAAACCTATGCGAAACGTAATACAACGCCCAATTTTGCATAAGTTAAACCGCAGGGTCTTAGCTCGTGAAATTTTTGAAAAGAATTTTAGAAAAAATGTTGAACATTCTGCCGTCTCCGCAATTTAACGTTCTTCTCAACTTTTTCGAGATCAGGGACGTTTGAGTCTTAAAATTTTTTATGGCCGTTTCAGCGCCAAACCGTCAAATCTTCTACAGAATATTACTGTTTTAGCGCCTTCACTCCAGGTATTAAGTGAACAATGAAAAAATAAAGGACGTAAACAAAATATCTTTAATAAATTATTGCCAATGAAATAAAAATAAAATGGATAAAAAATGTTGGGGAAACACATTGGCTGGGTTAAACGTCGATATCTCCACGTGATGATGCAAAAAGCATTTCCCAACATTTTCTCTTTGTCGCGTCCTACACCGCTCTTTTTTTAATTTTTTGCTTTAATATTTGGGAGTTTCCTCTCTTGACGTTATTTTAAAAGACAAACAATTGAAGACTTGGAAAGATCAAAATATCAACTAGGAAGAGAAAATCAACAAGGGAAGACAGAAACAAAGAAATAAAATTATAAGGCGCCGAAAAAGTTATTCCTCCCCAAGAGCATTTTCTAGGGGGTTTTCCTTTTTAAAAGATTCTCAAAATAAAAATAAAAACACGCACCATAAAATAAATAAAAATAGGCTACTTGAGATAAGAAAAAAATAATATTTATTAATAAAGTTTGTGATATGAGGAATTAATAAGAGGAATTAATAAGAGGAATTAATAAATAGATTGACTAAAATAGTAGTGTGTTGCTGATAAGAAAATAAAAGAGTAAAATGTGAAATAAAAATAATTTTTCTCGTCAAGAAAAAAAATATATAAAAATTCTTTTCTGATAATAAATGGGAGGAAAAAGTTGATATTTTTTGAAAAAACATAAAAATATATATTTATTGTTTGTTAAAATTTACTCTGGAATCAGGTGACTTTTTGTAGAGCAATTAATATAAAAATCTGTTCAATTTTTAAGTTTTTTTTTCAAACATTTTTTGAATACTTGGCAAACAGAAAGAAAAATAAAATAAAAAGCACAGGAAAGAATACAAGCTACAAAAGAAAAAAATTTTAGAGATGATTGAAAGGAGTTTTGATGCGAGAATATACCAAGTAATGATGAATGGGACCTCAATTCAGACCGCATTTTCGGTCTCTAATATATAAGTCAGAATTTAAAAAATTAATTAAAAAATATAGAAAAGAATAAGACATGAAATTAAAGGAGAAATCAAAGAAAAATTAAAAACTTGAAAAAAATATTAGACAGAAGATTATGAAATTTGACAGACTTGTTTTTCTAAGGAATTATGTAGACACCCATATTATTAATTTTCCGGGCATTAAAAATCAAATGAAAGAGTGCACATGTACTTTTGTTCTTTAATTTCTTAAGAATTGTTTTGACTTTATATTTTTTAATTGATTAGCTTCAAAGAATAAAAAAGAAAGAAAATTGAATCGTATTGGAAGAGATTTGAATTAAATTAAAAAAATAGACCAAAAGTCCTCCACTCTTTCCTCTGGGAAACCCCCAAAAATATTTTCCTATGAAAAAAAAAAGAAATGCAAAAAAAAATAAAAATCACACAACAACCAAAAAATTCTTCGATCAATCAAAAAGAGCCTATGCAAGCAGAAAAAGTAATAAAGAAGGAAAAGAAGAGGTTAAAGAAGAGGAAGGGGTTTAGTTATCAATTTACGTGGTTTGGCGGTATTAGGAAGGACAGGCACCTGACTAATGCATGAGAGAGCGCGTGACACTTCTTAACATGTGAGAGGAATTTTGATAGGAACGAAACAATAAAATATTTAAGCTGAATTATAGTGAAAAATAAAAAATAAATAATAAATGAATATTTAAATCTTTTTTATAAAAAAATAAAGATCAAATGAAAAAAAATTTATTAAAAATTTTTAATTAAAATAAAATTTAAGAAGCATTGATAATTTTAAATAAATGAAAAATATTTTAAAAAATACATCTTCACAGTCGGACCTCGATTTTACACATACACCCTTTGGAAAGAAAAATGTATCTTATGAGACTTCGATCAGTCCCTTTCACTCATGTCAGTGACAGTCCCTTCCACCAAATCCCCTCAATGAGAGTGGCTCTCACAGTCACAGGCGCAACCAAATCTTAAAAACGACATCCTAAATTGAGGAGAAGTAAATTAAGAAATCTTGGAGGTATTTAAAAATGAGGTTCGACTGCATTTCAAGTAAAAAAATAGTGATAGGAGGAAATGTAAGGAAATGAGGGGTAAATAAAAATGTTAAATTAAAATTTAACTTTAATTAAATACTTCACATAATCCCATCTTTTTCGTCCATCTATTTCATCTTCAAATATTTCGAATCAATTCGGTAAAGCTGATCAAGTTTGCCGTCAACACAGTACTAAAAGAAACAAAAATAATTCCAGCATTAAAAAGAAAGAAGAAAAAAACCTGGAGCGAACAAGTTGTTTTACTTGTTCATTTGATTTAACTGCTGGCTTTTGACATTTTTCTACTTCACGTACAGTTTCTGATAGTGCCTTCAACAACTAGAAAAAAAATTAATTGATAATCTAACATCCTATAATAAACCTGATCAGCATTTGAAGTTAACTGTTGAGCTTGAAATATCGAATTACTCTTCCGGATCAACATCTCAACACTATCTACTGCTCTTTCAGCACTATCCACAACTGTTTGGACAACTAGAAAAATAGAAAAAAATATTTTAAAAAGTATTTCTATATACGTTGATGGCAGTCAGTAGATGACGAGGTTTGAAGAGTTGTTTGACTTGAAGGTGGAGATGAAGAAGAAGAGTTAGCATTCCGAACCATATCTTTACACCTGAAAATGATTTTTTTAGAAAATTTTTAAAATAGAAAAATTTTTTAGAAAAAAAACTAACGCAATAACAAGCTCTTTACATTCATTAAGCAACACCAACTTTTCACAATCAGGTTCTGATGTTGCTGCTTTTCTTGGACTAGCATTTGGGACAGATTGTAAAGTTGAATTTAGATGATTTCGAATATTTGTTAATCTTTTAGAAAAAAATTTTTTCTCAATTATAAAATTCAAAAAAACCTCTGCAATGTTTGTCCAAAAGTATTACGTCCAGTGCTATATTGTTTTTCTAAATGATGATTGTTGACTCCATTCTTTTCTCCTCCCTCAATTTTTGTTGCTGTTTGTTCATTATTTTCTGTTGCAATTGTTTCTCGTATTGCTTGATTAATTCCATCTAGAACTCGATCAAACGAGTTATATCCATCATCCGAAGAATGTGAATGATGAAGACCAGCACCTTCAAGTTTTGCACCTCCAGAAGACGAGGAACGACGTCGATTGCTTAAAAATAATTTTAAAAAATGTTCAAATTTCTCTCTAAAAAATTAACCTAAATTTATCAATTAAACTTCCAAGAGTTAATTGTTGCCCAAACCTCCAAGGATGAAGCATTGGGGAACTAAAAGTAAAAAAAATTAAAAAACTTTAACCATAACAGATTAAAAATAAAAATTAAAAATTTACAGAGATGCTTTTTGATTTGCTTGTTCTTCCAGTAAATCCAATCCCTGAAAAATAAAATAAATTTTTAATTACTCGTAATTAAAAACATACACTAAATTCTTTAAGTGACATTCGTCGAATTTGAGTTCTTTCTTCGATATGGCCTTCCATTGAATTCTATAAAAAATAATAATTAAAATTTTCGAATTTTTCAGATGTTCAAGAAAAGCAGACGATTTTTAAATATAAAATTTCCCAAAAATTTTCAAAATTCGACTCAATTTTTCTCCTCATAAATCTCTACTATTCCTTTCAATATTTCATTTCAATTTTAACCCCCCAAGTCGAAATTTAAAGAGGAAATGTCTTGTAATCCTCTCCTCCCATTCTTCTCTCTCCCTCATTTTTAAACCTCAACTAATCATCCTCCCTCACTGCCAATTTTTTCCCTTATTTTTTAAATTTAAAATCCTTTCAGTAAAAGAGAACGGTGGTTAGTCATTTTTTATATTTTTTTCCTATTTTATGGTAGTAGGTGAAATTTAAAAAATGCTGGTTATATAAATAACGAAGCAATAAAAAAAGAAAATAAATTGGCACAAAAAACCCCCCAAAATTAAAAAAATGAGGGTATAAAATAAAATAAATTTTTTTCTATCTAAAAATAAAATCTAAAAATGATTTTCATTCTGTCAAGAAAAGTTAACTGGATTTAGTCTCCAGTTTGTGCCCCCAAAACTTAATTGATATTCATATCCCAAAGGAGAAAAAGGATTTCCGGAAAGATTGGGAAGAACATAAAATAAAATAATGAAAGAAAAATCAGAATGAAACTGAATAAAAAATAGAGAACACAAATTAATAGACAAAAAACAGATGGGGCAAAAAATAAAAATGTTTAAATTTAATGGCATAAAAATGGAAATAATAAAAAAAAATAGAAAATTAATTTAATAGAAAATTAAATTTTTGAACAGCAGAAAAAATGAGATTGCTTTTTTTATTGTTCAATTTCAATGCTTTAAATTGCCATTAAATTCCCAAATTTAGGAACAGACACCGAAAAAGAATATAAAAATTGTAATGATCTCATGGAAGAAATTGAAAGGAAATAAGGAGTATAATTAAATAATAAAGCTAACCTACTGTATATGCCCAAATAAGTACCCTCTCTCGAATAATTACCCACCTCTGAATTTATAAAAAAAGAGGTGAAGAGACTTTCAACCTCTTTCACCAACAAAGAGGGTTAAACAATTATTCGAGCATATACGGCAAATAAAATAATTTTGATTTCTAAAAAATATTTTCCTTTTAAAAGAGCTCTTAAAAAGTGCAAAATAATAATTTCCATTCAAAGATAAACAATTCCAAAAAAATAAACAAATTTCAAGAATAAACAGATTTTTGTTTATTAAAAATAAAAGATATAAATATCAAAGCATATAAAAATTAGCTAGCTAAGGTTGTTTACAAATTTAGAAACCCTTACACACTTACAGAAAAACAGTACTATATAATAGTAAGTACTTAAATATTTTTTGGTGGCTGTTTGACTGCCAAAACGGATAAAATTCCCTCGAGAAAAAAAATTGGCCAAAAAAACTTTTGGTGGTTTCTTTTATTTTTTAGGGGGATTAGCTTACTTTCCTCTCCTTTCTATTCTTCTTTATACCCCATATTTTACCTTATTTTATATACTTGTATCTCATAAATAAAGAAAATTTTGTGTTTAAGAATAAGTAAAAAAGGAAGTAAAAATTAAATGAAAAGATGAATATATTTTTAGATGGATGAAATAATAAATTTCTAAATTTAGAGAGAATTTTTTAATTACATATGTAAAATAAAAATTTAAATTTATTACTAGGAAGGAAACCGGCCAATTAAAAAACAGAAAGTTTTTTTTGATAAATTTTAGAAGATTAGTATGAGAGAAAAATTAATATAGTAAAAATAAACCCCTGTTCCGATTTTATTAAATAATCAGGAAATCAGAAAAAAATCCGAGGGAGAAAATCAGAAAATAAAATTAAAAACCACAGAACACCTCCAGTTTCCCTTTAATATAATTATTTAAAAAAAGTAAAAGTAACCCTATAATTTTCTCTAGCAGTATTTGAAGAACGAGGAACAAAATCTTCATCAAAATCTTCCAATTCATTATAAGCTTGTTGTTGTTGCTGTTGATGTGAAGGAGAAGCATTCATTATTACAGGTGGAGGAAATGTATAACTATTTGGTAAACGTCGTTGTTTTTGTTGTTTAAATAAAATCACTTGACCAGCTAATATAGGTGGTGGCCAACAAAAAATTCTTTTTTGACTAGATTGAAAAAGAGAAGAAGAAAATTTTTGGTGCTCCACTGGTTTGTGGAAATGGCAGAAGAGTGGAGGAGGAGGGCGCTTTTTTTCCTTTTTTCTTTTAGTAGTTTCCTCTACGGCAGACGCTCGGTAGCAGATATTGACACCACAACCACCAAGAGTGCTGCTGCCATGAAAGGTAGTGGTGGTGGTGGTGCTGGGGGTGGTGGTGGTATTAGCTAAACGAAGAGAAGAGGAGTTTGTGGTGGTGGTGGAAGAAAAGGTTTGAGGAGAAGAAGAGTTTAAAAGAGAAGGCCCACCAACAGAATTATGGAAGACCACGCCCTCGGGACGAAAGTTACAACGGCGTCTGGAAGGATAGGACGAAGAAGAAGAAGAGCGGTGGTGGTGGTGGTTGCCTTTAAAAAATGAGGGAAATAAATAGAAGGAGGAAAAGGTTTTTTAAAAGAAAGGAGAGAGGGAGAAGTTCTTTGATGAACGAATTTGAAAAAATAAGGAAAAAGGGTAAGGAGGAAAGTGAGGTTATTTTATTATTTTTCTTAGAAAATGTAAATGAAAAAAATAATAATATGTTCCCTTGGTTAGTCATAAAAAATATATATTTTTTTATTATTATTTTTAGACTAAAAGTCAGTGAGGAGGAAAAAATAAAAAAATATTTTTATTGGAGGGAAAAATGTTTTTTTTGTGGGATATTGGAACACCAAAAATTACCACAATTTAAAAAATAAATTTAAAATAAAACCTAATTTTCCTTTTAATTCATCAAAAGAGCGTTGTCTTTCATCTCTCCAAATAAGTTGGTAAATTGCTGAATTTGAAGATGAAGAAATTGAATTTAATGAAAATGAAGTTGGCAAAGAAGGTTGTTTTGAAGGTAATTTTGAACGATAAAATTTTGTTTGTGTTGTTGATGTTTTTGATGCTTGTTGTAAAGAATCGGAACTATAGGAATGTTTAATTAATGTTTGGACCAAACGCAAGGCTAAAGAACGTTGTTGAGGTAATTGCTCTAAAGTCTTCTAAAAGGAAAAATTTTTTTAAATAAAAATATTTAAAAATATAAGAAACCTCTTTACAAATTCCTCTTTGTGGAGAACATGTTAACGATCTAGATGAAGTTATTAAATTCCTATGATGAATAGAACTATTGTTGTCTTTTAATGAATGCCTAAAAGTATGTTGATTCAATGAAGGAGATGGTGGAGGAGTAAGTACAGGAGACAAAAGAGGTGTTGGCGGAGGTGAAGGTAATGATGAAACTTGGCGATGGCTAATTAATGGTGACACAAAACGAACCTTTTTAAATTTTATATGTAGTATGTGTAATAAAGATCGAAATTTTTGAAAAACCTGGGCCTGGCTGGCCTGGTTTGATTTATTGACATGGGCCGGATCTGTAGTCAAGGAAAAACCTAGGTTCTTTTTACGTTTACACCATAAACTTGTGCTAACTATTTAATAACCCTTCCAGGCCCAGAAAACCCGTCTATTGTAAAATTAAAAGAAAAACAAACTTGTTTCCTGTTGCTCCTCTCAACAGTAGTAGACAAACAATCCATATTAAAATTAGTTTTTATTTGTTGACGACTTCAATGAGACATTCAATTTTTTTTTTTCAATTTAGCTAATCAGACGTCACTAAAATTCTCTATTTAATTTAAAATTGCCTTCAATCTGAATCTGTGTAAATATTAAAAAAAAACAATTAAATGTTGCCTTATTTATTCAAATATTAAATTTAAATATTTTTGTTTAGCTCTTCTACTTTAAAAGTCATATGAGGCGGAAATAAATAATAAAAAATGCCGCCCATTCTCCAAAAAAATTTTTTTGCCGCAAAAAGAAAAAAAAGGAAAAACAATAAATTTAGGATACCCCGGAGAATAAAAAATGACATCTTCTACTAAATTTCCAACTTTAACGCTTCTTTTTACGTTTACATGAAGAAATGTAAAAAAAAGTTTAGGTAATAATCGTTAATATTTTTAAAACGCAGTTAAAACCCTCAGAAACTCTCCCAATATTCATAAATTCCACAAACTCATTCCACAACAAAAAGAAATCAAAGGAAATATTTTTAACCTTCTTGCTTTACAAATCTTTACATTCAAAAAATTTATAAAAATATATTTAAAAAAATAAAAAAATATACATTCTATAATTAAAAAAGAAACCGAAATATCATCTTTTAAATATTTTTAACATCAATTAAAAACATTCATCATCATCCATAGGTGTTGGATCAGCAGGTGGTGATGAGTTATTCCGCATTCTTTCTGCTGGTTCAATCTTTTGCAAAATTCTAAAAAAATTATTTAAATTAAAAATAATTCAGATTTTTATTTTTGGATTTAATTGAAAGGTCAGTCTTTAGTACGAATGGGTAAAGCACCCTAAGCGGCACTTAATCAACCCTTTCCAGCTCACAACACTATAAGAATAAAAAAACCTTTTAGGTGTTGGATGTGGTATTCCAGTTTTGCCTGGAATAGTTGGACGACGAGGAAGCGGTAGACGCTAGAAAATTTAAATTTACTAAAAAACCAATACAAATAGAAAAACCGAATTCAGTCCCTGATTGATTTGATCAGAAGCAGAAAAAACACTTAAATCAGCTAAGGACCCTTCGTTTGAACGCGAGGAAGCAATAGAAATTTGATCACAATTTTTAACTGATGATGACTTGCTTCGAAAATCAACTGATTTACTTGTTGAAATCGTACAGGATTGTGCTGAATTATTTGTATTTTTGTTGGTGTTGTTGTTGTAATGACCACTAATTATTGAAGAAGCAGAAGACGATGTGCTGTCTTTAAATTTGGACAAAATTTTAGATAAAAAGCTTTATTAAAAAGTTTACTTTGTCGAGAACGCGAAGACGTATTAACATTAATTGAAGCCTTGTTGGATGTCGTTGTTGTTTGCCAGTCTCTACGACTTTTCATTAATTCAAGTTGAAGCTCTACAAATTAAATTAACAAACAAACATTTAATTAGAAAACCTTTTTCCTGTTCTTTAGCACGGCGTTGAATATCCCCAAGATTTTTCCATTCTGTTGGCGATTCTTCTTTGACATTCTCTAATTTTACCTTTTTCAAGTCTTTTGGACTGAAAAAATTAAATAAAATTTATAAATAGTATTTTAAAAAAAGGAACCAGGGAATCAGCCAGAAACTTTACTTGCTCAAGAAAAAATTTAGAAAGAAAAAAGGAGGAAAGAAACCCTAAAAACAAACTTTCTACAAACAAACTTTCTCGGCGTTGTATTAATTCCCCGAATTTTTCTTGGTGACTGTTGTGCAGCCAAATTTCTTCCAAAAGGTAACTTCTTTGGTGTGCTTGGAGCATCAAAATATTCTTCATCATCCTCCTCATCTTCATAATCATCATTAGAATCAATACTAGCTTCACTAATTGCTTTACGTGCAGCCATATTTTCTTTTTCTCGAGGCCTTCGATTGCGTTGTTGTTCACGATCAGACATAGGTCCAGATTCATTACTAACCTCTTCAATCATTGATAGAGAATTTTCCATATTGTTGCGACGCTTTTCTTTATCCACTTTTCTTTCTGAAAAACAAATAATTTTACTTATAGTTAATTTAAAAAACTCAAAACACCCCACCCTTTTCAGCCCATACTTGTATAAATTAAAAAACAAACTTTTCTTTTCTAAACGGCGACTTAAAGCTGATCTTGTACGAAAATCAACTTTTTCAACAGCTCCTTTTAACCATTTATCCAAACTTTCATCTTCTTTAGTTCTAGGACTCTCAGGTGTTGGATTGAAAAGCCAAGTTTCTGGATCGTTCAGATCCTCCCCTTCCAATTGAAGCAAATTTAATTTGTCCAATTCTGTTGCTAATTTATCAAAATCCATTTTAATTTAAAAAAAAAACTTAAATTGTATTAAAAATTGGAAATAAAAAATATTTAATTGTAAAAAAATATAAATTCGGATAATCTTCCGTTGAATGATTCAAAAAATATTCAAAGCAATAATTAATTTTTATATAAAAGATAAAACAGCTTATATAATCACCGATTAACCAAATACTAGATTTAGATAAATCAACGGAGATAGGCTTAAATTGTACAAAATATGTCAAAATTATTAAAGTTCACTCTAATCTTAAAAAATTCAATTCAATTTAGCCTTTCTCTAATTACAATCTTATTTTGAAACCTTTTTTGACAGAAAAAAATTTAAATGAAAGTCCAATCAACAATAAAGGCATCACTGTTGTTACTGCTTGTTAGCACGCATACTTGGAGGAACATACCTAAATATGAATTTATTAGAGTCTATATATTTTTAAAATTTTATAAAATAAAAATCTCATTTCAAAATTAAAAAAAACAAACGTTTTCTTAACAGGTTGTTCACTAATATTCTTAGGTTTGATTTCACTCGCAGCTGTTGTCGTGGTATTACTTCTCCAATTATCAGTATCATCTTTCTTTGGTGATTGAACCGAGATTCGCGATGGTTTAACTTCGGTCGTTGCAGTTTCAGAACGATCTCTCCAATTGTCAGAATCGTTAGTCGTAGTAATACTAAATTAGACATTTAAACGAAAAATTAAAAAAAATTAACAACCTCTTCTTAACATTTTGCTGCTTTGCAATATTTGTGCCGCCTTTACTAGCAGGTTCGGGAGCAGCTCTCCAATTGTCAGGTTCATCACTTGGTGGTGGAACACTAAATTAAAAATTCAAAAAAGTTAATAAGGAATGTAATATACTTTTTAGATATAGCATCTTTTGACTGAAAACGTGGCACATAACGCTGCTGTTGTTTTAGAAGTTTTTCCTCCTTAAGCTGTTTCTCTTTCTTGTCTTCAATTTCTCGCAACCTATTTTCTTCGTCTTCTTTTTTAAGAATTTGTTCAATTTTAGGAGCATCGCTTAAAGAAGGAAACAACATTTCATTTTTCAAATCCAAATTATTTTGTTTATTTTGAGCTCGAGCAGCTGCTTTAGGCTCATATTTTTCTTTTTTTGGAGTAACTGGCAGCGGCATAACGTCGATATTCTTAAAATTGGATTAAAAGAGTGTGTTTTAAAATATAAAAATTATAAAAATTTAAAACCTCATTATTATTCAAATTCCAAGTTTTGACAGGCTCAACACTAGAACGCATTTCTGCCTCTTCCAACTCAATATCAACATCAGCCATTTCTTTAATAACAGATGGAAGAATCGGTTTATCATCAAAATCCAACCATTCAGAATCTTCATTGTCATTATTGTTACTAGAAATTTTCGTCGTTGTAGGTTCAGTCTCATTTTTTGCCTCATTTTCATCCAATTCATCCTTTAAAAATAAAAAAGAAAATAAATCTAAAATTTAAAGAAAAATACTTGAATCCGTGCACGAAGCTCAAGTTGTTCAGCAACTTCCTGTAAACGTATGACACCTTTCTTTTTTGCTTTTTTTGCCTTCTTAGCGAAAAATGAATCCAACTCATTCATTTTTTAATATCAATGTTTGATGAAATATCTGAAAAATTACAAAATATTAAATTACAACCAACTGTTTTCATAAGATTTTTAAAAAAATTCCACAAAAAAAGAAAAATTTGAGGAAATATGTATGACAATTATTCGCGAAAACTTATTTTAAAATACAAAACGCCAGACCAACGGAACGTCGCAGTTGGGTCAATGTGTATTTTGGGCCATAACTTTTTCAATTCCTAATCGATTTAGATAATTAATATATCATTCGAAAGCTCTTGGTGTAGGGATTATTTTATCTAGCAGGTTTAATCTGATCAGATCAACATACAAAAAGTTATATTCTAATAAATATTAAGGGGACACGCCCGAAACGGCGCGGGCCAAAACGGCGCGACCGAAACGGCGCGACCGAAACGACGCAGGCCGAAACGGCGCAAGGCCAAAACGACGCACGGCCAAAACGGCGCAAAAATTTCCCATATTGGCTATTGTTACAAGATGGGCAAATTAAGCTCGAATAGTGATCGTATCTTTTGGAACAATAAATAACAAATGTAAGGTCGCAATTGGACAACATCTCTTGATAACAAAGAGTGATAACAAAAACTAAGAGTAACAAAACTATTTAGATCATATACGTACTATAACTGCGAGAAATAACTGCGGGATTCAGATAGTTCTAATATAACTATATTTACTCGTTAGTTTCCCCTATAACTACATATATAACTAGTTAGTTCCCCCTAGAACTATATAGTTATCCCCATATTACTACTGACCATCTAGACTTTAGTTATTTCTATTCTGGTCGTTGATGTCAGAACAGTCTTCACCGTTGTTGTAACAACTTTTCTCAACGTTTGAACGATCTTCCACATTGTTGGAACAGTTTTCCCGTAATGCGCAAAACCTTATTGCAGAATTTTAATAATTTGAAGGATCAGAGTACGCAAGGGTGGTTATCGATTTTTGATCGATCAGCAAGGTCAGATCGATCACAAATAGGCTGATCACTAGATGACAACACGTTAATAACTCTATCACTGCAGTTTTGGGTTTGCGCCGTTTTTGCCCGTGCGCCGTTTTGGCCTTGCGCCGTTTCGGCCTGCGTCGTTTCGGTCGCGCCGTTTCGGTCGCGCCGTTTTGGCCCGCGCCGTAATGGGCTGTACCCATATTAAGAATCACGATTCTTGAATTTGTTGGCGTTTTGTATTTTTAAAAAAGTATTTAAAATAATTTTTTTCTTTTGATAAAGTTGATTAGTTATGATTGATTAGTTGTTGATGACTCATAATCTTATTAAGGAAAGATAGTTTAAACAAATTTTTCTATGTCATTTTCTAAATACTTGATATTATTCTATATATGTATTTTTATCTGATTAAATTGCCTATTTTTTTACAGATCAAAAATAAATTTTTAAATAAAAATTGAAAATGTCCGACACCGAAATTGCAGCTTCTGACGTCGAGTGTAACGGTGAATCAGTTCAAAAACAGTCTGCTCCGTTTACAGATGAACAGATGCAAATGGAGGTTTTTATTGAAGATGAAATATTTAATGGTATTTTATTTTTTTAGATTAAATGCAAGACGAGTGATGGAGGTGTGATCAATGTTCGTGTTTCGCATCTTCTTCAAAGCAGCGTTTTTATGAATATGTGGAAGGTATTAAATTTTAGTTTTGAGATAATCCTTTGGCTGTTGGAAAAAGGAAAAATGTTTCCGCTTTTAAATATCCATCTTTTAATATTTCCGATTAATGACTTGGAAATTTTAATTATCAATATTTTTCAGGATTTAGACATGTCGCCTAAGGATCTGGAAGAATTCGAGTTTAAAGTAAATGTGGAGACTAATATTTTCTCAAAGGTTGTTGAATGGATGGGAGAACACATTGGTTAATTTACTAATTATTTTTTATAAAAACATTTATTTTTTAGGTAAGCCTGATCCGAAAATTGAAGATGATCCAGCCACACGTCAAAGAAAGGCGCTCACTTTTTCTGAATATGAGACGGATTTTTTCAAGGTTTTATTTCCTTTAGTTATTTTTTAATTTTACATTATTTTCCTTTTAAGGTCGGCGTTGAGGAGATTGCTAATTTGATTAAGGCTGCCAACTATCTGGACATTAAATCTCTGGTTATGCTTTTTAACTTTAATAAAATAAATGAAAATTTTAGTATTATTATGGATGCCAGGCTATGGCTAATTTTATTGGTAATAAGACTCCAGAAGAAATTCGAGAACTTTTTGGACTTGAGGTTTTTTTGCCCATTATTTAAATGGAATAATTTTTACTTATTTTTTTAAGGATGACTTGACGGAAGATGAGAAGGCTGACATCAGACGTCGGAATATGTGGTGTAACTATTAAAGTAAATGTTTTGTGAAAACAATTGGATGATCTTATCGCCTCATTTTTATGCCTTTTGTTGTCTTAGTTTATATAATTTAATTAGGGTGTCTAACTATTAAAATCGAACATCAGTCTTCCATTAATGTTAAATACCATCTAATACATTATCTTAAAATTGATTAGACACCCTTTTCAAGCCATTATTTTTAAAAATTATTTCGCTCAATCTCAACGAACATAAAGAATTTCGATTGTTTTTATTTTATTTTTTGGAAATTTTTAAGTTTTTTTAGGTTAGAAATATTTAGGATTAAAATAGTATATCTGAAAATAAAAAATGTCAATCTAGTCCTAATGGTGAATCACATTTAACATTTAATTGAGTTCTTAACTGTTCCATTTGTTCTTCCATTGAACGAATCCGCAAGTCCTTCGCGTGATTTTCGTTCATTAATTTCCGCACTAATTCTTCTCTAGCCTCAACATCATCATGATATTTAATTGGCGAAGCTACATCCTCTTCTTGTTTAGAAAGTGTTTTAGCCAGTTGTAACTAAAAAGGTTTAAATAAAATTTTTCCTACTAGAATTGACCTACTTCAACATTATCCTCATCAGGGATTCCACAAGGCAAACGTTCGATTAAAGATTCCACAGGAGATTTAGAGATGGAGGATTTTGGTGTCTCATAAAGCTTTTTGACTGTTTCCGTTTCTAGCTAAAAATTACTTTTTCATTAAAATCTAACTATGTAAAATACCTTATATGGTATCGCATATTTGGCGAAGCGAAACAAAAAATCGCGTTTGTAGTCACCCTAAATATCAAATACTAATCGTTAAATGTAAGAAAAATATACCCAGATTTTAGCATGTTCTGCTTGGTTGCTAACATCCCAATCAATTTCTGAACTGATTTTTGCATTTGGATTATCTCTTCTTGCTTGTAGCAGGGTACTGAAAAGGCAAAATTATCAAAAATAAATTTGTCAAAAAATAAGTTTACGTTAAAGATGTTTGTGTATTTGCTGAATCAGAAAAACATTGTTCAACATCAAATTCCCAGTCATCAATTCTTCTTTTACCAAGCATTATAGATTCCAAAAGACGAAGTCTTTCCATATTTAGCTCATAGAATGTTGCTGATGCATATAAAGGCCCGAGCTCTTTAGGGTAGAGAACAGTGTCACCTTCTCGAAGCCGATCCATTTTCTGCTGAAAAATTGCAAATTTAAAAAAAATTGCAAAAATTTACTTGCCTTTTTCTTGCAGACCGCATCCAAACTAAGAGCAACTTCAACAAAAATATTGTTGTAACGATGTGACCTTATATCATCCCTTGGAGAACGATCAGTAAAACTGCGTCGAAGTCCACTAACAAATGCTACAGAGTCGGGTTTTGCAGCCAACATTCGATGTTTATATGGAGATAATGGACGAGGCTCACTGGATATGATGTAGTCTATAAGAATATCATCTAATTCATCCACTACACGTATCAAATCAGCAAAACTAAAGTTGAAGGGAAGTATTAACTTTAAACATTATAACTTCAAAACTAACGCTATTAGGCCTCGTTCAAACCATCGAGCAAATTGAAGTGCAATAAATAAGTGTCGGTTGTTCATAGACCAATTATGATTTATGAAAAAAACCATTTCACAACGTTGACATTCCTACAAATTAAAAAATTTTAGAATTTAAAAATATGAAAATTAAAACCGACCCGTCCTTCAAAAGGAGAATTTACATTTTGACGACGAATTTGTTCACCAGAAAGTGTTGGTCTCCTATTCGCTCGTGTTTTGGGCAGAATTGTACGGTCGGGTGAACTTGCATTTGAAACATCTAAAACTTCTCTGCTCCAATCATCATCTTCATCTTGAAGGAAAGCTAAAGAAGCGTTGACTGCAACATATTTATCTTTAGACATTCTTTCCTTTAAATCTTCTTCAAATATTGGACAACAACTTTTATCTTGCACTAGTCTAACAGCGTGGCATATTTGGTCCAGGAGCTCTTCTTTGAGAGGTGCATAATGTGACTGGCAAGTAAGGATATCAAGACGAAGATTTCTTCGGCGCTCCCATGGAATCTCTTTAAGTGGTTCAACTTAAAGGCAAAATATTTTTATATCTTTAAAATATTTTTAAAAAAATACCTCCAAGCTGTAGACGAGCTTCCCCTTTGTCGAAAAAACGAGCCAAAAAAGGATGTGATAATAGCTCAAGAGGAGCTCTGCGTTTAGCATGGTGTATCTTGAAACATTCAGAAAGGAAGTTTGTGACATGTGGATCGTAAAGTTGCTAAACGAAAATTAAATAAACAGTAAAAAATGATTTAAACTTGTCCACGAAAAACAGTATCAGGAGCAGTTTCTTCCAGTGTTGGTGGTGCTTCAGTGCCATTGAGCTAAAATGGACAAAAATAAAATTTTAAAATTATAATATCACAAATTTAGCAGCCAAATCTGACATTTCATTGCGCGAATAACGCATGCGCCTTCCCGTTGCCATCTCCAAAACAAAGAGTCCAAGAGCCCATGTGTCAAAGTTTTGCTTGACAAAAAGATCATCACAATGGAATGCTTCAGGTGGAAAAAGATTTGGATTTCCAGTGAATAAGCATCGCCTAAAGAAAAATATATTAAACAACGTAGTAAAATAAAAATATAAAAATACTTCGATCCAATACGTCGACAATGCATAAATGAACCAAGTTTAATGGAACATCGCCCGTCAATAAAAACGCTTGATGAGGAAATTTGAGTATGAACAAAATTTTTTGCATTGAGAAATTCGAGCGCTAAATCAAAGTAGATGATTTTTAAAGATTTTCAATTCAAAACAAACCTGAAATGACCTGCATTAGTACAAACACAACTGCATTCCTGTTAAAAACACCATGTTCCTTCAAAAAACGTTCAGACATCCGAGAACAATTTTTCATAGAAATTTTAGTGCACGGGTCTCTAAAGATGACAGGAGAACATGTTCCCGCTGATTTCTTGAAACTAAAAGCAATATTTCCAATCACAAAGAACCACTAAAAATTAATTTATACCGACGTAACAAATCAATCTTATCATGCAATGTAGAGAATGGCGGTTGTAGTAGTCCAAGGTACTGCCGATGGCGGAATGCCATGAATAAGCCCATAATGCGTGGATGTATCCCAATATTTTTGAGGAGATTAATCTCATGGAACTAAAATTTAGAAATTGAATAAAGAAAAACTTTTAACATACAGCCGCACGGAGGGCAGCCACACTTCTAAGTTCCACTATCCGAAGGGAATAATGACACAACGGCTTACTGATACGTTCAACAATAAGTGTCTCGGCCACAACTATTGACTGATTGTCAAGCATCTGTTCAAGAACCCGTATTTCTTTGAAATCTTGAATACGTGGTGTTGCCTCACTGTAAAATAAAGAAATATAAATGAAAAAATGTTAAAATACCGAAGAAGAATCTTCTCGTATTCGGTGAAGGCGTCTACTCTTTCTAAAGATCCATTTCTTCTGGATGTAGTCAGTGATGACATTTAACAATTAGTAATAAATTAAATAGTGAATAAGCGTCTAAAAAGCTCTAAATAAGTAAAAAAATTTAACACTTAAACAGCTCAAACTTAACGAATTCCTCAAACAATTTTTTTCTTAATTTAAAAATAAATTTTACAAAAAGATTTTGGCATTTTGTAATTTTTGATTTAAGTTTCCGGTTTTTTTTCCAAAAATTTTTCTTCTAAAATTTTCAACGGATTTCAGTTATAATTTTCAGCGCATAAAATGATTAAGGGTAAACAGGGTATAAAATTAGGTAACTTCCTTATTTCTGTTTCTTTATCATTTTATTTGTGTAAATATCGAATTTTTAACAAGTACATTTTCAGCTAAAACTTCTTAACAATCTTAAAAATTAATTGCATTTACCAATCGACAATGCTTAATACCTCTAGTACTACAACTGCGAATGCCTCTTTGCCTACTGTGCAAGGGCCAACCGAAAAGTTGAAATATCCATTGGTAACTTATTTAAATAATATTTTTAAATGATATTTTTGAAGGTTTGTGTAACACCATTTGGAACTATTTCAATCACCATGGCGCATAATGTTAATATTGAAATTAGTCTGGATCGCTCTATTCGTGTCGTATGCTGGAATAAGTTTGCGGTAATTTTTAAATTTGTTGATTTTCTCAAATTTGCTTTAACAGATCTCAAGTACTCATAAGGGCTCAAAGTCTGGTATTCTCCATCCATTTGGACACATCCTTCAGGAGGAAGATAAAGTGTTCTGTTACTTTTGTGAGTTTTTTTATAATTCCTTATATTAGTGCGAGGAGACATGAATACATTTAACTTCAAAATTTAACAGATCCTGGCAATGATAGCAATTTGGAGACGCCAACTAAAAGCGGCATTGGATTGCCAAAACCGAATACTGATACCAATTGGATTCGTTCAAACCTGAGTAACCATCCTAAAGTACCTGCGGATTTTATGGTTGGAAATATTGGTATGCCATTGATTAATGATAATGGATTGGTTAATACTCAAGAGGGATCTGTTGTGAATTTGGCAAAAATGGTTAGTTTCTTTTAATATATTCTTGACACACTACTCCCTTTAAGGCAATTCTTGGTACTCAAGGCGTTCTTTTCTCCATGTCTCATCTGAAGGATGCTTTTCTTGTTTCGGCTGCTGCTGCCCGTGGCACTTCTGCTCTTTCTATGGATCGTATTCAATTCCCATCGTTGCGATATGATTATACTCTGCGCCAATTTTATGTTGACTCGCAAGTTTTTGGTTCATATAATGATTCGGCTGAATATGTAAGAACGTTTAAACTGAAAATAAAAATGTTTAAAATTTCAGCTTCCAAAAGTTTATGCTTGCGATGATATTGTTCACCGTGCAAGATATGAGGAAAAAAGCGGCATGTTGTTTAGTGTCAGTATTAATGGTAAGATTTTGAGATATTTAATTCTTTAATGATTTCTGGGGAAAGCTTCTAGATTCTAAAAACTTTAAAAATGTTTCCAATTTACCAAAAATAAAAAAAATATTTTTCAGGTTTTCTGATTCGTCAGAAGCTGGATGGCGATGTTGAAGTTTTTTGTCGTCCTCGTCAAATTGTTTGTTCTCCAAGTCAGTCTACTATCCATCTTCGTGGGTCTAATGTTGAAATGGAAGTTCAGGTTATAAAATAAAGGAATACTTTATAAAAGTTTTTCTTTTTTAGAGTGATGAGAAAGCTTATGTTAAATGTGGAGCTAAGCGAGTTCACGTTTCGCGTAGTGGAATGGTCGTTTCTGATGGGAATTGCACTACTTCGATGGATCATATTGGGTTTGTTTATTTTTCTTTTATAAAAATATTCTTTTAATGATCATCTCCAAACTCTAGACAATAAGGGAAAAAGTCGTTTTAAAGTTTTATGAATATTTAGCAAAGAACTTTGGGAATGGTAAAAGAGAATTTTTGGGAATGGTCCTCTAACTCTTTCATAACCTTTCATATATATTTTTATTAAATAATTTTTAATATTTTATTTCTACAGGCGCATTGTGTCAGCTTCCTAACTTTCCAAATATATAATGAATGATTGTTGTGGGTATTTGGGTGCATTTTAAGAATAGCTCTTTTATCGTTTCAACTGTGTTAACTTGAATAATTATTTAAAAAAACTTGTCTCACCAAAAAATTTATTTCTCTCTAAAAACTTGAAAAAAATATTTTCCTCTCGTTCACCATATTTATTTGTTCATTGGTCTTATAATTAGAATATAATATACACCTATTTATTGTTTATTGTGTTTGAAATCCTAACATGTTTATGCGTGTAAATTATGAATAAAATGATAATAATTATTTTTTGTATTGAAAAGTTTATAGAGTTAAAGTCTTTGGCACCATATTTATTTGTTCATTGGCCAGTGAAAAAATTCAAGGGGAAGGGAATCATTTAGGCTCTATTATTAAATTTATTCAAAACAACTTTTTTTTCTGATTTCCTATAATATAGAAAATGCCCAGTAAGAGCCATTCAAAATTTATTAATTTTTAATTTTCGTAATTCTCTTAATTATTATCCTTTTCTAAACGACTATAAAAGCAACTTTTTTAGAAAACTTGTCAACACATTGTTTAATTCAGTCTCGTTCCATCGCAAACAAAACCTCTCTTCTCCTTTCTTGGTGCAACTGTTTTCCTTCTGATTATGCCTCCTGCTTCAAAGAAAGTTCGAGCTAATGCGGTATGTTTTTTTCTGACTCGGAAAGGGATTTTAATTTAATAATTTTTACAGGTTTCGCAATCTGCAAAGGCTGGTCTCAAGTTTCCAGTTGCGCGAATTCGTCGAATGCTTCGGGAGCGTAACTATGCAAAGAGATTGAGCCGTGGTGCTCCTGTTTTTCTTGCTGCTGGTTTGTAAAGGTTTTGTAAAGTTAACTATTTTTCTTTTTTAGTTCTCGAATATCTGGTATCTGAGATCATTGATGGTGCTGGAAACATTGCAAAAAGGGATAAGGTTGTTAGGGATTTTTAATTTTCTAAATTTTATTCCCCATCTTTTTAGCGTTTCCAAATTACTCCTCGTCATCTCTTCTTGGCTATCAAAGAAGATAATGAGCTCAAAGATATTTCCGAACACGTCACTATTGTGCAAGGTGGCGTTGTTCCTGGTATTCTGAATGAACTGTTGCCTCCAAAGAAGAAAGTTGCTGCTGTGGACACTCCTCCAAAACCTTCAAAGCCCCAACAAAAGAAGCCTAAAGAGAAAATGTCTTCAACGAAGAAGAAAAATGTTCGTCAGGGTTCGGTATCTAGGAATGAGCCGCAGCATTCATTGGAGGATATTGGAGAGGAGAATGATTGCTAAAGAAGTTGCTAAGAATATATGGGTATATTGTGTGAGTTAGATATAATAAATTGTGTATATATTGTCCCGAAAAATTGTAGTTTAGCCTTATTTCGCTACAATTGTATTGTTGTAAATATCTAAATAATTGTGAATACCTATATATGTAAATTGCATTGATAAATGTATGTAATTAAAATTTGTTTTCTACATGAAAATTAAGCGGTTCTTTGTCCAAACTTTTCTTTACTCGAAATTTAAAATCTGAATGTTTGAGTATGTAGTAATTTCGTTTTATAAGCTTAATAGGAAAAATAGAATACCCCCAAATTTTCTTTTATGATAAAAACCGCCATTTAGCTTTCTTGTTTTAAAGCAAAAAAAATCGAGAAAATAGGAGCTATTGTGCAATCCTCAGAATTGGCTAAAGGCTGCCGACAATGCGAGATGAGTAAAAAATACCAGCAGAGGAGCAAGGATCGTAAGTGAAAATATAAAAACTTCTGTTATTGTTGAGGTTTGTGAAATTTTTCTAGCGACTTATTTTTGTTAAAAATTTCTGTTTGAAGGAATTTGCTAAGGCTTTGTTTTCCTGATCAACCCGATTTCTATGTATTTTTAAGCAACCCGGAATACTTTTCGGAAGAGGAATTTTGCCTGGCATATTTTTTTGGTGTTGATAACTAAAAAGTTTAGAGTAACTGCCTAGAATTTTTACTAAATTTAATCTGGGAAAGTATTAGAAATTAATTTAGAAAGGTTCTTGACATTTTCATCTGTCAAAAAAATTCCTCCATTTTCTTTTCCTCCTTTACATTTTTTGTTATAATCCTCGATTACTCCCTTAAAGCAAGTTGATCAAGAAAAGTGTCCATATTATAGTCTCAAGGCTTCTTTCTCACACACTCATAAACTCATCTTACAAAAACGTTTTTTATGTTATAATATTTTTTTATATTTTTTACAATATCAGAATCAGACCACCAAAACCTAGAAGATTATAATCACAAATTTTCTGACTCCATTTTTTATTTGAGAAAATAAAAATTAGAAAAGTTCAGGCTAATTTTTGTGATTTTTAATACCTTAATAAAGTCTCTCTCGCTTTAAATAAAATACTGTCAAGTAGGTTAAGAAGGGTAAAAAAAGGAAGGAGTAGTGGTGATGAGCAGCATTATTTTTGTCCTTTTTGTGGAAAGAATTAAGTGGTTGGGCAGTGGTCTTTTTTATGTGTAGGTGGGTGATAGTGGTCAACGACAATTCTCCGCCTTTTTGCCAGTTTTTCTTTCATTATTATTTTAAGGTGGTTTTTCAGAATTATTTTTTGAAACCATGAACAAACTCAGGAAACGCGCTTGTTGAATTTCCGTAGCTATTATTTGCGTGTTATTTTTCTACCCATTAATTTTAAAAATTAAAAATTTTTTTCTTAAATTTTTAGATAATTTTTAAATAATTTTTAAAAATTCATATTATGAGCTTAACTCTTTCAACAAATTCTTCATCTTCCGATTCTTCTTCCTCATCATCATCATCTTCAAATATTCAATTAACAACTTCCTCTTCAACTTCAATAACAACAAATTCATTCCAATCATCTCCATTATTTTCTGATCCAGATTCTACAACAACACCGACAACAACGAATAATTATAATAGTGCCTTTACTGCAACAAATGAATGTAAAATTGAATTGGCAAATTCGCAATTATGGGAAAAATTTGCAAAAGTTCAAAATGAAATGGTTGTGACAAGGCCGGGAAGGTTGTTAAATTTTTTTTCGATTTTTAAAAATTTTTTTTAATTTTTTAGAAAAATGTTTCCCAAATTGGAATTGCATCTTCACAATTTAGACCCAGATTCACAGTATGCTCTCTACCTATATATGCAAAAAGTTGACAATATGCGGTGAGCAATATTTTCTAGACTGTTGTTTTTGTTTAATTTCAAACTTTCCGGAAACTGAATTTTTCCGGAAACCATGAGGATTTATTTTGGCCTGCCCTTAATCGTTCCGGAAACTTGAGATTTGTTTTAATCTTTCGGAATCATTCCTGAAACCTTCATAACTTATTCGAATCTTTCCGGCTTACCGAAAGTCATTTTATATTTTCTTTCCATAGCTCTTCAGTCGTATTTAATAAATTTTTCTAATTTTGATCAGATACAAATATCAAGCCGGAGGTTGGTCCGCTGCAGGGCACGACGGGGAAAATGGGATTCAACAATCTAATTTGGTTCAGCACCACGAAGGATTGTGTAAAGGCAAATTTTGGACCAGTCAAGGACGTATTAGTTTTGAAAGAGCTAAATTAACAAACAAAGAAAGTCTTCAAGGAGGGAATTCTATGGTAACTTTTTTTAAAATTTTTCGAATAATTTTTTAAAATTAAAAAACAGATTTCTTTGTCGTCAATGTCCAAATATCAACCGGTTATTTGGCTTGTTAAAGGTACTCCAGTAGGTAATGTTTTGGTTGCTGAGTACCGTCCGCCACAATGTCAATTTATTGCTGTTACTGCTTATCAAAGTGAAGCTGTTACAAAACTTAAAGTTTGTTTCTATCTATTAGAAAAATATTCTTCCTTTTTTCAGGTTGAACATAACCCTTTTGCTAAAGGATTCCGTGAGGGCTCTTCTCGTAAACGAACCTTTTCACCTTCTTTGCCGCCAACTGGAAATACTTATTGTAAGAAAATTTAATTTCTTTTTAAATTCTAATAATTTTATTTTTTTAAAGTTCCCTCCTTCATTAATTCCCCACTTTTAATGCCTTATCAATTTCCTCCAATAAATCCTCTTCCGCAACAACAACAGCAACAAAATTCTGTTACTGCCTATATGAATTTTATGAATGCTTTTCAACAATATCAATCATCACAACAAAATAAGCAACAGCTGCAACAGATTCCTCCAATCTCTCCACAATTGTCTTCATTTTCGCCTTTTAATATTTTTGGACAAACATACTTCCAACAACAACAACAACAACCTCAAATGAATCCTCAACAGGTTATTTTTAAAATTAAATTTGTTTAAAAAATAATATATTTAGGTTCGAGCAATGGCAAATCAAATGCTTGGACTTATGGGAATATCTGGTGCTGGTGTTGGTGGTGGAATTCCTCTTCCTTCTCAATTTTCTCCAATTTCTTTTCCTTTGCCTACCTCGACATCAAAATCTTGGACATCGCCACAAATTAATAATAAAAGAAATATCCAAGACGATGATGAAAATGCACCAGCTAAAAAGGCAAAAATATCAACAACCTCAACACCAACTTCTCAGGTTTTTTTAATTTTATAAACTTAAAAATGTTTATAAATTTATAGCAACAATTATTGCCATTAAATGCTTTACAATCGCCAATACTTGGAGGGAATCCTGGTCAAATTACTAATGTTAATAAGATGTCAACCATTCCAGGATGAGATGATACAATCGATTTTTTTTTCTGGTTCGTGATTTTGTTATTTTTATATTTATTTAATATCCAAAACGATACTGGATAATTTTTAGATATTTTTGAAAAAAATAATATTTTTTATTAGTCCAAATTTTGTCTAGCATCAATTTCACACGCTTAGATTCTTGACACTTTTAATGAATTAAGTAACTTTTCCTCCTCTAAATTAGCCCCTGGCACGATGGGTAGAACAACAACAAACAAACTTTTTTCACCGTTATTGTATAACTTGTAGGGCTAGACTGAAGCAAAAAAACCTCTTATGCTTCCGGCCTGTAGCAAATAAAAATAATTTTAACAATCCTATTATTTTTTCGTTTTCCCCTTATGGAAGATTTCCCCCTTTTTCTTATTTGTTTTCCCAATTTTTACCTCAATTCATTCATTTTTTGAACCACTTTTTAGAACTTTTTAATACTCTTCCTGTTGCCTTGGGGCGAAAATAATGAGCAAACTTTTAATTATTAACAGAAAACCATTTTGGGAGAATGAGTAAATACTCAAAATTGAGAACTTTCTGTCTCTAGGCTAATTAAAATTCCATACATGTTATAGTAGGATTGTTAAGATTGATAATGACCGGACTTAATTATCAACAATTTGATTGTAAGAATGAACTTGAATATTTCCGGAAAATTTTCGAATACTTCCGGAAAACTTAAGATTAGACTCTATTTCAGGAAAAGTTATCAACATTTCCGGAAATTAAATCACAATATTTCCGGAAAACTTAGAATATAATATTATTATTTCCGGAAACTTAAGATTGGACTCAAATATTTCCGGAAAAGTTACCAACACTTCCGGAAAACTTAGAAATTAAATCACAATATTTCGGAAAACTTAGAAATTAAATTACAATATTTCCGGAAACTTAAGATTAAACTCAAATATTTCCGGAAAAGTTACCAACACTTCCGGAAAACTTAGAAATTAAATCACAATATTTCCGGAAACTTAGAAATTAAATTACAATATTTCCGGAAAAGTTACCAACACTTCCGGAAAACTTAGAAATTAAATCACAATATTTCCGGACAACTTAGAAATTAAATTACAATATTTCCGGAAACTTAAGATTAAACTCAAATATTTCCGGAAAAGTTACCAACATTTCCGGAAGACTTAGAATATAATATTATTATTTCCGGAAACTTGAGATTAAACTGAATTATTTCCGGAAAAGTTTCCGGAGACTTAAAAACATCCAGATATTTCCGGACAACTTAGAATATAATATAGTTATTTCCGGAAAAGTTTGTAATTATCAACTTCAGAATTTTTGTTATTATCAAATGTTTATCCTTCCATTTTCGATACCTAAATTACAAAGCGTGGACACCGCTTTAATTAATAAATTAACGAAAAGTAAATACGCAATAATTTCGGTTCCGCGCCAATTACTTTTATTTTTTACCCCCTCCCCCCCCCTTTTTTTTAAACAATTCTTTGACATTTCTTATTTACTTCTTCATTTTTTGGGAAGGAAGCTCTGTGTTTCTACTATAATTAATTGATGTTTTGGGTTACTTTTACGTTGTTTTCGTGGCGCGAACTTTGCGGACCCGAGTTTTGCGGACCCGAACTTTGCGGACCCGAAATTTGCGGAACGAAAGTTGCGGACCCGAAGGTTGCGGACACGAATTTTGCGGACCTGATCTTTGCGGAATCAAGATTTTTAAGACCGACACTTGAGTAAAAAGGAAAAATTAAAAATTTTATTTTTCGAGGATTCCGGCAGAGTCTACCATGATTCGTACCGGATTCAAGATTTTTTCTTGATTTTTCAAAATTTTTATTAATTTTTTATCTAAAAATTATTTCATAATTTAGATAACCAAGAAAATCCCATAAAAAATCATTTATATGGCCATTCATAAGGTCATGATGCCTGAATTTATCCTAATTAACGCCGCAGGCTAAAATTTTTGAAATTTCCGAGGTTCAGTAGACTCTATTGTCGGTCCGCAAATTTTTGGTCCGCAAATCTCAGATCCGCAAAATTCGGTTCCGCATAGTTCGGGTCCGCAAAATTCGTGTCCGCAAAGTTCGGGTCCGCAAATTTCGGGTCCGCAAATTAAAATCCGCAAATTTCGGCGCGCCGTTGTTTTTCCTTCTATCAGGACGAACGTCCTTCGGCCATCTCTTTTTTTTTACTGTTTATTTACTACAATATTTTTTTCTTTGTTTTTTAATGTGTATATAAAAGCCATCACAAAGGCGCAATTAATTGGCTTTACTACAATAACGTTGCACTATTTTCCGTTATTGAAGAGAGGGGGGGGGGTGGATATGTCAAGGAATTGGATAAAAAGGGGGGAGCAAGTAAAAAAAGATAAGCGATCGGCGCTTCGTTGTGAGGGCAATTTTTTACACAAAAATGAATATTTATTATTTTTTGAAGGATTACCGAGAAGAAAATTATTTTTTTAATATTATTTGGAGTTAATTAAGAAAAAAAGTTAATGGCATTGAGTCGACTTTGGGGAGGTTAAGGATTGATTTTAAGGCAACTTCTTTTTTAAATCCGTTTTATTACAATTCAACAATACACAATATTATACATACATAGACAGTAATAAAATATTTGTACATACTACCTAATACCTAATAATACATACATACATGAGTTAGGGCTTAAGAAAAAATTATATAGGATATATCAACAACCTATTATCCTATCAAGTCCTTCCCTCAATTATTGCTTTCTTCATTAGAAGCCTTCCACAGCACTTTGCCTTCAAGCTTGACCTCGACGAAATTGCCAATCACTTCAAGAATATTATTGTCCACTTTTACTTTCAATCCTCCTTCCCTTGGTGGAAATATCCCCATCAGCTCTTCTTTGCTGTAATCCAACGTTTTGGAAGATTCGTTGTCGTCGCTTGGCAAAGTCTCAGCGTTTTTCACTTTCATTTTATCTTGAAGTTGGCGATATTCCACTCCATCCGTGTAGAAGGGGCCTGCTGGCGAACGCTTCATCTATTAAAAAATAAAAATCTTATTAACCTTCCTTTCAGAAAAAACAAAATTACCTTCTTAGCAATGAATGAGAGAGGAGTTTTGTTGATCCCAGTAATCATTTGACGCTTCCTGTTGCTTTTAGGTTGTTCTTTTGGTTTCGAAAGTTGTTCCGTTCGCCCAGGTTGTGTCCAATATGTACGCTTCAACGTAGATGAGGAAGTGGTTTTTGCAACTCTTGGCGTTGGTTTTGGCCCTTTGATTCTTTCATAGAGCTGAAAAATAAAAAAAAATTCTTTGATAAAATTCAGAATTTTCTAACCAACGGAGTGACATCATCATCATTCTTCTCATTCTGATCAACAACAACATCGTCCTCATCATCAGACAACACAAATCGCGGTGGATCCTTTTTGGTGCATCTGTTGTAAGCAGTAACTCTACGAAGTGAATCTTCTTCATGAATACAACTGCTATGGGAAGTTGATTCTTCTTGTGCTGGAAAGAAATGGATTCTTTCTTTGGTTTTTGATTTTGTTGGTTTCGATGATTTGCTATTGTTTGGAGAGACTTTTGAGGCCAACCTTTGCTGATGATTTTTCGAAGAAGACGAGTGGTTGCACTTGGAAGAATGGTTTGTCACTTTGGTCAGAGACTTTCTTTTCGGGCAATCCACGGCATGCTTAAAAAATATTTGGGAAATTTTAAAGAAAAATTAATGTTAAACTAAACCTTTATTATCGCCGGGCGAAGGTTCGAGTCTTCTTGATCTTCTTTACCATACACTTCCTGACGAAACTTCATGTCGACGAGCCTTTGAAGGAAGCTGGAAGAAAAACAAATATGTGTGAGTTGTTTGGTTAGATTGAAGTATTGTTTGGATAAAATGAACAAAACAAGCATTGCTTTTATAAGGGCTAATTTTCTTAAATTTTAAGGATAAATTTGTGATAGAAAAGTTTTTCGTTTGTTCCACTCTCTAAAAATTATTAAACAAAAAAATAAGAGTTTACTCTGCGCGTATTTATTGTTTCACGTTATACTACTTTTGTTTGTAAAAAGGCAATAAAAATTCTAATAAAAGAAAGTGAGGAAAAAACATCGCTAACAGCAATTTTTACATTTTCAGCATTTAAAACAATTCATTTTTCTCTCCTTATTTTTGATTTTTTTGTGTTATTCACACCTCATCAACATTTATTATTTAAAATAATTTCTACCAATTTTTAGTTTCTTTTAATTTTATACTAAAATTTAAGCTAAAAATGCCTAATACTTCCTTCAATTCTTTATTATTCCTTTATTTAATAATTCTTGAATCATTTCGGATTTTGCATTGTTCTCATTGCCGTGCTACCTGTTCTCCACATTTTACTTTGCCTTGGTTGGTTTTTTTAATTTTAAAAATTTTAAAATAATTTTCCCTCGTTGAGGTTCGAACCTTCAACCTCTCCCAAAAGAATTTTAGATTTTTCATAATTTTTTGAAAATTTTTTTTCAGTTCATTCGGCGCTTTCGACAAATGTTTGGTCCAGCAATGCAATGAAATTTGTGCAAAAGATGGAGGGCGGAAAATGATTGGATGTTACTGTCGAGGAAGTATTGAAGGCCCAACAATGCGTGCTTGTTTTTGTATGGGGCAGAAGCGGCCAAAAACATTTTAAAAAATTTATTTTTGTAAATATTTTTGTATATTTTTTACTTTTATTTTTTAAATAAAAGCTCAAAATAATTTTTTTAATTGTTTTAATTGTTTTAATTGTTTAGCCAATTATACCTGTGATTTATTTTTGTCTACAAAAACAAAATTTTTTTCTATTAAAAATGGAGTAATTAATCGATGTGAAACCCATTATATATTTAACACATAAGCGCGCGAGTTTGCCGTAATAAAAGGCTTAAATGTCATAAAAATTTATAGAGAGATTTTGCCACCATTTGTGGGACTTCTTCGCTGTTTACTTTTTTTCTAATCTTTTTTTAAATATTTATTTTTACTTGTTAGAAATTGCTACACCTATAATTTAATTTTTAAGAAATTTTGAAGAAAAAATAATAATTTAATTAATATTTAAATAATGCTTCTTTCACCTGAACAATTTGCTAGATTAATTGAATATGCTAGTTGTAAGTTTATTTTTTAGAAAAATATTTTATAAAAAAAAATTTTTTCTTCTCTTTTTAGATTCAAGCCACAAACTACTTGATATGTTGACTGAATTTTCTCACCCTGAAGGTAAACTTAATTTTTTTTAATATTTTTAATTTTGTATTTTTAAGGAATGTTTTATCGATATTTATCGCCGGATTTGCAAACTATTGATTTTGAGGTTTAAAAAATTTTTAAAAATATTTTTTAAAATATTCACTGTTTAAGGGTTTCAATTCCTTCATAAATTGTTATTTTGGAGCAGAATTACCAGCAGATTTAATCCAACAATTATTTTTGTCTTTTTGTCCATCAACACAAGAATTACCTCAAAGAAGAAGTTCAATAATTGAAGAAACTGTAAAAGGAGTTAAAAATATTTTTAGAAAAGAATCAACAAATTTATTAAAAAAAGAGAATAATCGAAAAGAATCTTCTATCAAAAATTTATCAAAACAATCGGTTAGTGGGCTTTTTAATGGAATTATTGATTTAAATAAAGAACAACAACAACAAATACTTCAACAACAACAACAGGTTTAATTTTAATTTTTTTTTGAATTGTTAAAATTTTTTTAAGAGTTTATCCCCAGTCCCGGATTTAGAAGAAAGAAGAATACCTTTAAAACCGTTAGTTTGTTATTTGAGTTTATTGGAAGGAGCGCCTCCTGAAGATAAATTAGAATTTGTTTTTCATGTCTACGATAATGATGGTAAGAGAAAGAAAAATTTTTTAAATTATTTTATTTGAAGTATTGGGTGTTTGGTGGGAGGGGAGTGGTCCACAAAAATTTATTCAACTGTTAATTTTTTTAATTTTCAGGTAATGGTTATCTTGATCATAAGGAAGTTGAATCAATTATTGAACAGGTTACTAAAAAATAAATTTTTCTAAATTAAAAAAATTATTTTTTGCAGATGATGAACGTTGCAAGATATCAACAATGGGATACAATTGAATTAGAACCGGTCATTAGATATTTAAAACAATTTTCAAAGTTTATTAATTTTAGATTCTTCGTCAAATGATGCAAGAAATTGATTATGACAATGATGGAATTGTTTCGTTAGAAGAGTGGAAACGTGGGGGATTAACTACTATTCCTTTACTTGTTTTGCTTGGATTTGACACGGTTTAATTTTAAATTTATTTTTATGAATTATTCTTAATTATAGGAAATTAAAGAAGACGGATTTCATATTTGGCGACTTCGACATTTTAGCAAACGTGAGTTTTTTTTAACTTTTTGGATGATTGGGAAATAGAAAATTACTAAGGAAATGGTAGAAGGAGAAGAGGAATGAGGTAGTGGGAATTTGGAGGGTAATTAGCAGAAAGTGGAAGGGAAGGAATTGAGGGGTTAGTAAAGAAGGGGAGATGACTTTTAGACAAATTTTTTCAAATTTAAAAAGATTTTTTGGCTGTATCGGAAAACAGTGCCGGCATCACATTTTTCCTTATTTCTAAAAAAAAGGTTAATTTTCCTATATTTTTCTCTCTATTTTTGATTTGTGCCTTAAGACTATAAATGCAAAAGGATTATTTCTCTTTAATTTTAACCGATGTGTGTGCGTGTTCTGTCTGTCCGAGTTCGTCCGTGTTTTGTCTGTCCGGGTCCGTCCGTGTTTTTCCTGACGAACTCGGACAGACAAGCACGGACGGTCACAGACAGACAGACACGCACACACATCCGTGCTTGTCTGTCCGAGTTCGTCAGAAAAAACACGGACGGACCCGGACAGACAAAACACGGACGGACCCGGACAGACAAAACACGGACGAACTCGGACAGACAGAACACGCACACACATCTGCAGTCAAAATACCGGCAGAAAAAAGCAAACGCTCTTAAAATTAAAGAGAAATAATCCTTTTGCATTTATAGTTTTAGAAATAAGGAAAAATGTGATGCCGGCACTGTTTTCCGATACAGCCGATTTTTTTATTTAGCAACATATTGCAATGTTTGTTTGAATATGTTAGTTGGTTGGGGAGGCAAACAAGGATTAGCTTGTTCTCTTTGTAAATACACTGTACACGAACGTTGTGTTCATTCAGCATCTAATAATTGTATTCATACATACAATTCTAATGCTTCTTCTATGAGAGAACAACCAATTCAACAGCATCATTGGATGGATTCTAATTGGTTTTTTTAATTAAATTTATTTTTTAAAAATATTTTTTAAAGTGCTGGAAAGTGTTCAAAATGTAAAGCGAATGTAGGAATATTTCAAGGGAGACATTGTCGTTGGTGCAAAAATTTGGTTTGTTTTTATTTTTGAGTATCTGGGTTTGTGTTTTGATATTTTTATTTTTAAGCTTCACTCAAAATGTATTTCACTTTGGCCAACAGCTTGTGATTTTGGACAACTTGCTGCTAGCATTCTCCCACCTGTAAATATTATTCCAACATTTTTGGATAGATCAACAACTTCTGCTACAACTAATAATACCTCAACTACCGTTTCTACAATAACAACAACAATATTACCTTCAACTTCCCAACAACAACAGCAAAGTCAAAATACAGCAACAGTAAACAATAATGGTGCAAGTGGAGGTCCTCTTCAGGTTAATTTTATTTTTTTTATCAATAACTGGTAATTTTGGGTTGAAGGGGCAATCCTTCAAGGGGCTGGATAAAAAAATATTTTTGTCGCACCATCCAAGCTGATCACATTTTTTTTTTTTTTCTATCCAATCTTATTATAATTTTATCATTTTTTCAGTTAAAAACAATTCCATTATCACCAAATAGCCGTTCTCGACCTCTCTTGGTTTTAATAAATCCAAAAAGTGGAGGAAGACAAGGCGAACGTATTTTTAGAAAGTATGTTTTTATTAAAATTTATTTAAATATTTTTTAAATTTTATTTTTAGACTTCAATATTTACTTAATCCAAGACAGGCAAGTATTTTCAATCATTTAAGGTTTAAAGAAAAAAATTTTCTTCAGGTTTATAATTTAATCAAAGATGGACCAGAACCTGGATTAAATTTATTTAAATCGTTAAATAATTATAATGTGCTAGTTTGCGGTGGAGATGGAACTGTTGGATGGGTATTAGAATCAATGGGTAATTTTTCTGATTTTTTAAAAAATTCTTAAAATTTTCAAGATAAAATGGAATATGGAGATAATCGTCCACCAGTTGCTGTACTTCCCTTAGGTACCGGCAATGATTTGGCAAGATGTTTAAAATGGGGAGGAGGTTATGAAAATGAACCTTTACAGAAAATTTTACATCAAATTGAGAAGGCAAATCAGGTTATTTTTTAATTAAAATGAAAGAATAATTGTTGTAATTTAAAGGTTTTAATGGATAGATGGCAAATAACAATTGAACAAACTAGACGTTTTGACAAAGGAGATCCACAACCTTATCATATAATTAATGTAAGGGAAGGTTTATTTTGTGCTAAATTTTTTTAATTTTAGAATTATTTTTCAATTGGTGTTGATGCTTCAATTGCGCATCGTTTCCATGTAATGAGGGAAAAATATCCAGAAAAATTTAATTCTAGAATGAGAAATAAATTGTGGTATTTTGAATTGGGTACAAGCGAAACATTAAGTAGCAGTTGTAAAAATTTACATGAACAAATTGATATTTTGGTTTGTTTAAAATTTTATTTTTTTTAACTAAGGAATTTTTTTTGAAATTGTTTTTAGACGCTAAAATACTTTGGCGTTCATTTATATAATTTTTTAAACACGATTGAAAAATTTATTTTTTTCAGTGTGATGGAGAAACCATTGATTTGGGTGTTGGACCTAATTTGGAAGGAATTGCCTTGTTAAATATTGCAAGCATGTATGAAAAATTTTTTTAGAAAACATTTTAAATTTTTTTATTAAAGTTATGGAGGTAGCAACCTTTGGGGAAATAGCAGAAAAAGTTCAACATCTTGGCATATACCTTACTTATTTCCACAAATTGCAAATAGTCAATTACAGCACAGAGTACAAGATATTGGAGATAAATTAATTGAGGTTTTTTTTTTAATTTTATATGGGCTTGTAAAATTTTTTAATTTTTTATAGGTTGTTGGCCTCGAATCAGCCATTCAAATGGGACAAATAAAAGCGGGGGTAAGGCAAGCAAGAAGATTGGCACAATGTTCAACAGTAGTTATACAAACTCATAAAACTTTACCAATGCAAATCGATGGAGAACCGTGGACTCAACCACCCGCAATCATTCAAGTTATTCATAAAAATCAAGCACCAATGCTTATTGGTTTGTAAATTATTCTCGAATTTTGGTTAACCTATATTAATTTTTAGGTAACCGGAAGAGGAGTACTTGGAATTTATTAAGACGACAACAAACTGAAGATGTTTAAAAAATTTTTTTATATTTTTTTGTTGCTAATTTTATAATTAAAAAATAATTAAAATTAAATAGATAACAAATTCAGAATATTTTTTAAACAAATTATTTTATTATTTTACCCATAAATTAAAATATGGCTCATTCTCCTTTTTGTTTCTTTGCCTCAGCTTCAGCCTTTAAAAAATAAAAAAGAATTACAAAAAAAAATATTAGTAGAAACCTTGTGCCTATCCAAAAGTTTGTTAAATGTTTCCATCGGGAGACTTTCTTTTTTATATTCCTTTAAAAATGGATTAAAGATTAATTCCTAAAAATAAATAAAATAAATTTATACCTCCATTACTTTGGCCAACTTCTTATTAAGATTTGGATCACAACCTTCTTTAACAGCATTAAAAATCCTCTTTGAATAAGTATTAATCCTTTTAGCTTTCTCTTGATCTTTTGTTGTTTTTGTCTTTGCAATGTTGTCCCAATGAGAATGTCCTTTTTGGTTTGAACTGCATAAACAAATATTTTTGTTGCCCAAATATAAAGGAATTCTTTGTGAGTATAAAAATAATTTACTGCTCATCTTTTGCCTTTTTGCATAACCTAAATTTGAAGCTTAGTTTTAAGATTAGATAAAGCCTAATTATAAAGGCTACAAACTTTTAGGGATTCGTGACAAAAAGTGTCTAAAGTGAAATAGATATCTTGAAAGTTACCATTTCGAAAAAAATTTACCATTTCAAAACTTTCTAAAAGACTTTTTGAGTCTAACAATGACTTTTTGAGTAAAGGACTTTTTGAGTACCTTACTTTACTTTTTTTACCAGTTTTTGTCTTTTATTTTCGATAATTCTGTAATTTCGTTTGTTTTTAGATATTTAGACTTTTAAATCTTTATTCAAATGGCTAGTAAACTTCCGAAACTTGCTTCTTCAAATATCAAAAATCAAGAATCAACTCCATTTTTTGCTTGGATTCGTGATTTTTTTCTTGGAGTTAAACGTCTGCCTATAACTCCACCTCCTGGTTTGCCTACTGAAGATGGGGAGGTAATTTTAAGTTATCAATTTTTGAATATTTTTTTTATTTTAGGCTCATTATCAACCACATACTCGATTTCCAAATACTCAATCTTCTCGAACTGTTGAACCTGCTTCTACAGAGGAAGGAATTGTTCGAAAAATATCTGATAATTATTATCTGTCTAGGGTTAGTTTTATTTATTTTAAATAATTCTTAAATTTTATATCAGGATGCTCGTAGGGCTGTTATGCCTCCTCGATCTATTTTAGAAATGAATCATAAGGAAATTGCCGGTCAAACTGATGCGGATGGATCAATCTCGTTTGTTTATTTTTAAATATTAGTTTTTCAATTTATTTTTAGTGACGATGTTCCTGGCAAAAATGTGGGCCCAAAACAAAATTATGGGTTTAATCCTAAAATTCCAACTCCTGGATTTGGCTATGAATGGGTAAGAAGTATTGAAAATGAAGGATTTACTCAACAAAAAGATCCAGATTTGGCCAAAGCTCAAAAGTTTGATAAATATTTGAAGGCTTAGATGTTATTGTTTGCAGCTATATAAATAGGAATAAAATTATTTTGTTTTTGTGTGTATAATATTACTTTTTGGATATTATTACCACGATATAAATTTTGCTAATTTTTTTATTTAAAAATTTTTTGACCTTTAGATTTATTTCTGTATTAACTTTAATCAATCGGTGTTTATCGCGAAATGAAGTAATTTTAATGATTTATTTTTAAATTCATCATTTTTTAGATTGAATATTGATGGTCTCAACATTTTATTCCCCTATGAATATGTTTATCCGGAACAAGTCCTTTATATGGAACAATTGAAAAAAGCTTTGGATGCACCTGTAAATTTTATTTTTAATTTTTAAGCAGAAAATTTTTTTGTTAGGGTCATTGTCTTTTAGAAATGCCTTCTGGAACTGGCAAAACCGTTTCTTTGTTGGCTTTAGTTGTTGCTTATATGTGTAGATATCCAGTAAGACTTTTTTAAAATAACATAAATTTTATTTTTAAATTTAGGATCGTTTACATAAATTAATTTATTGTTCTCGTACAATTCCTGAAATTGAAAAATGTGTTGAAGAATTAAAAAGGCTTTTTCTTTATTACAAAAAAGTTACAGGCGTAAGTATTTTTAATATTAAAAAATAAATTTTTTTATTTTTTAAACAGACAGGCTCAACCTAATTTTCTCGCTTTAACTCTTTCTGCCCGCAAAAATCTTTGTATAAATAAGGATGTTGTTAGTCTAAGAAATGGAACGGCTGTTGATGGTGCTTGTCAACGTTTAACTGCTAGTTATGTCAGAGCAAAGCGTGTTTTAAATCCTGACCTGCCTTGTTGTTCCTTTTTTGAAAAATTTGATGAAAAAAGGGATTTAACATTGCCAAATGGAGTTTTTAATTTGGTTATTTTTTAATTTTATTTTATTAAACTTCAATAAATTTAGCCTGATTTGAGAGAATGGGGACGTCAAAATGGTATCTGTCCTTATTTCACCTGTCGTCATTTAATTGAAAGAGCCAACATTATTGTTTATTCTTATTATTATCTACTCGATCCAAAAATTGCTGATTTGGTTTCGGTAAATGTCCGGTTGGTGTCCTACATGTCCGCAAAGAGAATGCGCATTTTTCCTTCCTTTTCTTGCATTTTTTCCTGCAAGGAGTGACGCCCATTCTTCCCTTATGTATGGTATGCCTTTTGGCACGTCGAAGGAAAGAGGAAAAATAATTAAAATTAATTAATAATAAAGTACAAATAAATATTTTTTTAAATGACAGAGAAAAAAACTACATATCAGAACGTACAGAAATTATTGCTTCACTTTATACTTATATCATTACCACATTTGAGGCAGATCCAGCCTTGTATATATTCAATAATTAACATTTGGGATTTTTTCTTTGATCCAATATCGAGTTCTTTATCGACGAAAATTGGAATCAACAAATTTTCTCTTTAGGAATTATTTGTGTGGGAATTATTATTAAAAAAAATATTTATTTGTACTCTATTAGTCATTAATTTTAATTATTTTTCCTCTTTCCTTAGACGTGCCAAAAGGCATACATACCATACATAAGGGAAGAATGGGCGCCACTCCTTGCAGGAAAAAATGCGAGAAAAGGAAGGAAAAATGCGCATTCTCTTTGCGGACATGTAGGACACCAACCGGACATTTACCTTTGGTTTCTCGCAAATTAAATCCAAAATCTTGTGTTGTTTTTGATGAAGCTCATAATATAGATAATGTTTGTATTGAATCAATGAGTGTTACTTTGGTTATAATTTTTTTTAAATTAAGAATGTCATTAATTTTTTAGACCAAAAAAATGATGGAAAAATGTTCAAAAAATATAGATAAATTAGAAGAACATATTCACACATTAAAAAAAGAAAATGAAGAAAGGATACAAGATGAATATGAAAAATTAGTTGAAGGACTTCGTAAAGTTCAAAAAGAAAGAGAAGAAGATGAAAGAGTTTGGGCAAATCCTGTACTTCCTAATGAAATACTTGATGAAGCAATTCCTGGAACTGTTAGAACTGCTGAACATTTTATGATGGTTTTTTCTTTATTAATTTTTGAAAATAATTTTATATTCTTTTCAAGTTTATGCGTCGTATATTAGAATATATTAAACATCGAATGAGAGTAAAAACAGTCCAAATTGAAAGTCCGGCAGCTTTTCTTCGTGATATAAAATCGAGAGTTTTTGTTGATAGAAAACCAATGAGGTTTTCTTTTTTTATTTTTTTAAATTAAGATTTTTCAACAAAAAAGGTTCTGTGCTGAACGTCTAGCTTCATTATCAAAAACTTTAGAAATTGCAGATATTTCTGATTTTAGCCCGCTTGTCAAATTAGCAACATTTTCAACAATTGTTAGTACTTATTCAATTGGATTTTCATTAGTTTTTGAACCAAAAGAAAGCAAAACAAATGATTCAGCGATACATTTAAATTGTATGGATGCTTCTATAGCTATTAGACCTGTACTTGAACGGTTTCAAACAGTTGTAATTACTTCTGGGGTATTTTTTGAATTTAAATTTTAAAATTTTTTTATAACCCTTTAGACTCTTTCTCCAATGGAAATGTATCCAAAAATTCTCGATTTTGATCCTATTATTAAAGCAAGTCTTTCTATGACTCTTGCTAGACAATGTATTTCTCCTATGATTGTTTCTAAAGGTTTTTTTAAATATATTTTTAATTATAGTAAAATTAAAATTTAAGGAAATGACCAAGTTGAAATTACTTCACGTTTTGAAACTAGAGAAGATTTGTCTGTTGTTAGAAATTATGGAAAGTTGGTTTTTAATTTTTTTATTAAATATTTTTTCCAATTTTTTTTTCAGTTTAATATTAGAATTAGCAGCAATTGTTCCAGATGGAATTGTTGTATTTTTTACAAGTTATGTTTATATGGAAAATGTAGTCTCTGCTTGGTATGAACAAAGAATGATTGATGAATTAATTAAATTAAAATTACTTTTTATTGAAACTACTGATGCTCTTGAAACTTCTATTGCTTTAGAAAAATATGTAGAAGCTTGTGAATGTGGACGTGGAGCAATTTTATTTTCTGTAGCAAGAGGAAAAGTATCAGAAGGAATTGATTTTTCACATCATTTAGGTTCTTTTAAATTTTGTTTTTTCTAAATTTTTATTAATTTTTTATAGGAAGAGCTGTTGTAATGCTTGGAATTCCTTATATGTACACAGAAAGTAGAATATTGAGAGCAAGATTAGAATATTTACGTGATCAATTTGGAATAAAGTTTGAAATTTTTTTAATTATTATTTTTAATTTTTCTTCTATTTTTCATAGAGAAAATGATTTTTTAACATTTGATGCAATGCGACATGCTGCACAATGTGTTGGAAGAGCAATTCGAGGAAAAACTGATTATGGTTTACTTGTTTTTGCTGATAAAGTGAGAGGCTTATTTTTTGTTATTTTTTAATTCAAATTTTTCTTTTAGCGTTATTGCCGAGCTGATAAACGTTTAAAATTACCAAAATGGATACAAGAACATATAACAGATGCACAAACAAATCTTAGTATTGAAGAAGCAATTATGGCTGCAAAAAGATGGTTTCCATTAATGGCACAACCATTTACAAAAGAACATCAGTTGGGTATTTCTCTTTTATCTACAAAAAATATTGAAAGTAAACAAGATGATGTTTTAAATAAATTTAGAGAAAAGGTTGTTACTGAATTTGATTAATTTTTGAATTTATTTTTGAACTATTTTTGGGATTTTTTCTGTTAATTCTTGTTATTTATTCTCGATTAATTTTTGCAAAAAAAGTTTTTCTAACATCTTTTTTAAAGTTTTTATATGTTATATAGAGACATATACAATTCTTTTATATATTTTTATAGCTTTTTAAACCATTTTAACACTGATGATTCACTCTCAACTCTTTTTTTTCACGTAGTAATATAAAACATTTCTTTTAAACACAACACTAGCTGTCACACATACCTCTTTATTTACCTCTAATATGTTCGTAAATAAGAAAAATCTTTTTTTTATAATTTATTTTTGGCAGCAAAAAAAAAAAAAATTTTTTTAGTTCTTTTTAAAGAATGCTACATATTTTTAAAAATTTAGTTTACATATTACTACCTTCAATTTTAAATTTTCTTTTTAGTTTATTGGACCACACCTTATCATTTTTTCGGGGGTTTTTTTTATCATTTTACAAAGGCTTATAATCTTTCAGAGCCGAAAAAGAATTACGGCGATGTTTTCTTTTTATTGGACTCAAAATTTTACATCTTTATTTGGTCTCCTATTTAATAATTTTACGTTTTTTAGCTTTTTTAGATTTTTTATGGTTATGGATTTAATAAATGATCAAACAGAAAAGAACCAGTCATATAAACCAATTCCAAAACCAAGAAAGTTTTTGATGAATAATGCTTTAATAACTAATAATTCTTGTCTTCTAACAACTTCAACATTTAATAATTTAAAATGTCAACAATACCAAAATCAACATTCGTCACCACCTCCATTACCTCCAAGAAGAACAATATTTCCACCATTACCAATAACAACAAATAATTTACAACAGCCAAATTTATTAGAAGAAGAAAAAAATAATTTAATGACAACAACAACATTAGAGCATTCAAGTAATGGTTGTTTTAATAAAATATATCCAATTTTGGATATTTTAAATAATAATAAACATTTGGACATTGCGTCAAACTGTAGTGATTTATCGTCTGAAAGTCAACAAAGTAATCTAGGTTATTTTTAAATTTTCTTTCCATTTTATTTTTGAAAATTTTTCGGGTTCATTTGATTTTCTAAAAATATTTTTCGAATAATTTGTATTTTTCTATAAAATATTTTTTTACCCTTCCCACAGATTTCCCACCCAATTCATCATTAAAATCAACGTTTATTTGTAATTCTTTATATGATTCGTTTGGAAGTGCTAAATCTGATGGAGAAGCTGTGTGTTTTTCTGGATGGGTTCAAGTTTTGCCACAAGGAATTATTAAACATAAAAAAAGAGGATGGGCAGTAATTCGAAATGATTTGTTTACAATTAGCTTAAATGAAGAGGTTTTTTAATTAAAAAATTTTAAAATCTTAAATTTATTTTTAAAGAGTCCCTCTCCCTTTTTTGGACCTTTTGATATTGGAAAATGTATTTATTTGGGAAAAACTATTGGAAATAATAATTCGGAAGAGATTTGTTTAATTTTCAACAATAATTCAAATAAAAAGAATAACAAGCCTTTAAAAGATGATTCTAATACTTTTATTACTTTACGCTTTATACCAGAAGAAAATAATGGGAAATATTGGCTTCCACTTTTGGCAAAGGTTTCTTTTTTTGAAAAAAAATTTTTTGTTGATGATTTTTTGGACCTATTTTTTCGAAAATTTCTTTATTGCCCAAATTTTTTTTATCGATTTTTTTAATTTCTAAAAGATTTTTTTCTATTTCAAGTCTTCTTCCCCTCGAAATGATCTTCTTGGCGATTCACTTTCATTATTAGACTGTTGTGGCAAATTATATATTAAACAAGGAATTAGTGGCCTTTGGAATGATGGTTGGGCATTTATAACTGAAAGAACTTTACATTATTGGGTTATTGGACCAAATGTTTTGACTCAAGTTGATATTAGGTTATTTTTGAATTTTTTAAATTTTTTAAATTTTTTTAAATTCTTTTAGAAAAATTATTTTTATTCAAAGAAAGGATATACACATTTCTGATTGGTGTAATAAAATTGAACATTCAACACTTGGGCCTATTTTAATTTCTCTTGAAGGAAGGTAAAAAAATTTTTTAATTAGAAAATTATTTTTTATAAAGTTCTCTTTATCTTCAATCTTACAATGATTATTGCACAACAATTTGGTTTGATATTTTAACATCAGAATTAAAAAAAGAACCTAATAACTTGGAAGATTGTCGACTAACTTTAGATGATGTTCCTATTATTGGTTCGGAATTTTTTTTTAATTTAAAAAATTTGTTTTTCTTAAGTTGATAAATGTATTCGATATATTTCCACGTATGGATTATACTAACAAGGAATTTATAGAAAAAATGGTTCAACAGCAGAATTAAAGAAAATAATTGCATCTTTTCGAGAAGGTTTTTATTTATTAGATTTTACAAATTAAATAATTTTTTTCTAAAATAGATCCTCATGCTGTTCATTTAAAACCACCAACTTGTGATGAAGCTGTTTTTGTTGTTGCAAGTGTTTTACGGACATTTTTTCGTCAATTAAATAAACCTTTAATTCCTCAAAATTTACATACAAAACTTTATGAAATTTGTAAGTTTTTTTTTAAATATTTTTAAAAAATTTTATTTTTCTTTTAAAGCAAATTTAGAATCATCCAAAAAACCTCAATTTTATCGTCAATTAATTTTTTCACTTCCTCAAATTTATTTTAAAACACTTCGAAAATTATTGGGACATTTACAAGAAATTATATCTCATGAAAATAGAAATTTGGCATCTTTAGATAATATTTCAAAAATGTTTGGACCAACCTTGTTTACTGTTGCTAGTGTAAGGAAGAGTTTTAACTTTTTTAGAAAAAAATCTTTTTTTAAAGTCAAATGAAGAAATTTCTGTTGATTCGTATACTTGGGCAACTAAACAAACATTTGTAATGCGCGATTTAATTTTTCATTATTGTGAAATTTTTGGTGTAAGTGTAGATGAATTATTAACAAAATGCAAACTTGATTTGATGCAAGAACAAAAATCAACAAAGGTTTTTCTTAAAGTTTTTTCTTTAATAAAAAAAATATTTTTTAAGCATCCAGCTGCAGGTAAACACGTTTTTATACATTGGAAAATTTGTTTAAGTGGAAATAAATTATTTTCCTTACGTGGGGTTCGAACCTCCCTTCTTTGTACTATAAATTAAAAATTTGTTCCACTACACCAAAATGACTTTTTGTTGGATTTGTTGCATTCTTCGCTGGGGTTTAATCTCTCGTTTACAATTAACAATCATTAAACCAAAAACTATTTTAAAATTATTTTTTCTCACAATTTTAACTTTGCAGGTTTACTTATACCTATTCATTTATTTGAAAAAGACAATAAATGTTTTAATATTCAATCGGAATGGACAGCAAGTCAAGTAGTTGCTTTTAAAATAAATAAATTAACAACAACAACAGAAGGATCATCAACATCATCAAATAATAATAATTATGCACTTTTTGAAATGATAAGAAAAGGACAACTAGAACGCAGAATTGGTGCTAATGAATCGATTAAATCAATTGTATTGGGTAGATGGCTAGAATGGGAAGAATTTCAAGATAATTATTTGTTGCTTAAAAATGATTCGAATCCTTTTCAACCACAGGTTTTTATTTAAAAAAATTTTTTTTAAATAAAAAACCCGTCTTCCATGTAGAGTGGCCGTGCATTTGCTGATGATTTAAAAATTTCTGAGCCAAATTCAAAATCTTTCAAATCTTCATCACTTCGAATAGAAGAAGGAACACGTGTTTGCCTTTATTCAAAAAATTTGAAAAAATTAAATGAATGGAAAGTTGATGAAATGATTTGGTTTATTGGTGCAGAAATAGAAAGAAAATGCCCTTTTCCTTTTGCTTTAACTTTTTTTGTTTCTACAGAAAAAAGAGCGGCCAAATGTTTAGGGAAATTACCTGGTTATTGTGTTGCGTTTAAAGGTTTTTTTAATTTAAATTTTTTTAATTTTGTCTTTTTTAAAGATGAAGTTCAAAGACATCAATGGTTAAATTGTATTTGTTTAAATCAATCAGAATATTTGCCACAACCGCTTATACAAATTTAGAAAGGCATTTTTTAATATTTTTTTACAATTGTATGTATATAGTAACGGGTTTTATTTTTATTTATTTTTTAAATTAGTGTAAAGAAAATCAACAATCTTTTTTTAAATTGCAAGCGAACTTCTTCCCTCTTTAAAAAACTATTCCTTTTAATTTTAAAGATGTTGATTTTCTTTTATATGCCTTCATATCTTCTCTCCTTTTTTCCTTTTAATGACTATTTACCTAAATTTAAAAAGGAGAAAATTAAAAAAAAAGTTAAATCTCGGAAGATTAATATATTCTCTCTGAATCAGAAAGTAAATATTAAAAGCTATTTTTCAACAGTCTGTTGGAAAGTGACGTTTTTGTATTTATTTTTTAAAGTTATTTTTAGCAGTTAATTTCTCCCTTTAACTGCCACAAATATTTTTTAAATAGTTGATATTTTGGATTTTTATTTTGTGTGTTTTAACTTTTTTTTGAAAATTTTTCCCTTTTATAAATATAGGCAAATAATCATCATTCAGTTTTAAAGTCATCATCACAACTATTTTTTGTAATTTTTTTCATTTAAAAAACCTCTTCCGTTTATTTTTTTCGAACTTTAAATTATTTATGTATTTAGCTTTTAAATAGTTATGCTAATAATCAAAAAAAATTTTTTACTCTGATTTTTTTTCATTTCCTTTCTCTATGCCAAATAAACCTTTTAATTTTTAACCTTTTTTTTTTTGTTAAATTTATCAATTTTAGTTGAACAAATAAAAAATTATTTTTTCAATTGTTTTTTCCTCTTCTATATAAGCTGAAAGAATGAAGATTAAGCACAAAGCCTTTTTGGTTAAGTGGGTTAAACCGCTGAAATTCCTGAATGATCGTTCAGTCAAAAAGTTACCAGCGCTTTAATTTTCGCGCCAATTTTTTAAATTTATTTTTATACAAAAATATTTAAGAAAAATTGATTTGTCCATCAAAACAGCTTTATAAAAATATTTGGGAGGTCATCTTTTTTTAAATGCCCATCAGTCGTCGCTACTGTTTTTCTTCTTCCGTCATCGCGCCCTTCCACTACCAAACACCCTCTTCTTCTTCCTCTTCCCCCCATTTTTTAACCAAAAATTCAACAATCACTTTTCCCGCTCTGTCGCATTTTCCTCTTTTTATAAATTTCTTTTTTTTTTAAATGTTTCAACGAGTGACAGCGCGTACCAGGAGGAGGAAGCGCATATTTATAGGACGAGGAAGGAGAAAAATGAAAGGAGGAATGGGAGGTGGACACCGGTGTGGTCTATATACTACATTTTCTGTGTTTATTCAGTAAAAAAAGAGAAATTGGACACGCCCATAACAGACAAAAACGGGTGGTAGCAAATGACCAAGTTTAAAGGGGTTATTCTTTTCTTTTACTCATTTATTAATTTATTTTGGGTGATTTTGTGCTTCCTCCTCTTTTTTAATATTAAAAGCATTTTTATTTTATTTTTTTGAAATTTAACTGTCTAAAAAATAAATAAAAGTTCAAAGAAAAATGTTCATTTCCAAACGTTTTTTTCTTTTTTTTTCACTTTTACTTTCTCTCTCTTTCACATTTGGCTCTAAAAAAGCATTCAAAGAGGAAAAAGTGTGTTTTGATTGTTTAGAGTTTGCTTTCATTCTTTTTTTTCCAAGCCGCAGCTTTTTTTATATTTTTATTTATTTTCTTTCAGTTTTTCCTTTTTATCGTGCCATTTTTTAAACGTGTATTTATTAATGAGAATTAAGAAAATTCCTTTTTAGAGCCTATTAGCTTATAAAATGGAAGCTAAAAAGTTTTATTTTTAAACGAGCGACTGCAAATAATTTTTGAACTTTTTTTAATGACTAAGACTTGTTGACATTTTTAAATTATTTGTTCCTTTTAGTGATTTTCTAAATTGGATGTTCTGAAAAATTTTGTATTATTTACCATTTTGACATTTGATATTTTGTATTTTCTTGTTTATTTATTTTCAAAATGTATAGACAAAAACAACTAATTTTGTTGAAAAACAAAAACAAATATATTTTTATTATTTCCAGCCGTTCTTGCCAATTTTTTGTTTTGACCCTCAATATTTTGCTTCATTTATTTGCAAAAACATTTTTCCCGTACTTTTTTTTCTTTTTATTTATTTTTCCCTTTTTTCTTTCTCTTATTTTTAATGCTGGCTGGGTACATCCATTTCGTGTCTGGTCGCAACAGCCGCACGCTGCCCCGTGCTGGTCTGTGCCTGCCTTTTTTATTTTTTTTGTGTTTTCCTCCTTGAATAGACATTTCCCCTCAAAACATTAAAAAATGAGGCGAACGGAGAAGAAAAAAAGGAGGGAGAGGGAATGTTTGTGTGTGAGAATTTTTTTACTTCCACAAGAAAAACATTCTTTGAACTCTTTTTTCGCTCCGCGTGGGGTCATTTGTATATATATTTGGTGCCAGCTACAAACAAAATTTTCTTTTTTTAGTCTGACTGGACTTTATAAAAAAAGAAAGGATATTTTTTGAGAAAGATTTTTTATATTTAAAGTGTTTGTAATTTATTTATTTTTACATTTTAAATAAAAAAACTCAATTTATTCATTTCGCGCAACATTTAAATTTTTAAATTATTTTTTTAGTTTATTTTAAAATTTTATTTAAATGACTGCAGAGTGTCGACAAGCAACAAATAATTGTGGCCTTTTTACTTCTGATAGACTGGCAGAAATATGGGGCAATACTTCCACAGATGTTGAAAACAACAAAACCAAAAATTTTATTAATAATGATTTTGATTCCTTATCTTCGTCTTTTGATGGATTTTCTGAATTAAAGGTATTTTTAAATATTTTTTTGGATTTTAATTATTTTTAAATAGATTTCCTCCTCTCCTCCACATTTTTCTACCCTTTTAAATTCATCAACACAACCAAATAAATGTTCTCAAAAATTGGCTCAAAGTCGTTTATATTCGTGTTGGTCAATGCCTGAACAACAAAAACAACAAAATTGTTTTGAAGAAAAAGAAGGAAAACAGTCTTGGAGGAATATTTGGGATTGGGTGCAAAATAATGGAGATAATATTAACAACAAAATGGAAGGAGCAACAATTCTGGTTTCTGATCAACAAGGAAGAAATGAGGTAAAAAATATTAAGATAATTTTTAGTCAAGCAAGTGTCCTTGAGACATTTTTAAAAAAATAAATAAATTGATAAATTAATGACCGCCAAAAATTGAGAAGTAATTTTAAATAATTAAAAGTTTTGGAAGGAAAATATTTTTAATTTGTTAAATAAATTTTTTAAATATTTTTTTAAAGAATTCCTTTACTCCCGCTACCTACAAAATTCCAGAAAAGTTTGTTGCTGAAAATATAATTGATCAGCAACAACAACGTTCTAATAGTAATACAAGTTTTGAGGGAGGCTCTTCAAGTAATAATTCCTTTACTTCTTCACTTTCTGCTAACGACAACAATTTTTATTTTCAAAAACAAACAAATGATTTGGAAGGATATAATAATTATTGGGAAAATAATTCTTCTTCTTTTGACCAATCTTTGGCAACAACAAAATCAGCAACACTTCCCCCACAACCTCTTTCTGCTTTTCGTCCATTTCATCAACAACAAAAGCAAAAATCGCTTTGGTCAGAACAATTGGAAGACAAAAAAGAATTTGTTTATCAACAAAAACAGCAACAACAACAATATTTTGATAATCAAAATTTGAAAGGATTTGGATCTTGGCCTTTAATGAACAATTTTGAACAACAAAAACTACAATTTCAGAATGGGGATGAAATTAAGGTTTTTTGAATTTTTAACCTTTTTTAATTAAAAAATTTTGTTTAGCGTCCAATTCCAACACGTTTCCGTCCAATCATTGGGCAACGACCTTATACTGAAGAAAATAATAATTTACAACCTGCTCCTTTATTCAATGCTAATTCTTTTGTTAGTCAAACACCCCAACAAAAACAACAAAAAGAACAACAACATTTTGTTAATTCTATTAATTCTTCCCCAATTTCAACAAAAAAAGAAGAAAATAAAACAACAATTCCTTTGATTTCTTCCCGTTCAAAAAGTAATAGTTGTGATGAAAATGAACTTCGTTTATATCATAAACATTTGGAATTACAACAACATATTTATGAACATGTTTATTCACAAATGATTGGGATAATTAATTCTACTAATGGAGGAGTTCAACAGGTTTTTTTTCTTTAAATTTTGATTATGAAAAGTTAAAAAAATTTTTTAAGATAAACAATTCCCCCCAACAACAACAAACGCCTTTAATTTTAAAACAACAACAAAATCAATTTAATGAATTAAATGTTTGTTTAGAAGAATGTTCAGAACAATATAAACAATTAGAAAAAGAAAGGAAAAAAACTGAAGCAGAATTAGCTCGACATAATTTGGGGAAAAGAATTAGTTCTGCAAATAATTTACCAATTCCAAGATTGCCTCCAGCACCAGTAAAAACTTAAATTTTTTAAAAAATTCAATGAAAAAATTTTATTTCTTAAAGTCTCGTGTTGATCGTTTAATTGTTGATTTTTTTCGAGAACATGCAAGAATGGTAACTTTGTTAGAAAAAATGGAACAATTAAAAGAAGATTTAATAAATGAAAATATTCATAAAATCCATAGAGAATTTTTGGATTCAATAAAAATTTTACAACAAACGAGGCTTAATGAAAGAACTGCAATTTTACAACAATTGAGAGGAGGTGGAGGAGGAGGACATTATGACGAGAAAAGAGGTTTTCTTTCAAATAATTTTTTTTGAAAATTTTTTCCCTTATTTTTAAGAAACTGCCAACCTACTAAATGCATTGAAAGTTGTTAGTAAAGCTGTTTTGCGTAGTAGAAGTGCTAATTGGTGTTCATTAATTTGGACAATAGGTGCTGATGGACCTCAACAAAAAGATGAAATGGAAAAAATTGTTGAAAATAATTATGAATTGGCACCTCCAGAAATTAAATTAAGACCGTTATATAATTTTTAAATTTTTTTAAAATTTAACCACACTTAAAAGAGATACCCCGCCTAAACTTAAAAATAATTTATAGAAAAAATGCTCATATTTTTAGAGAGACTTCCCCGTCCCTTTTTTAATTAGTATTTTATTTTAAAATTTTTGTTTGATTTGTGTAGTTTATTTACCCAGAAAAATTTAATCCATAAAATTAATATAGATAATTTTTAGTTTTTTAAAAATATTAATTGTATCCTTTATTCTGTAATTTTATTGTTAGACTTATATTTTCTTTTAAATTTAATTTTTTTCACAACTTTAAAATTATTTATATATTTTTAGCTGAATAAATTTGTATTTTTTTAATTTATAAAGTTATGAACATGAAGAAGAGTTTATTAAATCTTGGTAAATATTTAAATTTTTTTGTTCTGCTTTTTGAATTTTATCGGATGGCTACGTTGGACTTTAGTTAACCATTCTTAATTTTATTTTTAAAATAAAATAGAATTGGCGTTTTGTTTTTTGTTGATGGGATGAAATGTCTCATTTTTTATTCTTGAAAAATTTTTTGTGAGGTATTTCTTAATTTTTTAAATTTATTTTCTAAGATTTTTTGTATTTTTAAATGATTTATAAAGGACGTACATAAATATGGATTATGTCAACTTTATCGAATTTCTTTCCTTCACCGCTACAGCTTCAACTATTGGAATGTTTTTGTGTGGAATTCAGATTTGTACAAGAATACACAGAAGAGGGTTTATTTTTTAAATTAAATTTTATTTTATCTTTTCATTTTTTAAGTTCAACAGAAGGAACAGGCGTTGCTCCCTTCTTTTTAACTTCAGTCAGTTGTATTTGTTGGCTAGGATATGGAATTCTTAAAAAAGACCAAACAATTATTTTTGTGAATGGAATTGGTTTGGTTTTTCAAACAGTTTATCTAGCTTATTATTATATGAAGACACGACTAAAGGTTTTATTTTAAAAATGAGTTTCTTAAATTAAAAAATAATTTAGAATAGGCTAAGACATTTAATCCTCATTGAATTCTTCATTGCTATTTTAACTACAATTTTAATTAAACATCAATCTTTTAGTCTTAATTTAAAAGAAAATATTCTTGGTATAATTTGTATGCTTTTGAACATTGGTTTGTCTTTTTTTATAATTTTTTAAACGAGATAATTTTTAAGCAACAATCGCTTCTCCACTTGCTGATATTGGACAAATAATTAGATCAAAAAGCACAGAATCTTTACCTTTTATGTTATGCTTGGCAAATATGACTGTAAATTTTTTTGATTATTCTTTTCTATCTTTTCATATTTTTTTTAAATTTAGGTTTGTCTTCAGTGGTTACTTTATGGCTTTTTGGTTGATGATCTTTACATGAAGGTAGGCTTGGATTTATTATAGTTGTTCTTTTTGTGTATAATTAGATTTATTCTTGTTTTGATAAAAGGGCCGGTGGTTAAGTGGGTAGCCTTCCGGGTTTTACCTCTTTATCTTGGAGGTTCGACACCTTGATTGCTTTATTTTTCCTTTTAAATTATTTTTTTTAATTTTATTTTTTAAGCCACAAAATAAATATTTTAAGGTGCCAAATTCAATTGGAACAATCATCGCTTCAGTGCAACTTTCCCTTTTTGTGATTTATCCTCGTTCCTACAAAGTTCTTGTTGTTAGAAAATCGAATGTTTAGAGGTTTTTTAATTTTATTTTTAGTCGTTATTGTTAATAATTTATTTGTATAATTATTTTAAAAAGTAAGGCCCATACATCTTTGTTTTTTCGCTAATTATGGGCTTATATTAATTTTTAAGTTGTGAATTTCTATATTATTTACCCGGTTTTTGAGATTTTTTTAGAATACTTTTAGTTGATATTATATTCAAAAACCACGTCTTTTTTCAATTTTTTGTTTGTTGCCTCAACTTTTATTGTTACATATGTCGCATAATTTTGTTCATTTTAACATTTTTTTCTTTTATGTCATAATCGTTTAATTATTGTGATCATTTAGTAGATTAATATATTCTGATTTTTGTGAATAAAAAATCGATGAATTTTTTTTAATTTATAATCTTCACGTTTCTAACATTTATTATATCTTTTTAAATCAATACATCTATCTTATAGACATTTAGATGAAAATAAATCAGCACGAATCAATAATTGGACAATCCTGTATTCTCGTTCCATATTGTTCTAAACACGTCCAAAAATACCATGGTTGGATGGAAAATGAAGAATTATTAATTGCAACATCTTCAGAACCTTTAACTCTTGTGGAAGAATATGAAATGCAAAAAAAGTGGCAAGAAGATTCTGACAAGTTAACTTTTATAATATTGGATAAACAGACATTTGAATCAAATGGTGGTGACGATGAGGTTTGTTTTTTTATTTTCAAATTTAAATTTTAAATCCTTTTAAAAATCAGATTGGTTCTATGGCTGGTGATGTCAATGCATTTATTTGTCAGCAAAACGAAGAAGAAGATGGACCAACTTTTGAACTTTCTGTAATGGTTGCTGAACAAAAATATAGAAATAAAGGAATAGCAAAAGAAGCTTGTTTATTAATTATCAATTATATTTTTAAAAGAATTAATTCTGCTTCTAATTTTATTGCAAAAATTTCTTTAAACAACAAATCAAGTATTTGTTTATTTAAAAAACTCAGATTTAAAGAAGAATCATTTTCTGATGTTTTTCAATTATTTACTTTTAAATTAAAAAATTGTGAAGCAAAAAAGATTGAAGAAATTCAAAAAGAATTAAAAATTGTTTATTATAATTGAGAGGTTTGAAATTTATTAGAAATTTTTTAAAGATTTTTTGAGATATTTTTTTTGTATTTTTAATCATTTTTCAGTTCTAAGCTGCTGTTGGCACATAAGGCGGTGGTGGTGAACGCACAAAACTGCTTGTTTGATTAGATTGCCCAACTGGTGGTAAACTTGGCCTTCTAGAAACAGCAATTGCTAATCTTGGACGCCCACTGACCATTATTGCTTGGTTTGGAACTTCTAAAGAAGAATAACGTGGAGGTGCTGGAGGAAAAAGAAATGGATCAAAAGGAGGTAAATTTCTTCCTCCATATTCTTGTTGTTGTACCATTCCGGGAGCAGCAAAAAAGTCTTGCCAGTCAGAAGAATTAAACCAATTTGGGGCAGAATAGGGTCTCCTTTGTGAATCAAATTGGGCTAATGCTAATTCAACTGATGGTAATTCGTTGTCCCGAAGGTTAATTCTTTGTGAAAATGGGCTTTCTGACCTTACAGCTTTGTTGGCCATAAAAGTCTTTAAAAATTAAAAATTATTTTTTTCCAAATATTTTTTTTCGCTTACAATTTTAATTCCAAGCACACTGAGTATTAACAAAGCTGAGGCTAAGGCCTCAGAAAAAATTAAGAATGGAGTATCATTCCTTTAAGAAATTTTTTAATTAAAAAAATTATTTTGCATACCCAATTCTATTTGCAGCTCTATTTTCTGGTATAAGACTCCAAATTGAATTTAGAACAATTAAAATTCCAAGTAAAATTGAAAGAGCACATAAAGTCCAGATTACTTTTCTTTAAAAAAATTTAATTTATTTTTTAAGGAACAACAGTCAACAACAAAAAAATTACCTGAATGGATGAATTTTAACAAGCAAATTGTGCATAACATATTTATCTAGCTCTCCCATTGAATGTGAATTATTTGAATTATTATTTGAAAAAGTGTTTTGTCTTGTAGGTCTAATACGACGAAATCTTCGGCCAAAATAATGATGTTGGTGATTATTCAATTGACGTCGACGTTGTTGTAATCCTGGCTGAGGAAATGGACGGCGAGGGGCGGAGGATTGATTCATTTACTGGAAAGACAAAAATGGAAAATGTAAAGGAGAGTGAATGACGCGCGAAAATGTTTGGTTTTTAAAAGAGGTAAAAATGGATTTAGTTTTGTAAAATTAAAAAGAAAATATATTTTATAAGAATGGCACAAAAACTGAGAAATTTTTTAGAAGAAAAAAGGAGATAAAAATTTAATAAAAGGGAAGAAGCCCAATTAGAATAAAAATTAAAAAATATTTAGAGAGGTTTCTTTTGTTGGAAAATAATAATGAATACCTTGAATATATTAAAAATGATTTTAGGAGGTGATTTTAGGTGAAAGAGATTTTTGATAATTTAAATTTAGAAAAATTATAGTCTGAAAGCTTTGAAGATTTTGGATTTTTCTTACCGAGAATTACCTAGAATCCCCTTCTGTCATTTAATTCTAAAAAACCGTGAAACATATTAATAAAAATCTTTTTTAGTTGATTATTAAATGGCTTTATGCACGATCATTACTTCAAACAAATGTTCGTAATGCTCTTCACAATCTGATTCTGCAATGTTAAAAAAGATGGGTATACTTTTTGCTTTGTTTTGGGCTTTTACAAGTTTGTTTTTTAATTTTTTGAAATTTAATTTTCTTTTTTAGATCGATGGATCTAATCATTTTCCAAAATTCAACGAAATTCTTTTTCAGCTGACCACATGGCTCTTCAATTCCCAAATTTCAAATAAAAAATCGGTTTTTTAATTATTGTTTTTTAACCATTAAAAATATTTTTTAGAGATCGAGATCCAACAGAAATTCTTCAATGCCGAGAAGTGATGGGCCTGTGTTTGCTGAAGAATGAACTTTTGTGTTCAACATTACCTTTTTGATTTTTTATTATATTGTGATATCTGATTTTACAATAAAAAAACCGATTTTAAAAGTTTTTGAAATTCTTTGCACTCATGGGGAAAACACCTTGAAAAGAAGTAAGAAACGCGAATTTAAAGCGACATTTAATTTGGCGTACTGCAATAATTTGAAATAAGTGACACTTTGTCCCCGAAGTTAGAGAAATACAAAAAAAGAAATAGTGTGGTAGAGATGAAAATTAATATTCCGGTCATTTGAGTCTTGAGAAACTAGCAAACTTAAAAAATCGATAAAATCAATACTAATCGATAATTTATTTTCTAAAAATTTTTATTTTTTAAAAAATCGATACTAATCGATAAAATCAATACTAATCGATAATTTTTTTTCCAACAATTTTAAATTTTCAAAAAATCGATATCAATCGATAAAATCAATACTAATCGATAATTTTTTTTCCAAAAATTTTAAATTTTCAAAAAATCGATATCAATCGATAAAATCAATACTAATCGATAATTTATTTTCCAAAAATTTTAAATTTTCAAAAAATCAATATCAATCGATAAAATCAATACTAATCGATAATTTATTTTCCAAAAATTTTAAATTTTTAAAAAATCGATACTAATCGATAAAATCAATACTAATCGATAATTTATTTTCCAAAAATTTTAAATTTTCAAAAAATCGATACTAATCGATAAAATCAATACTAATCGATAATTTATTTTCCAAAAATTTTAAATTTTCAAAAAATCGATACTAATCGATAAAATCAATACTAATCGATAATTTATTTTCCAAAAATTTTAAATTTTCAAAAAATCGATACTAATCGATAAAATCAATACTAATCGATAATTTATTTTCCAAAAATTTTAAATTTTCAAAAAATCGATACTAATCGATAAAATCAATACTAATCGATAATTTATTTTCCAAGAATTTTAAATTTTCAAAAAATCGATACTAATCGATAAAATCAATACTAATCGATAATTTATTTTCCAAAAATTTTAAATTTTCAAAAAATCGATACTAATCGATAAAATCAATACTAATCGATAATTTATTTTCCAAAAATTTTAAATTTTCAAAAAATCGATACTAATCGATAAAATCAATACTAATCGATATATTGATTTTTTAAAAATTTGTAAAACTCTGTAATAAAAAGTTGAGCATTTATAAACTAAAAATTCATTATTTAAATTTAAAAAAGGCGCATTGAAATTCTAATTTAATTTCCTTCATCTTCAAATTGATTAGAATTTTCATCTTCTAGTTGAGCTTCCTTTTCTTTAGCCAAGACAGCATATTTCCGAAGTTTTGATTCCAAATAAGATATCCGTTCTCTAAGTTTTGTTTCTGTATTTGTGTGTTCTGCCAGAAGTCTTGCAACTCTGAAAATTTAAATATGTTTTAGATGGGACAAATCTGCAAAAAATAGTCCAAAAATTGTGCGAACCAAATAATTAGACCAACTAATTAATTTACAAACCTAATTTGAAGAATTCTAACAGAAGATTGCAATTCTTCAGTCATTTCTTCTGCTGATTTTTGTTCCTCGGGAGCATTCTCATCCAAAAGATTGTCTTTCCGTAATAATTCACGACCCTAAAAAAATAATGTTGAATTTATATTAAATTAATTTTATAATAACCTTGTTTATAAGAATTTTTCTAGCTTCTGGATATTCTCTCAAAGCTGAAAATTAATTAAGAGATATTCTAATGTAAGTAAAACATTAAAAAAATACCTATCCAAAGATCAACTTTATTCAAAACAAACAAATCGGTATATCCAACTGATCGAACATTTGCTGTGCGTCTGTTTCCATTTTTACTTCCAGCAATGTTTAGTATAGATCCAAATAAAAAAAGTGAAATAATTAAAATTAAAAGATAAATTAAAATTTACAATTCGCCAAAGACAGCACCTTCAGATAATGTAGCAAATATTTTAGAACCATCATCACTTACAACCTGGAGCATGCCTCTTTAAAATATTCAAGTTAGAAATTTAAAAGAAAAATTTAAAACCTCTTAACAATATACATTTCTCGTCCAATATCACCTTTGCGACAAACATAATCATTTGGACTAAATACTTGTAGTTGCAATTTAAGTACCAATTCTGCCAATAAACCAGCTTCACAATCCTAATAAATTTTAGAAAATCACTAAATAGATATTAAAAATAAATCAACCTGAAAAATTCGCACTTTACGAAGAGTCTCAAAATGGACATGCATTGCAATTTCAGCTTGTAATTTATTAGGCAAAACCTTCAGCACCTGAGCATCAGCTAATCCTTGTTTATTGGCCCATAAATAATCAAACCATTTAATGACACGATTTTCCAACTTAAAATTAAAAAATCTTTGATTGGAAAGTTGAAAAAACCTGTTTTCCAACTCCTCGTAGATCCATATATTGCTTGATAGAATCAATTCTATTTTGAAAATCTGTTCGTCCGGCACTTATGTTTGAGATCATACTGAAGAATTGAAAAATGGGAGTTATCTAAAAAGTTTAAATTATCAAACCTTCCTACATTTCCAACAATTGTAGCAAATATAAGTACTCCACACATTAAATCGACAGTTACAAATGCATACTCTACATTTTGTTGGGGTCCAGGCACTTCACCAATTGTTGTTAAAATTAATGTTGACCAATAAAAACTAAAAAATTGTCGAATAATTTAATTAAAATTTTAAAAGAACCTGTAAATATATCTTCTAGTTAAAGTATCATTAATTCCATCAGGCAGACTTTGTTTATTTTGAGCACCATATACCCATGGATCTGTTCCCAAACCAATACTTTCAGATATAAGAAAATAAAAACTAAAATTTAAAAAGAATTTTTGTAATGAAATTAGTAGTATTTACCAAGCATTCCAATGTATAATAACAGCAATATACCAAACAACAACTCCAACTCTAAAAGCATTGGGCATTGAAGTTCGAGTTTCCGTTTGCTCCATAAAACGTTGAATTCTTTCATTTTTGAGCAGACGATTCAATCGAAAAATAGGAAATGACCTCCAAAGTATGATTAAACAAAAATGATCAATTGGCAATAAACTAGCAATGTCGACCTAAAAATTTAAAAATAAAGAAAACAAAAATCATGACACGAGACAAACATTAAGGGTAAAGCCCAAGGGTGTACCGACACTTGCGGAACGACATTTGCGGATCGACAGTTGCGGACCGACATATGCGGATCGACATTTGCTGACCCGACATTTGCGGATTAACATATGCGGACGGACATTTGCGGACCGACAGATGCGGATTAACATTTGCGGACTCGACATTTGCGGACCAGTTAATGATTTAAAAAAAATAAAGGATTTTCAAATTTTTTCGACTTACAAATATTTATTTGGATCGGGTTGCGTGTCGAAAATGTCAGGGTACCGGGTCTGGCAGGTGAAAATGTTGAATCAGCCTACAATTTTGGGACTAGAACCTTTTTCTTGTTCAAATTTGAAAATTTTCGAAGACACAAGCCCAAGGCGATCTCAATATTTAGGACGAAACTTTTACAAGAGTAAAGGATTTTTATTTTCTTGAAAAATTACCAGGTCCGCAAATGTCGGATCCGCTAATGTTAATCCGCATCTGTCGGACCGCAAAAGTCGATCCGCTTCTGTCGGTCCGCAAATGCCGGGTCCGTTTATGTCGTTCCGCAAAATTCAATCCGCATTTGTCGATCCGCAAATGTCGTTCCGCAAGTGTCGGGTAACCAGCCCAAGTAGGCGCACGGCCAAGTAGGCGCAAAGCCATAACTTGCTTCAAGATTTCCGAATCTTATCAAATTTACTATTAAACGATTCCTCTCATCGAGCTAAAGAGATTGGTACCAAAATTGTTGTTCTAAAAATTTTGCAGCTAGTTATGGCTTTGCGCCTACCTGGCCGTGCGCCTACTTGGGCGTGTCCCAAACATTAAGAATCCCAAAAGACTAACAACCTAATGATTAATTTAAAAATAACCAAAAACTGCCGACTTCTAAGGTACAGAGAACGAATTTTGGCACAATCACGAACGAGAAGGCCTTGCTCCAAATAACCTAAACTTAAAAATTAAAAACTATAAACCAAGAGAAAAAAACAAACCTGTACGAGAACGGACAAACATATCAGCAACATAAAAGGAATCCATCAAAAGGTCAAGTATTAACCAAAGTATCCATAAACGACCAGCAGCCAAATCAATGAAGACAACCCGGGCTATGACGACCTTAAATTAATCAAATAAGTGCAAGCAATCAATCAGATCGATGCTGCCATGAATAAAAATCCCCATACCAAGGGCTTTCAATATTTATTAAAAAACAAACCAAAAGATTGTAGACATAAGCAATTGAGACTAAAGCAATCCAATGATAATACTCTAAAATATGTATTAACATATATACTTTAAAACAAATAAAAACCTGGATCGTTTGAATCAAAAACAACAGTAGAAAGCCACTTCCTTCTATCATTATTGCTGCTTTGTTGATCATTAGCATTGCCAGGCTTAAAAATAAAAAGAATAGTAGTAGAAAATTAATTTTAAAAACCTGTATTCCAGTTCCAGACATTCCAAATTTTGACATGAAATTGGCTTGCTCTACCGAATTCTCATCCATTACTCGATTTCTATTGCGAAATCTTGATATCGACTAAAGATGTAATTTAAAAAATCTTTTAAAAATAATAAGAACCTTAGAAAGTCCTTTAATTAGCGAAGGATTCATTTGCGTAGGTATTCTCTTTTGTTGTTGTTCTTCATTAATAACTAAAGACGATTCTTGTTGCTGATCTTGTTGTTGTATTGATATCTTTCTTTGTTGTTGCTGTGGACTACTTATTGTAATTATTGGAGGTGTTGGAATCTTCGATATAATATTTAAATCTTCCATTGGAGATATTCCACTTTTAATAGAACCATTTCTTTTAATATTTTCTTCTTTTTCTTCTGAAACATCTTTATTCTCTTCTTTATTTTCTATAGAAATATTTAAATTTAATGAAGTTGAAGGAACAATACTTTCAGAAATACTCTTAGAATTAACACTTTTGCTTCTCTGTAATTAAAAACAAAGAATTTAAAAATTATTTAAAAGAAAATTTATACCTTTCTAGGTTCAGCCAATTGTATATCCAATGTTGAACTAAAAGGTTTTTTAATTTCATTGTCATTAAATGTTGATTGCGGTGAAAATCTTAAAGGTTCAACCTTTGTTATTTTTCTTCTTCTTTTATTATTCTTTTGAAAACTTTCAATGTCTAAAGATTGTTGTTGTTTTAAGTTTTTTCTTCTTCGTTTTTCATTATAGTTTTTTAATTTTTCAAAATGAATTTTCTCTAACTCCTCTGTTGTTTTTATTTTAAATTGTACTTCATTTTGTTGATGCTGTTCATCGCTATCCTTTAAATTTAAAAAATAATAGAGATAAAAAGATAAAAATAATCAATTTTAAATTAAAAACTTTCATTTTTCCGGAAAATAAGTCTACAATAAATAAGTTTACAATTTTCCGGAAAGGAAATAAATAAATGAAAAATTTTCAGGAAAATAAATAAGTTTACAATTTTCCGGAAAGGAAATAAATAAATGAAAAATTTTCAGGAAAATAAATAAGTTTACAATTTTCCGGAAAGGAAATAAATAAATGAAAAATTTTCAGGAAAATAAATAAGTTTACAATTTTCCGGAAAGAAAACAAATAAATTTAAAAATTTCCGGAAAGAAAATAAGTTTACAATCTTCCGAAAAAAAAATAAATAAATTTAAGTTTCCGGAAAATAAATAAGTTTACAATTTTCCGGAAAGAGAATAAATACTAAATAAATTATAAGTTTTCCGGAAAATAATTAAGTTTACAATTTTCCGGAAAAGAAATAAATAGATTTAAGTTTCCGGAAAATAATTAAGTTTACAATTTTCCGGAAAAGAAATAAATAGATTTAAGTTTCCGGAAAATAATTAAGTTTACAATTTTCCGGAAAAGAAATAAATAGATTTAAGTTTTCCGGAAAATAATTAAGTTTACAATTTTCCGGAAAAGAAATAAATAGATTTAAGTTTCCGGAAAATAATTAAGTTTACAATTTTCCGGAAAGAAAATAAATAAATCAAATTTTCCGGAAAATAAATAAGTTTACAATTTTCCGGAAAGAGAATAAATACTAAATAAATTATAAGTTTTCCGGAAAATAATTAAGTTTACAATTTTCCGGAAAAGAAATAAATAGATTTAAGTTTCCGGAAAATAATTAAGTTTACAATTTTCCGGAAAAGAAATAAATAGATTTAAGTTTCCGGAAAATAATTAAGTTTACAATTTTCCGGAAAGAAAATAAATAAATCAAATTTTCCGGAAAAGAAATAAATAGATTTAAGTTTCCGGAAAATAATTAAGTTTACAATTTTCCGGAAAAGAAATAAATAGATTTAAGTTTCCGGAAAATAATTAAGTTTACAATTTTCCGGAAAAGAAATAAATAGATTTAAGTTTTCCGGAAAATAATTAAGTTTACAATTTTCCGGAAAAGAAATAAATAGATTTAAGTTTCCGGAAAATAATTAAGTTTACAATTTTCCGGAAAGAAAATAAATAAATCAAATTTTCCGGAAAATAAATAAGTTTACAATTTTCCGGAAAAGAAATAAATAGATTTAAGTTTCCGGAAAATAATTAAGTTTACAATTTTCCGGAAAAGAAATAAATAGATTTAAGTTTCCGGAAAATAATTAAGTTTACAATTTTCCGGAAAAGAAATAAATAGATTTAAGTTTTCCGGAAAATAATTAAGTTTACAATTTTCCGGAAAAGAAATAAATAGATTTAAGTTTCCGGAAAATAATTAAGTTTACAATTTTCCGGAAAAGAAATAAATAGATTTAAGTTTCCGGAAAATAATTAAGTTTACAATTTTCCGGAAAGAAAATAAATAAATCAAATTTTCCGGAAAATAAATAAGTTTACAATTTTCCGGAAAGAGAATAAATACTAAATAAATTATAAGTTTTCCGGAAAATAAATAAGTATATAATCTTTTCGACAATAAAATAAATAATTCGATTTTTTCCGGAAAATAGGTTTACAAGTTTCCGGAAAGAATATTTTAAAGGAAAATAATATGCTGAAATCTTACCCGATTTTCATTAAAGTGTTTATCATCCTCATTGTCCGAAACTGCTTCTCTGGCCAAATGCTTTTTCCATCCTCCAATCGGAAGTTGTTGCTTTAACCATTGATTATTATTTGATGTTGTTGGTGTTAAATGGTGTTGATAATTACTTGTATTTGGTTGCTGTTGTTGTTCTTGGTCAGTATTAAAAGGCGAACGACTTTGTGAAGCAGAAAACAATCGAGCAGAAAAAAGACGTTGTTGACGATCTGTTGGCTGAAAAAAACAAGAGAAATATCTCTCGGTTTACACTAAACTATTTACAAAACCTGTTGAATACCACTTGTATCAGCAATTCTGTTACTTTCAAATGGTGATCGTCTTCTTCGTTTTGGCTGGGAATTATTTGCTGCATCATCTTGAGCATTAATATTGCTGTTTTTTCTCATTTTTATCAAAATTTATAAGAAGCATATTTGTAGTAAATGAAATAATACCATTGAAGAATGAGAGAATAATAAAGGCTACAAAAAATAAATTCGTATTTTAAATAAAAAAACTTAACAACCCATTAATAATTTAAAAATGAAGAAGGAAGTTTTTTAATTGAGAGAAACTTTTCTGATTCGGAAATGTGGGTGTTAATAGAATAAAACAACACTTTTTTAAATATAAAAAATAAAAAGGGGGAGGATTAATAAATTAATTGCAAGTAAAAAATTTTTTTAATACTTTTAATAGAGTAAAGAGATTTATAAATATGTAATCCTTTTAATAAAAATTTTTTAAGATTTTTAGTGCCCAAAAATTAAAATTTTAACCAGTCCTGTTATAAAAGAATGGCACCACCCCCAAAAAAATAAAATATCAAATATTTTGGCGGCAAAAATATATTCTTCCCGTTTATTATTTTAAAGAATTCAAGCTTTATAGAGGATTGACAGAAAAAATAAATTTTTGTAAAAATGACAAATTCCTTCTCTAAAATGTAAGAAAATCCATTAGCGATTATTAAAAAACCTTTTTAACCCCTTTTAAATATTCTCTATATATATTTGCCGCCCCTTTATATAACCCACCTTCACATTAGCATCATCCTTTCATTCTGTCCATTAACGTTTACATTTATTTTTTATATACATATTGCATAGATAAAGCATTCTTCATTTAAAAAAACCTCTTCTTTTGATGATAAAAAATTGCCATGGAAACATTTCACATCCATTCATATTGCCAAAAGAGAAGCATCTTCCAATCAAACAGCAAATGTGTCCTCCAGAAAATTGAACTAATAAAAGAGACATGTTTTTTTAGAAAATTTAAATAATTTAAAAATATTTAAATGTATAAAAACATTTATTTTTCTATTAAATAATAATTTTATAAAATATATATTTATTTACATATCTAAAAACAAATAAAAATTTAAAAAGAGAAGAAAAAACAAAGAGACAAATAAATATTAAATCTATTTAAAAAAAGAAAAAGGCATTTTTTTGGAATGAACATAAAAAAAACTTTGTATCAATTCTATATCAAAACACTATAAACCAAAATCTCAAAAAATTTTCAATGGATTACTGAAACAGAAATTGGGACAGAAAATAAATTTTTTAAACCTGAAATTTTGGCATAGTGTGTTAATTTTCTGGGTAAAAAAAAAGCTAAATTTCGTTACAATTTTTTTAAAAGTTTTAACATTCCTTGTAATTTCTCAAATTATTTACTCCAATACCACTATTTTTAATTGTTGAAGGAGCATGTTGAATATTTCCAGCCTCTGCCTCACATAAATATTTTTGTAAATCAACAACCTTGTCACTTACTCTTTCAATTGAATGGGTAAAACTTTAAAAAAGAAGAAATGTTTAAAAATAAAAAATAAAATTAAAACCGATTTCGATGTATCAAGTAGGAGATGACAATAAAAATAATTAAAACAGGAACTGTAATTTTAGAATAAAATAATTTTTAAAAGAAAAAATAACGCTAACCAAGCATTCCTGTTGTTATATAGGCAGCAAATATATAACCAATTGCATTAAACTTTACAAAGAAAATAACACCAATTTCAAGAAGAAAAAGTAAAAGTCCAACACAAGTTGAGAAAAACCAAGAAAGTTCAATATAAAATCTTTAAAAAATAACATAAAATATTATTTTTTTAAATTTATACAAAAAAACCTTAATTTAATATGTGGAGAATCTTGAGTACATCCATTAGCTTCTACAAAATTTTATAAAAAAATATTTTTTTAAATTAAAAAAACCTATATAAGGTAACAGACATGTTGACATCATTAGAGCTAATAAATGAACAGAAACTAGCAATGTAGTAACCACTCCCAACATTATCAGTAAAGGCTTTGGTGTATCAGGCAAATATTGTAATTCGACTAGTGCAATCTAAAATGTTAAAAATAATTTTTTGTCAAAATTCACTACCATTGCAAAGCCAGAAAGAAGTGCAGATGTTCGAGAAGATGCTTTCAGTTGAGCTCGACTCAAATCATAACGATACTTTTCGTTGATTGACAGTTCTCCACGATGCCTATAAAAAATATTTTAAAAATTTAAAAAATATTAACAAAATAAAATCGACTTTTGGATAGGTTCAAGATGATAAGGCGTATAAAATGCACTCCTCGATTTAATTTTTGATTTTGATGATTTTGTTGGAGTCCCAATTCCACCTCCACCACCCCCACCACCATTGGTGCTATCACCTGCCAAACTTTCTCCACAACTTCCACCTCCCGAAGTTTGAGAAAAAGGAGGAATAGCAACAGCTATTGCGGTTGCTGTACTCATTGCTATCTTTGGACCAATAAATAAATTGTTGCTTGAACTATTTTTCTTTGATTGTTGATTTATTAAAGGAAGACTATCGATTTGTTGTTGCTGTTGAAGATTTGTTAATGCAGCTGTATAAAGTGGAGATCGGCTACTTTGTTGTTGTTGCTGCTGTTGATATAGAAGAGGAAGAAATGATTGATTATTTTGATTAAGACCGTGAATACTATTGCTTCCATTACTACCATTATTAATTCCAACATATGATCGCTTAGCAGCGATTGGATGAAAAACCCCATTTGGAATATTCATAATAGAGCCACTGCATAACGTTTTATTACCATCGTTATTATTTTGATAAGTTAATGATGAATTGGTAAGTGAATTTGAAGAATTATTTCGAATAATTTGAGAATTCATAATTGCTGTTTGTGACAAAGAATTTGTTGTTAAAGTAGGAAAATTTGATTTTGATTGAAAATTATTATTATTTAAAATGCAGTTATTTTCTTCTTGTTCTTGTTCTTCCTCCACCTTCTTCCATTGTTGATTAATGTAAGTGGGCAAGTGAGATGTTGAATTGGAATGTGAGGGTGGTGGAAAATTCGACGAGGGTGGTGGTAGTGGAGATCCAAAATTATTAAGCGAGCTTTTGGCCGAAATGAACAAATCATCATCAGATGTGAAAATATTATGAGTAGTAGTAGAAGAAAAGGATGAAGAATGTTCCTTTTTTAATGTTGGAATGGAAGGAGGCAATTGTAATGATTCAAATGTGAGGGTGGAAAAAGAAGCTCGATGATGATGATCAGTCGTCGTTGTCATTTTAATTTAAGATTTAGAAAAAATAATTTTTTAAAGAGAAAAATTTAAAAATAATATAGCTGAAGATTTAATGTAAGAACACGTGAAAATTATGTGTAAAATGAATAATGAGAAATTTCGGGAAAAATTAAATATTTAAAAATTAGAACAAATTGTGCAAGAAAGAAATTAATTAAAAAATACATAGATTATTAATGAAAGGCCAACAAATATTTAAAAAAATCAGAATATTTAGAGAGGCTGGAAATAACTTTTTTTGCTAATTTAATCAATAAAATAAAGCAAGAATGAGTAATAAGAACACCCCTCGATGGAAGGTGGAGTATGAGGGTGGAAAAAAAGAAAAGAATGATGTTTTTTTTTGGAAATCGATCTCTTATCTAATATAAAAAGGTAAGAATTTTCTTTTAATTGTTTACATAGAGTTTTGTTAAATAAAAAAAGATATTTTGTTGATGAAAAATTGAACTCAAAAAAGGAGAGAAAAATTAACGACCTTAAAAGAGGAACACAACTTTTACTAGTACATAAAAGGAGAAGAGAGGGACAATAAAAAAATATTTTAAAATTTAAAATATAAAAAACATAAATGATTAATTAATTATATAGTTGAACGTGAAGACTACATAGTAAATAGATGTTTTTAACGAAAAATACAATTTAAAAATAAATTTTAAGAAATTAAAAGACACTGATTTTTTGTTTGTTTTTGTCAAACAAATTCGCGGGAAATTACTCGTTAAAAACAATTTAAAAAATTTTAAATAAACCCACAATTTATGAAGACGTGTTATTGTAGCATATGAAGAAGGTAAATTGCCGCCAGCGGGAGATTGAAAGGAAGGTGTTGGTGTACTTGAATGTTGTTGCCTTTGAAGTGAAAGTGTTAAATGCCTGCTATAAATTGGAGCTGTTGATTGAGAAGAAGCACGAGAATTTATTGAATGTTGTTTTAAATCGTTTAAATTATCAAGGATAATAACTGGATCGTTGATGTTGTTTTGTTGCTTTGGAGATTCTAAAGAAAATTTAATTTATAAAATAAAAAGAATTAAAAAAAATACCATTTGTCTTTGTATTAATGTTGTTCGTCTGTATTTTAAGACCTCCATAAAGGCTAGTTTCCTCATGTCCCAATTTGTTCAAATCACTATGTGAACTGATGGATCTACGCTGACCAAATTCTTAAAAATTTTAATAAATTAGAAGTTTGGTTAAATTTCTAAAAATTTACTAACCATCAGAAATAGTAGAAACCTGAGTTGCTTGTAATGGGTGAATTTTTCTTTTATCATTCATTATGGTTGGCATCTGAAAATAATTTTTTAGTAGAGTAGGTGTCTTCTAAATAGGGATTGAATTAAGGATGAAATCATTTGAATTAAGAGTTCCCCTTCCTCACATTTTTATAAAATTATTCGGAAATTATTCTTAATATTTAGATAAAAAGAGAACCCTTAAGTGTTTGTTCTTGATACCAATGAACAGAAAATTTAAAAAAGATACTTCAAAAAAGAATTGAGTAATTTTGATTTATTTTTAATCTTAATCGAATATTAAATAAGAAACAGGTTCTCAGAGATCGAAACTTTAGATCATTATCCTTATCAATTTAGTTGAGTTTGCCGCTCATTAAAATTGGCCTTGATTAATTAATTTCAACTCTTTCCCACCCAAGAAAACCTATCCTAATTAGCCTACAACTTTACAAACACTATTTTTATTGACCAATTTTGCCTCTTAAATTCACCGTTTTATAAAATAAAAAAGGAAAAAAATCTGTCCCTCAACTGTTGCTCCGTTCATTTACTGATTTACTTACCGATAAAGGATGCGAAAGAGAAATCGCAGGAAGAGGCCAATCGTCTATTGTATCGGCCTGAAGAGTAAGTGAATGATGCCCAGGAACTTTGTTTTCATCATTTTGTATGAGTGTCATGTAAAGATCATTAATATAATTTTTTTAACCTGAAAAATACATAACAAACAATTTTCACACTAGACAAAAATTAAATTAAAAAAAAAGGAATTTGTTAAAATATAAACAACTAGAGATTATTTTTATTTATTTTTTACTCAACAAATCTCGCATTATAAACAATTAAATATATAATCTCATAAAAATTTTATTAAGTTATGAAAATTATAAAAATCTCTCTAGTTGCCCATATATTATTGCGAGAAATTTTTAAAAATCCGATAAAAAATATAATTAAACGGATAATCCGAATGTTGAAACAAAATATAGAAATTAAAATATAATATTTATTAAAAAATACTTTTAAAAAAATATATGGCATCTATCAATACATATTTACATTAATAAGGAATGTCATTTTGAAGAAATTGAATTTGATCATACATTTTTGACCTAACATTTGTGTAACAACTATTTATTATACTCATCATATATTTTGCAGCCTCTCTGTCAGTGGCTTCAGGTGCAAATCTTGAAAATTCGAAAATATTATATGCCAATATTTTTAAAAAAAATATTTTCTAATTTTTTTAAAGAATGTTTTTTAACCTGCTTCGAAGTTGTTGAATTGTTTTTCCTCTAAAACAAGGCAATTTTGTATCTAACATCATTGAAACAAGAGCAATAAAATCCTTAAAAAAAGATTTGTTTAAAAAAATCCATTGTAAAAAATACATTATAATAAGGACGTGTTGCCAAATAAACTTGAACACATTTGTCAGCAAATTCTCGAAAAGGACCAGAGTCCGTTCTGTGGCCCATTATATCAACCATTTCTTGTGACAATTTGAAATCAGGTTCAAATCCTAAATTACCACCAGGACTACTTTCAAACATAAATCCAAAATCTAAAAAAATAAACATTATTTTATTCTAAGAGATTCTAATAAATACCAATGTGAATGATTGATCCACCAGAATTCAACATAATATTGCCATTATGTCTGTCTTTTACTTGGAGGAGAAAACTAAACACGCTATATGCGGCCATACTTTTAATGAAATTCCTCCTTCAAAATTTCAAATATTTATTTTTAATTAACAAGTCTCAAACCAACCTCGCATGTTGAAATCCTTTGGTAGTTTCATCTCCATATTTAGTGACAAAATACTCAAATAAACCTGAAAATATTTTAATTTTAGTGGAAAAACCCAAATCAACCATAATCCGTTTGTCTGCCAAGCTGGTCTCTAGACTTAGAATCAGGAACACATTCAATCACACCACATCCAGGATTTGTAGAAACTACTCTATATGGAAATAATTGAATATCTATGCTTGCAGTTCTACAAATTTTCTCAATAAGTTGCATTAATTGGAGTGCCAAAACATCTTGACGAACATCATCACCAACCTTACAAAAAGAAATTTAAATAAATAAAAATTAAAAAATACTTTAAATATTGCTGATTTCATTGTAATCGATTTTGTGTTACAAGGTGATGAAACTCCATCAATTACAAAATTTTCTTTAGATAAAGTTGTCAATATTGGAGAAGCTTCTAATATAGAGTTATTTGAATCATTTTTTGTAGATGAATGAGAAGGTGAAAAATTTAGAAGATTTTTGGTTTTTGATGATTTTCGATGATGTCCTTTGCTGTTTGTTGTTACATGTTCTGGTGTAGTTTGTTGATATGTTTCTAAAGCAATCCGTTCAACAGATTCAACACCACAATATCGCATTTTAAATTGAACTAGATAAGGAGCCTTTGCAGCACTTAATGTAAAAAAAATTATACCATTCAAATTTTTAAAAAGAAAAACCTTTGCATTGGACTTGCAGAAGGATAATCAATTTCAAGCAAAATATAATCTGGATTTGATGGTAAGTACACAATTGATGTAAGCTTAATTTCTGTCAATGCTTTAAAACAAGCCTTTTTGCGAGCTTCTCCTTTTGGAACAGATTTTATAATTCCAGAAATGTTTGTTATTCGATCAACAAAATCAGATTCACTCAAGTAAAAGTTACGTGCTGCTCCTTCCAAACGACTCAAAATCTTGGGAAGAAAATTAATTTATAAAATAAATAAAATAAACCTTATTAACAATTTCTTTGAGTGGTTTATACATAATTGGATCTTCTACTTTTGCTTCTTCATCTATATACATATTCGAATGCATGTTCCACAAAAGTTGGTGAGCTAAAGGTTGAGAATGTGCTGCTAGATGAAGAATGAAATTTGCAATAAAACCATTCTGAAATGAAAACTCGAAAGTCAAATTGTTAAACCTAAAAAATATTTACATAATCCCATCTAACTGTTTGTACAAGTTGAGGTATATATTGAATAAGTACATCACATGAATAAGATTTTAAAACTCTAACAGCATATTTAATACTAATTGGGTGTATACTATGAATACGAGGGCAGAGAAGAGAAAGAGCTTGTACCGGAGAACAACGAGCCCATGTCAAAAGATGAGTTAACTAAAAATTAAGAATGAACCCTAATTATAATGTCAGAAATTATAAACCTCAATTCTTTCATAGTTTGTAAGTGGATCCCCAAGAAACAGAGGCAAAGCTTCTGGCATATGTGAAACTTCCTCTGGATATGCTCGAACCAATTCTTGTAAAACAATGTTGACGATAGAATACATTCGAAACCTATAGTTTGATAAATTTCTAATTGTAAGAATTTTTATCTTATTATCAGAACCTTGAAGCCATATGAACAGCCATTTCAGGTGAAATCTCCCATGCAAATTTGGCATTTTCTCTCATTTGTTTTTGATCAGGTTTAGATTGAAGCTCACCACCTAAAGTATTCTTCAAATATTGATCAAATTCCACTTCTCCAGGTTCTAATAAATCTCCGCGAGGATATAACCAAGCATATAATCTCTCAATTTCATTAATCTTCAAATGTAAAATATTTTAAAAAAAATTTTAATAAAACTATTTACCAAATATATCAAAATAAGCTGCCGTTTTCTCAAAAGATTTTTCATTTGTTTATCAATTAGTTGTGCAATTTCACCGTTAGTTTTACTCTGTGGTCTGCCAAGAGAATCTGCATTAGAAGAAACAGCCACTCCAGCTGCATGATTACGACTTTCAGAAATTGTTGCAGCATTTGACCAAACAGAAGAGGCACGAGGCATAGAATTCCACGTTTGGAATCTGCAAAATATTTTCATAAGTATTCTAGCTATATAAAAATAAATTTACTTGGAAGCCTCATTTGAATATTGAACATTATTAACTATTTGCTGTAGATTTGTAAAACTTAATTCAGGATCTGAAAATAATCAAATTTATTTTTAAAAAACTCTATAATCAACCATTTGTTGTAAATGTTTCTCTTCTAATATATTTTGAATCAGCATACAAAGCCTGCCAAAAACCAACAAGACTTGTTATATCATTTTGAAGAATATGCCCTCTATGTAAAGGCGTTTGAGGTGCAACAGTAAAATAGTCAAAAGCAACGGAATATATTCGTTGTCGAAGAACATTTTTAGAAATTCTCGATCCACCAGCTTCACCTTGAACCATTGTAAGGGCTGCTGAAAGTAAGCGGAATCGAGGACCCAAAGCACTGATATTTCTTGAAATAAGTGCTAGAAATTTTTAAATCTTAAAATTATCTAAAAAATCAAATTTACGTGTTTTAGTCTTCGCGTCAAAAGATGATGAAAACATAATTTTGTCGATAGCTAAATTTGGTACTGGGGAATTATCACCAACTTGCATTGAAAAAGTTTTCAGAAACATCATTTCTAAAAGATCATTCTGCTCTTGTCCACAATATTTTGCCAGACTAACTCGTTCAGTTAAAAACTAAAAATATTTTGAATGATATAAGGACAAAAAAACCATTACATTAATCCAAATATTATGCGGTCCTGTATCTGCATGTGGCCTCCTTAAAGCATTTTCTATAGAAACTGGACTATCAAATTTATCAAAATCACGATTGAAGATTCCCATAGAACGTTTAGCAACAAGCTCCCAACAGGTTGACATTTGTTGAAGAAACTAAAGAGTTGTTTTAAATTAAATATAAGATTTTAAAATAAACATCAATTTGTATATCCTCTCTAGTAGCTAATATCCAATTCCAACATATTACACAAAGACGCATAGTTTGTTCTGTGAACTGTCGAAAAGGTGCAAGAATAATTGAACGAAGTATTTTTTGATTAATTTCTGAAAGAAAATCATAAATTGTTAAAATTTTAATTAAAAATTTTTTTCAAACCTTTACAAACCATAAAATAAGCAGTCATTAATTGTAAAGGTTTTTCTAAACAATTTTGTTCATTCGTTTTTAAAGCTGTTTCAAATTGTTCTTCAAGATAATCAGAAAGTGATTTATGAGTAGCTTCTTCAATATCAACACAAATGTCTGGATTATAGATATAATTTTGTTTCTTCATCATTTCAAACATTCCTTTAATTTGACCCAAATAATCGGAACGTTGATTTAAAGCAGACAAATATGTTGAAATATCAACTGGGCCGCTACTTACAAGATTATCAGTGCCTAATAAAAGTGAAATTTTTTATTAAATTAACATGAAGTATATTTACTTATCATAATGCTTCCAATAGATACAGAATCAGTATTAGTTGTTGATGTTGTAGTAAACATTGCTGATGATGTTGTGCCTCCAACAAAAAGAGAATTAATCATTTCACGTTTAGTACAAGCCAAAACAGTGTTGATTGTAAGACGAAGGCTTTTGTCAGTAATTGAATCAGCAGAGCGTATAAACTCCAGTAAATGGCTATTTGTTAGTCCTGGAAAGAAAAATGAGTTTGGAAAATTTCCCGGAAAGTTTTGTTCCCACCTGGAGCCCATTTAACTGCTTCACATAGTATTTGTTCACACCTTTTAGTAAAATCCTTAGCAACAGATTTACGTCCATCCAAAGTGTCCTTAAAAATAATTTACAAGTCATTTAAAAAAATCAAACCTGTAACTGTATTGATAAACCCATTTGCGGAAATTCAATAGTAGATTGTGTACAACAAGCATCTTCCTCAATATTTTTAATTAAAGATTTCATTATTTGTAGAGCTGTAGTCAAAACAGTTCCACTCCAGAGAAGAAAAGGAAATGAATCAATTAATTTTGCCAAACAAACATCGGCAACTCGTCTAATTTCTCGCAAAATATTGTTAAATTGAACAAGTAAATATTGTGACATAACCTTCAAAAATATTTTATTAAAAATTTAAAAAATAATTAGAATTATACCTCCAATTCTTTTCTTATTTTTGAATCATTTGTTGAATTTTTTCTCATTCTTACTGAAAGAAATTCGTCAAAAATAATTATAGAACTAGCCAAAAGACATTGCCAAATGCCTGTTTTGTCTTTTCTTACGCCCCTAAAAATATCAAATATTAAAAATTCTTAAAGATATTAACCTGTTTTCAAGATAAAGAAAATTAGATCTAATAGAATCCAACTGTTCCGAATTGCTTACACGCATTTTCTCGAGACGACAAATAGCTAATAAATAAACACAATAACCAATATCAAGTCTTGAAATAATTGTTGAAACTTCTGCATTTTGTTTAAATTCTGTTGAGAGTAAATTACGGACTTCTAAAAGTTCTGCCTAGAAACAATAGCTCTCTAAAATCTTTAAATTAAAAAAATCAACCTGTGTAATTCCTTGTAATTTTATTGCTGTATTTTCAATCATTTCAGTTTTAAAATTATCAATAGGTAAAAGAGTTGGTGATTTAACAGCAATTTTACAAATAGCTTTATACCATTCTTCTGGCCATAATCCTTTGAAAAAAATAATTGAAAAATTAAGTTGAAACTATAGAAAAACCTGAAGGAAATGCAAAACCATGAATTACACAATAAAACCAAAAATCTCTAAAATGATTTTTCAGCCGAATTGAAGGGTCTTTTATCGGTTCCATTCGATCCAATAAAGAATTAATTTTAGGAATAAGAACACCCAAATTGCCTGCGCCAGCAGATTTCTTAAAGAAAAATTAATTAAAGAAAAGAAAAAAGTCAAACCTTAACAGTGAATTTATGCATTTTTTCTCCAATACGTTCTCCTTCAAGTCCCAATTGAATAAAAAGCTCAAGTAAGTTTATTAGGAAAGTCATTTTCTGTTCTTCAGATTCAATTGAACATGCAATTCTTGCCAAAGCATTATCAACAGAAAGTGTAACATGACTTAAAACCATAAATAAAAAAATTTTTATAAAAAAGAAATACGAGAATCTGCTAGAGGTTGGATCTGTTGAATAAACACGGCTACTTGATTCAATTGTTACTAACGTAAATAATTTCATTATTTTATCATAAATAATCTTCTAAAAAACAATCAAATTAAAAATAAAAACTGATTAATTAACCGTTCCAGAAATCCACATATCTGCCAAAGCAGAAATAATATGATTATCCAATTGAGAAGGTGGATTCGAAAAGCGTTGGTAAAAAATCTAAAAAGAAAGAGATAGGTATTAAAAAAATAAAAAGTTAACCTGGAATATTTGCTCAGAAGATGTTGGATCATCCATAAAAGAAACACCCAATTTTCCCAATGTACTAATAACATTCTCAGAAATTAAAACAGAATTCCTTAAATAATTTTAATTTACTATTTAAAAAAATTATATATATTATTAAAGAACAACCTGTCATTTTCAGACAAAATAGTATAAAGACGTGAAGATAAAGTTGTAAAACAAGCTTGTAATCTATTTTTATCAATTGTCATGGCAGATTTTAAAGCACTAAAAAATACATTTATTTATTCAAAAAAGTTTAGAAAATAACCGTGAAAGTGAATTAATTGCAGAAGAGCGAAGGCTAGAAAGACCAATTCTTTTTCTTGCAGCAATTATTTCAGCTCGTCCTCGAGATTCTTGTTGTTGATCATTCTTTGATTTCTAAAATTTAAATAAAATTTCGAAATAATATTTAAAAAGCTTACTGGTTCAGATGAAATTTTTAGAAGAATTGGACAAGGTTCCAATAAAAATTTACACAATAAACTAATAATTAATGTATTTGCCAAAGCTGGAAACTTTTCAGACATACTTCCCAATGCTTCCAAAGCCATAACATTAACAGGCATATGAGCCAATACATGTTTGTGAGGCATCCACATTTTGTCAGAAATTGTTCCACAAATCATATCACCATCTTTAAAAAATCATCAAGAAAAAAAATAAAAATAAACCATTTTCGTCAGTAGAACTCCACACAATTAATTCCAAACAAATCGAGTTGCCAATAACCAACATTTTTACACGATTAACAACAATTTCTTTATCAAGAATTGTACTTCTGTAAGCATTATTTTTTGCTCTCTTATCTATTGTATTTGACTGTGATCTATCATCTAATTGACTTTGAACAGTTATTGCTTCTTGGCAATATTTAAAAATTGAAAGGGTAAAATCGTTAAGCTTAAAAAGAAATATTTTAAAAGTTAACTCCAAAACAAAATTAAAAAAAAGTCAAACAACCTCATTAGCAAATTTTTCCGATATATCACCATCCTTTTCTCCAATTGTAAAATTAGTTAAAATATCTCTCAAAAATGTAAGTGAAACAAGAATAAAAGTTTCAGAAATTGTTTTGTAAGGAAATTTGCGTAATTCAGAGCTTTGAAAAACTTGTTCGGAATACAAATCCAGTTTCTTCAAGAAATCAAAATTTAAAAGTTTTTTGATCTAAAAATAGCAAATTAATTCATAAATTTCAAAAAATAACAAACATTAACATTCAACCGACAAATTTCATCAAAACAATAAGAAAATTTTGCTGTTCCTTTCCTTCTTGTATTTACAAAACTGCTCCCATGTCGGGTAAATAATTTGCGTTGAAGATTAGATTCTTCTGTTTTTTGATCATTCCAAAACCAATTTGAAGAGTCAGTATTCAAACTAAAATAGAAATAATAAAATTCAAGAAATTGAGTATTTTAAGTCTTTCAAAAATTAAAAAGGAAATTAACTAAAAATTAACTTAAGCTTGATGTGCATTGCGGTTCGTCATCGTTTCTTTTAGAAAGTATATCGAAAGGTTTTGGATAGATAAATGAAAAGAGTGGCGAAGAAAGTTGATCACTAAAGCGGCCCATTGATCGTAAAAGGCCAATTGTTATACATGCAATTTTCATCAAATCGCCTTAAAAATAAAAGATAATGCTTAAATAAATTTCAAATTAACCTTTTTCTTCAATTTTACTTTCATCTCCCACATTTTCATGATTGTCTTCTTTTTCATTAAAATTGGTAATTTTGGAAGTAAGTTGTTCCAAAAGTTCAATTTGTGAATTAATTATAATATCCCTAACATGTGGGAAGTGTGCCGCGAGATCAGCAAGAATTGTATTGAAACAAAATGTAAATTGCTCGTGAATGGTAATTTCTTCAAAAAGGAAAATTAGAATTTAAAAATATTTAACTGTTTGTTTTGTCAATTTCAGCATCATCATACCACCGCAATTGAGGCAATAAAAGAAGTGAATCAGACAAGAATTTTGATAGTGCTTCAACGTGCTAAAAGGTAAAACTCAGAAAGTATTTTAAAATCAAAAAAACCTTCCCAGACGAATAAAGTAGATAAATTCCTGTTGACAACAATGCTGAACGAACATTATGATTAAAAGGTATATTTTCAATTCCATTAGAAAGCTGTCCAAGCAATTGACTTTTAACTTGAGATAATGAGATGTCTGATTGTTTGGCTAAACAAAGGGCAATACAACACCGGTTATTAAAATTGAAATTAGCTTCCATCTGTGAAAAAAAATATTATAATAAAAAAATGTGAAAGATAATTAAAGGTTTTGACAAAATTAATAACAAAAAAATCTTCATAAATTTTTATTTTTTTTAAATACACAAAACAAACTATTAAAACAGAAAAAACTGAATAAAAGTCAACGCCTACAAGAACAATCTTCATCAAGATTTAATTTCCCTTCTTCTTTTAACCTTTTTAAGGTCGGTGTATATCTATCCTCGGGCAAGCGGCGATGCTCAACAAGCCGTTTAGCATATTTGGGATTAGTATCTCTGAAATTAAACAAATAAAAATAAACAACAAAGTATAACCTTCTATAAATCCTTTCTTGATGAAGGCAGTGAGCAGCTGCAATTTTCCATTGATCACATTCTTGCAAAATAACTCGTTCTAAAACGAAAATTGAAAAATTATTAGTCGTTAATCAAAACTTACTAAAAAAGGGCATATTTTGCTCACATTCTTTATAGAGACGAATCAAAAAGTTGCACTCCTCTGTATGTAAATGAGGTGAAAGATCTAACGGAAGCATGAAAATTCTAAATTAATCCGGTCCCTAAAAATTAAAACGGAATTTCATTTGTTTCCCTTTATCTCTCGTTAGTATACTATTTTGCAAAAATAGAAAGTCAAATTGTCAGTGTCAAAATGTCAAAAAGAGAAAAATTGAACAAAATGAAAAGAACGCATAATTAGACATAATGCCAAAAGACAAAACGCCTATAACACGAAAAAGAACAAATACAAAATGCCCATATAGGGAAACACGAATTCGTTCTTTTTTTCATCTTATCCCACTTTTCTTCATTAAACTCTTCCTTCAAAAAAAAGATACATGTGTAATTTGACAAATTTTGTATTAAAAGCATGTTTTTGTTACATTCTTGTAGTTATTGTCTGAGAGATACATAAAGCTTTTTTAGGATTTGTACAGTCTCCTTTTAAAATATTTTTTAATATTTTTTGACTAGACATTTGTGAGTTTGCGCAGATGTTAATTGTTTCATTGAATTGATGGCTTTAGTAAAGAAACCAGACATCCTTCAATTTCTTTTAAAGGTGATTGACTTGTAAAAAAACTAAACATCCAATTGTAGGCACATCATCTTTCTTAGGCATTTAACATTGAATTGTTCTCGTTGAATCAGTTGTTATTCTCGCTTAATCCCTCCCTCTTTCTTTACCATTTATTTTACTTAAAATCTTCCTCCCCTATTTGGATGTACATAATAATTGGGAGGGGCTAAAATGGCAGGTGCGCCATCAGCCACGTTGGACCACGCTATTTTAGCATCAAGCGTTTGGCCCGTTACCATCATAATTGTTAATGAAATAAAGGAAAAAGCAGCAGTCGGGAATGCTGGTAAATTAATCAACCAGCCACATAACCTCATCCTTCTCTTTATATTCAATATATCCTCATTAAAATGAAACAAATAATATTCAATTTATTATTACCCAAAACTAAAATATTAATTAATTGCTAAACTATCCTTCCATTTCTCCCCTAGATTTTGCCAAAATATGCCATTTACATGCCTAAGTAGTAGTGCCGCATTTAACGGAAATAATTAGGTTTAAGTGCAGACTGCTGCTTAAGCACGGAGATGTGCAAAGGCCATCCATTATTTAATTTATATTTTATTATTCTTTAAAAAATTGAGCAATAAAAATTTAAAAAGATTATGTATATATTAAAGCTCTTCATAAAAAAATTTTATTTTAAAAATCCTACCCAAATATTACTTTCTTTTTACTCATCCTCCTCCAACCTTTCTTCAATTTCAGCTAAAACTACCTCACTTGGTGCTCCAAAACTTTGCCTTTCCGTTGTTGTTCCAAATTCTTCATCAAAAATTGCTAAAGTATCTTCTTCTTCGTCTTCATCCCCATCATTTTCATTAAATTTAGAAGATACTAGAGGCATTTTTTGGCGCAATGAATATCTTTTTGTAGGAAGTGAGCCTTCAAAATTAGAATTAAATGAATGTTGAGACATAATCCTTTGACTAGGTGAAGAACGTTGTCTACGAAGAGTTTTATTATCATTTTTAGGCATTAAATGGGAGGTAACATCGAATACGGTGAGCGATGGACGTGGAAGACTTAAAGATGCTGATTGTTGTCCCGAACGAACTAGGCATTCCTCAACTTCTATTAAATCCCTCTCAATCTCAGAAATTCCCTAGAATATATTAAAAATCATTAAAAAACAAATTTTCCCTACTAGTGGATCGGCATCATCTTCCTCCTCCTCATCATCGTTTTGATCTTCTTCTTCACTTTTATTTTCATCGTCGTCTTTTTGTGATGACGAATCAACCTCTGTCGTGTGACCTTTATTTAATGGTTTATCCAAATCTTGTAATCCCTTTGCTGAAAAAGGAGTGGATGGTTTGGATAAAACAAAAAACTCTTGCCTTCAGCAGCATCATCTCTTTTTGTGCTCTCTTCCAAGTGTTTCATCAAAACAGCAACAACTACATTAACAAGAACAAATTGCGATATAAGAACAAAAATAACAAAAAAGCAAGGAGCTAAAATTGGATCCACACAACAATTTCTCTATAAAAAATAAAAGGAAGTTTGTTAGGATTAATAAAAATTAAGAAACCTCACAACGATCCGAGGGGTCACAATCATCTCGTAATGCATCCTAAAAAATAATAGAGATAACAAAACTTTTTAGGTATAGAAGTAATTACAAAAAAAAATTTAACCTTCATAATCCCATTCCAATTATCACCAGTCGCGATACGAAAAAGTGTTAAAAAAGCCATTCCTAAACATTTAATCTTTTATTAAAAATTATTATTTTCAAACTTTACCAAAATTTTTAAAATGTGCATGTTCTCCAAGTCCATCACTAAAAAATAATTAAAATTAAAAAAAAAACAAAGAAAGCAACCATGGATGTTCCTCAGAGCATTCTAAAAATAAATATAAAATATTACAACCATTTCAAAAATTAAAACCTAATCGTCCAAATAGTTCAACGCCAAGTGCAGCAAATATAAAGAAAAGTAGGAAGAAAAGTGAGCCAAGGTTGCCAACTTGAGGTAATGCTTCGCCAACAGTATCCAAAAGTGATCTTATGCCTTTTGCCATTTTTAATAATTTTAATACTGCAAAAAAATTAATTAAAATTGTTATAATTATTTCATTTTAAAAAATCTAAACCTCTAGCAATTCGAAGAACTCGCATAACACGAATTATTGTTGGATTTATAGGCAATTCTAAAGCTTCAAATTCTTCAAATATAATACCAGCAATAGAAAGGAGTACAATAAACATATCTAATTGATTCCAACGTTCAGCGAAGAAACGTCCAAATCCAAGAGCGTAAAGTTTTGCTGCAGCTTCCAACTAAAAAATTTTGAAGAAAATGAATAACTTAAAAATAAAAATAACCGTAAATACAGCAGTAAATAAATAATTGAGTGCTCTCAATAAATACCTCAAACCATTTGGCATCATATAAAATTCCATAGCCATTGAAACAACCTTTCAAAAATTGATATAAAAATTAATTTTTTATTAAAAAATACATTTAATCCAATAACTGCAGATATTGCCAAATCAAAGTATTTGCTTGTAACCACATTATTTATAATTGCACGTCTTCGTCCATATTTTGCCCAATATGGATGTGATTTTACTTTTTCTTTTTTCTTCTTAATAAGTTCAATTTCGGCAAATTGCTGACGTTTTAAGCGTCTCTTCATTTTCTTTTTTTGTGCCTTTTCGCGCATTTCTGCTTCGAGTGTTTCCTTGCATTTATGGAAATTGTCAACTACAACACCAACAAACATATTTAAAACAAAGAAGCCGACAAGAAGTAGAAAAGAAATAAAATAAATCATTCTCCATTCATTATAATTCTCTATTGGTTGCATATCTGATATAAGAATTTTTTCAAAATTTAAAAATTTCATTAAAGCTAACCAACTCCAACAGCATCAATACCCTGATACATTATTGAGACCCATCCATCTTTGCTTGAAAGAACAAAAAGTGACATCTTTAGAGATAAAAAAATTAAAAATTAAATTTTTAAAAAAATTTAAACCAATGCTTGGCCGAGATTGTCAAAATTATATCGATGGTTTATCTAAATTTTAAAAAAGAAAATTGGTATGAATAAATTTAACAGAATACCCATCGATTGTTAGGATCAATAAGACATTCAGAACGCGTACTAACATTTTGAACGTGAGGTCCAACACAATGAAACATTGTTCCTTTAAATAGTTGCACACCAAGAATACCAAAAATTATGAAGAAAGTGCAACATATGAGAACGATATTTCCAATTGGCTTTAAAGAGCTGATTAAAGTCATGACAACAAGTTTGACACCTACAAATTATTTTTTAATTATTTAAATTAAATATACCAGGAGCTCGATTAATAACACGTAGAGGACGAAGAGCACGCAGAAGTCGTAAAACACGAATAACGCCAAATATTTTGGGTGAATCTGTAAAAAAAGTTTTAATATTTTATTTGAAATTGAAATATACCTCCACTAACGAAAATCTCCATAATAACGTTAATCAATGATATTAACACCTAAAAAATTTTCAAAAAAATTAATTAATAAAATTTAAACTAACCAAACAACCATCCAAAATATTCCAACCATCCTTGAAATAAGCATCTGAACCATAAAAGCAACCATTTGCAATAATTTTAGCAACCATTTCAAGGGTAAATATAAGAGTAAAGGCATAACCAGTTATTGAAAGAAAGAAACGTTCGGCACTTTGAGGTGGAATACTTGGCCTTTCCATTGCAAGAGTAACACAATTCAAGCTTATACACATTAAAATTACATAGTCAAACCTACAATTTAAAAATAATTTTATTTAAATTTTGAAAAAAAACCATTTGCGTTGAGTAAGACGAAAACAATTCTTAAAATATTTAAAATAATGCATGTTTTTTTAAAAAAAACCTCTCTAATAATATTGTTCCTTGATAACAAAAACAGGGAATGATCCGACCTCTTATACAAAAAGGTTTTTCTAAATAATCTTCTCCACCAAATATTTCTTTTTTGTTGGACTCTATCTTGTTCTTCCGCCAAAGCATGTTGTAGTTCTTCACTTGCTTTGAGGTATTTTTCTCGTGTATAAGCTTCCAGAATTGCACGATGTCCATGCAATGGACACTGAGGATCAAAGAGAGAGGAATGCACATTGAGTGAATGAGAAGAGTTGAATTGCTAAAAAAAATTCATAGTGTCATATTATTAAATGTTTTACCGAGTTAGACCAGCTCGCCAATCGCGGCCTTTCTCCTTCTGATTGGGATTGCTCAACAGGTTGATGAAAATTTTTTGGATTAATTAACAGCTATTAAATTGCAGAACTTCACATTATATGTATATATTTTTGTTATACCTGGTGCATACCATCAATATGAGGTCCTCTTGGCACTGATAAAGATGAATGCCGTTGCCATGTTAATCTTCTTCCAGGCGCATAACTTTCTCTTCTGCGTCTCTGTTGTTGTCGAACATCCATAAGATCCTTGTTATCAACAGAAATTGAGAATTGACGAGACTAAATTTTTATTAAAGTTTATAAAATAATAATTTAAAAGTGTCTAACCTTCCTTCGTTCATTCTCAATAATTTTCTTTCCTAATTGTTCTCGAACAACCGTAATATTGTCTTGGCCACAACTACATTTCTTCTTCAAAAAAGCATTTAAAGTAGTTCTGGCAATAAGCATTTCCAATTCCATTTTTCGTTCATTCTCTTCCTCCTCTGCTCTCTTGAGAGCTTCTTCCTCCTGTTCCATTCAAATTGGAATTATTAATTTTTAACGATTAATAACTAACCAATTGACGCTTCTCTTCCTCCTAAATTATTTTTTTTATTTTCAAAATTTTTAAATTTAATTAAATACCTTGCTTTCTTGAAAGCCTTCAACAAGAATGGCAACCAAAAGATTAAAGAGGACATAATTACCAAAAGTCATAAGAGTAACAAAATAAAGAGCTGCCCATGGAGTTGTATGTGACATTCCATTAAACAAAACCATATTCCAATCCTCACAAGTCAAAATCTACTAATGATTTTTATGAGATAAGCAAAAATTTACATAATAAAACTCAAAAAATAATCAGACGGACAAAAAAATAAAATAAAGCACATCTCAAACTCAAAAACAGAAAAACATTTAAAATTAAAATATAAACCTGAAAAACAGTCAAAAAAGCAGAGAAAAGAGTATCATAATTTGCACGTTCACATTCACATTGTCCGCTATTAACATCTTCTATTGTGCAATGACTCCCATCATCAGGATGTGAACAAAAAGTGCATCCAAATAAGAACATTCCAAGTAAACTGTCAATCAAATTAATAAAAAATAAAATTGGATAATAAAATAGCAAGAAACTTAATATTAGTGATTGAACAATGTTAAAAACACACAAACATCAAACAAAAAAACAACACAAAAATACTAGACTAAAAAATATTTGTAGATCGAATACCTGAAAAACAGTTGTTAGTGCCCAAAGGAGAGAATCAAAGTTTTTACGTTCACATTTGGATACTTGGTTTCCAATCCAATTGACTTCATGCTTGCAAAATTTACAACCAAATAAGTTCATACCAAGAATGCTAAAAGAAATTAGTAGATGAAAGTGAGGATGGATAAAGGATATGTGAAATTAATAATTCGGATGAAAAATATGTAAGTATAGTTTTAAATGGTTAGACATTATTGTTTAAACAAATTGGATTGTAATGTATTATTGGATTGTGATGTACAATGAATAATTTTAATGATAAATCCGGGTAAGACATACTTTTAAAAATTAATAGAATTAGTAGTAGGTAAGTTTCTAGAGGATTTATAAGAGTTAAAAAACTATTTTTAATTATTAAATTGCCTGAAAATGAAGATGAAAAGAAGAAGCAAACCAAAAAATACAGTCACATTATCCATTGTTCGAAGCATAACAACAAGTTGATAACGTAGGGCTGGCATAAATCGAACAAGTTTTAATATACGCAAAAGGCGAAAAGTTCTTAGGACAGATAAGCCGCCTTTTCCTTCTTGAAATAATTCTAGAACACTAAAATTTAAATTTTTTTTTCGATATTCCCCCGACCCCCGCAATTAATATTTATACCTAAGAGCAACAATTCCTCCATCAAAAAGATTAAAACCATCTTGTATATACCCAAATAGACCATAAGCAACAATTTTAAGTAACATTTCCAAAGCAAAAAGTGCAGTAAAGAAAAGATTGCTGTATTCAAGAAGTGTAGTTAATATTTCAGGTTGTTGGTGATATTCAACACCCATTGAAAGTGTGTTTACAAGAATAGCTATAAGAATACCACGAGTAAAATGATCACAACAAACAAAGCTTTAAAAATATTAAAATTAAATACTGACAAAAAAAGGAAACCTTCGAATTCTTAATTTAAAATCCCTCCAAGGACTTGGATTCACTTCAGTGTTTCGCCTGCTTTGTCGACGTCGTGCATGTTCTTTGTTGTTGTTATCATCTAGCTTTATATCTACATAATTTTAACATAATTTAAAAAATACTAATAAATTTCTAACCTATTGAACTGATTTTTCCATTTAACTTTTCCCTTTGTATGTTTCCTTTATCTTCATCTGTCACTTTTCCATCATCTCCTTCAACTAAATTTTCGTCTCCCTTTTCACTTTCATCTTCATGTTTTGTCTTCTTTTGTTTTTTACGAAATTCTCTTAAAGTTCTGATTAACAAACGCCGTGTTCTTTGAAATGTACGTCGAATTACTCGAACAAAAGCTCCATAAACGCTGTCCCCTTCAGCATTATCTCGAAGCCCAGATTGTGAGATGGAGCCAAATTCACTTGCTGTATAAATATTTTAAAATTGAATATAAGAAAAATTCTTAAAAAACCTAATAACGAATCATTATTTATACATTTCCTTTCTTCTAACATTCGTTGAGTTTCTCGTCTTTTTGTTTCTGCAAATTGAGTAGCAATAACAACAAGGCACTAAAATCAGAATTTTTGTTTACATTTATTTTTTTCCTGTACTTACTAAATTAACCATAAAGAAGGCCCCAATCTGTCAAATTTAAAATTATTTGATTTTAGGAACAACTTAAATTCTAATAAAAATCTAACCACAATTAAAAGAACAAAATAAATCCAATTCCAAAACGAATGAGCATCTTGCACATAATACATTATGTCTGTCCATCCCTCTAATGAAATAACCAAAAATATTGCTACCCAAGCAAATCTAAAAAATTTTTTTTATTTCAAATTTAGAAAACAAAAAATGTTACCCAATATTGTCGAAAGATACAGAGCCCTTAAAATAAATATTTTTTAATAAAGATAAAAAATTATTAACTTGCCTGGAATGGATTTTTATGCATAACCTGACATTTTGAGTAATAATTATTCCAATTAATACAACTATCATTCTTTTCATTATTGTAATCAAAAAGGCTGAGATTGCACTTTTTACCATCACTTTTGTATTGAGGTAAATTTTCACATGAATGGAGACCAGAAGAATCAGGTTGTGAGCAAATATAATCTAAAGATGTATCCTGAGGGATGTAATACCTAAAAGAATTAGAAATAATTTGAAAATCTCAAATTAAATTTTAATAACCTGCTCAAAGATATATCAACAGGAAATGAAAAGTTCTTTAAAGACAAATAGTCACTTGAAGGTAATTCAATTACGCATCGGTTTCGCAGAAGACCTGCCCAAAGCTGAACTCCAATAATTCCAAAAATAAAGAAAACAAAAAAGCAAAGTAAAAGAACATTTCCTAACATAGGCAGGGTGTCGAGTAAGAGATTTACTAAAAAGTGAGTAATTTAAAAATAATTTTGTAAACTAAATAAAATATTAAAAATATACCAAGAATACGTAGTGAAGGAATTCTATTCACTGCCCTGAGAGGTCTGAGAACTCTAATTGTACGTATTGCCGTCAGATTTAAATTGCCCAAATATTTCTAAATTTAACAAGCATTTTAAACTTAAAAAAAACTTAAAAAACCGATAATAAATATTCAGCAATACCAGCAAGCACAATAAAAAAGTCAAGACGATTCCACCCATCACCCAGATAAGCAGTTTCACCCCAAAAACCAAGGGCTACAATTTTGATTGCCATTTCAGCAGCAAAATAAGCGAAAATTGTGTGGTCAATAAGTGAAAGGAGCCAACAACGATATGTTTCACACTCAGGACCATCTTCACAAGGCCTATACATTCCAAGAGTGATGCAATTAATAAAGATCACAACCATCTGAAACAAATTTCCATGCAAAAAATAAATCTTTAAAAAACGTACAGTTACACGATCGAACCAAAGATTATTCACTAAACACAATGACAAGTACCGTAGTTTTTGATTTTGATGGAGAAAACCAAGAGAGACTGGCTCGTACCTAAATATAAAAGGTTTTAATGAAAAATTTATTTGATAAAGTATAAACCCTGGAAAGGGTAATTCTTCGGTGCTTTCTTCTTCCTCATCACCAGTCTCATCCTCCAATATTTTTTCCTCCGATTCTTCCAGTTTCTTATCGCTTATTTGGTCTTCCTCTTCTTCCATTTCCACCCAATCCGGGAAAGTTGGTCTTCTCGGACGCATTGTGCTTGAAGAAATAGTGTTACACCTACTATGGCTACTGCATGGATGTTCACTCTGTTATAAAAATTTGTGTTAAAAAGAAAAATTAATTACTGAACCTGTTCCTCATCTGAGAAGTCAACATTTTTTTGTCTTCGTGTCGACTGCTTACGAACTGCTAAAGATTTCCGCCTTGACGTACTACCACTCCTAAAATTAAAATTTTAGATCAAATAATGCCCCCTTATTACCGTTTCTGATTGAATTTAGAAAGGGATTTGAATGAGCGCAGCTCTCGAACCACTGGTTGTTGCAACATTAGACTCCTCCAAATAGAACCAAAATTGGGCTGGAAACTTAAATAGCCTTATTCTGGCCTTGGTTGGAAATATTAGTAAATTTATACATAATATACTGAAAGGAAATTAATTAATTAAATGTGTTAAGTTCAATAAAAAATTATTTTAGAAAACAATAATTAAGAAACAACAAATTTCTAATTGTTTTTAATGAAAAGGCTAATAAAGGAGAGAATAAAAAGGAGAATTGTTATTAAATTTTCAATTTTAAAAACACACGTTCCCGGCTGTAAATAAGCAACGAATCTGAAAATCCTTAAGTTCTCCTTTTCTTCCTAAAATGCTTGGCCTTACATTGTCCCCAACAACACTTTACTTTGCTTGGATGACGAGATGGAGAATCGATAAAGAGAGGAAAAGGATGAGGACTAAAAGCGCATTCCAAAAACTATGGAAGGCCAGTGGCTCTTGACGTAGTGGTCTATAAGCATTCCTGAGAGCTTTAACAGTAGCAATTTAAATGAGCGGATATTTAATCAGACTATAAACATGGAAACCAAATATTTTTTCATTAGCAACAAATTGACTGAAAAATGGGAATCAAAAGAGCGGAATTATTTATAAATCAGATTGAGGAGAGAATAAAGGCTTTAGGTTGACATTCTCACTTTGAAATTTTTAGAAAGTTCAATTTGTTTAGAAAGTTCACAATCTGTCTGTAACTACTTATCCTTTGAGTAAAAGATAAAAGAAAGCTAACGTTTCACTGATATTTTCTTTGTTCCCATTAAATGTGCAAAATTACTGCAAATATTGAGAACTGTTAAGAGGAACACACTTAGTTTTTAGTAAGCTTATACAAAAGAAGGGAGAAATATAAGAAAATTGATACATGAAATAAAAATTGATCTTGGATTAAAAAAATGAAGAGGTTCCATAAGATCAATACGGCAAAAGCAACAATGCAAAAAATGAAACTCGAGTCAAGATTATCTCAGTGTCAAATGATTAGAAGTTGGCAAAAAAAGCATCGTTCAAAATTCTCTCCAAAAGAACATTTAAAATTATTAGTCACAGCTGTCTAGAATATTGTTCATAAAAAGCATTTTTTAAGTATTTAACTAGACTTCATTCCTCCTATCTCTATTGTTAGTTAATTTGGCTAATTTCGGACCTAATTTTTCATTATTAACTCAAATACTTCTTTTTTTCTTTAATTATGTAGGTAGTGGGGTGTTTACATTTGAACATATGCTCGAAAAATTTTACGCCTAGAAATTAACCACTCATCTGTTCTTTTTCCTTCAAAAATTATTTAATTTGTCAAGAATGGATTGGAAAGATGAAGTAAAATTCAAAATGAGCAAGCAGATCGATTAAAACTAAATGGCATCGAACAACTGTTACTTCCCAACTTTTTATTGTCCCAGCATTCTTTCATTCTTACTTTATACGTCGCAAGCATATCACTCTGCTTCTTCTCGATCAGTTTATTGAGGAGGCTGGACGCCCAGAGGCAAGAAAATAGTTTATGGGGGTAGGCTTTACTCCGATTTTTCTGTCATTCATTTGACCAAGCGTCCTAGCCTAACACTTTTTTACTTTATTTCCGTTTTTGCTAATGTGAGAGCTTGAAGTCAGTCATACTAACTAGTAAAGTGGTGCAAATATTTAGGCTATTTTCCCTACTTTTTTCCTTAACAGTTTTCATTTTAAATCAATTTATTTCCTATATCCTTATTAAGATTACAAAAATGAGTAGTCGTGGCCATTCACAAGACAGAGCTCTATCTCAGGAAAGGGAAACACCATTTGCTGGATATGGAGATCGAGTCGGCTCTGGAGTAGCCTATGCTCCTGCACAATGGAGAGGAGGAGAGGTTGTTAAAAAGGATTCTCAACTTAAAAAGTAATAATTCTATAGCTGGTTACGGATCCATCAATGGTCACAAAATCGCTGAAAACTCGTCGGTTCTACTACTCGCCAATCGGAGATGGTATGTTAGATAAATAAATCAAGAAGAAATACCTTACTCTTAGGAGTTGTGGCCGCAGACGGTGTTGAGCTCAAACGTCTTCCACCTGATTTAACACCCAAAGTTGAAGTGATCCAACAACGAGTGGTGGAGCGCGCTCCACCTGGAAAGCCTGGCTTGAGAGTTACTGAGAAAACTTGGTCAACCGGAGGTTCAGATAAATTTTCAAAGAAATCTTACCTAGAATGTTAGGTGGAGAATCTGACTCAAATCTGGCTTATGGAAGCAAGCAAATGGGTGCGGCTTCACCGACAGCAGATGGACAAGGACAGTTACAGCGTCCAGAAACGGATCCATTTTCCAAGACAACAGACCAATTAGGGTCACCTTATCAACGTCCTGAATCGGCACAATCAATGCCAGCTAACAACAGAAATGGCGCTCCAAAAGATCAGTGGATGTCACCAAGAGATCATGGAATTGGAGGCCCGAAAGATGGCGGACTTGGAGGACCACCGACTGCAGGAAGGCATGGACCATTTGCTGGAGATGGAAATTTTGGTCCCGGGGTTGGAGGACCACATGGATCTACACGCTCAACACCTGGATTGGGCCCAGCAACAAATGGAACTGGCAACTTTGGACCAGAATTTCCCACTTCTGGACGTTCTAGCGGTGAGCTGCCTAAATTTTTAATGAAAACTGGCTTCCCATATCTGATCTTGTATTCTTAATTACGTAGTATTTCAAAAAATTAATCCAAAAATTAAATGTAGCATATTTCTGGGTTAGTTTAGCAGACCTATACGAGCCGGGCTATCGTTATGAGATAAAGAAGGACTATAAAGTCACGAATCCCCGAGAACTGATCCATCAGTATGCAACAGGAACTCCAGTAACTGCAATTGATCCTAATCTAACAGAGACCACACGGACAATCACTCGACAACATTATACACAAACTGTGGAGGAATCGTAAGAATTTTTTCTATAAACTCGAATTGTCCTATTTTTTTAGATTTGGTCCATTTCCGCCCTATACTGCTGGTCCTAATGTTCCTACACCTTTAAAGTTTGCGCGTCAGTTGAGAGATGAAAGTAAGCCCTAGCTAATGTGATAAAATTAATGTTTTCTAGCAATGACTAACACTCAACGACAGGCAAATATGCAAAAGGATTCATTAGGCGCTAATGCAAAAGATGCTCAATTTGAACAACGAATTTCGGTATAAATTAAAGTAAATGACAGGAACAAATTCCTGATTTAAGGAAATCCGCCACTCTACAAATCGCCAAATTTCGCCTCATAACCAGTTTACAGAAAATTTTACAGGCATATGATTATTTTAAAAATATATACTATTAGCAATTCAATAAATTTTTTGAAAAGTTGGCAAGAAAAAAGAATATAAGTGAAAGTCAGTTATTTTTTGAATAAAGTTTTCAAATATTTTTGTCTACCTAATTCATATATCCGTCAGATTATCTCAAATAAAATTTCTAATTTCACAATTTGGAAGTATTTTTTTCCTGCAAGACGTTGACCAATTCGGTTATAATATCTATAAAAAACAAATTCAAAGCTTGTTAATAGCGAAAAAAATAAACCCTGGGAAAATCTATTACACTATTTCAATTTTCAAGCCAAATATTTAAATAAATTATACCCACCGTTACTGCTCTCAAAGTGTTTTGCACCTTTCGTATCACAGATCTTCTCCCAATTGATTGCAACTATAAACACTCATTTAGCAATTAAAGGACAAAATAGACTTGCCATCTTCAGCAATAGCATTTGCAATAACCAGGCCCGCAGAACGATAGGACTCAACTTTATTAAAGATTAATTTTTTATTTCCGAAAATCAACATACCTGTTCCATACCAGCCTGCTCCAGCTTCAAAAATTCGTCCTGTTGAAGAGCAATTTTCATGTCCCAGATAAATACAGAGAGGAGTTACAAATTCGGGTTTAAATGCCTTAACCAAATCGTCTGGCATTATTGTCTCAGTCATCCGAGAACCGGCTGTAGGCACCTAAAAATTAATTTGGAAATTTTTCTATGTGGATACAAACCAAAGCATTGCTGATAATATTATATTTCTGACCCTCGAGAGCCAGAGTTTTTGACAATCCAATTAGCGCCATCTATGTTAATAAGCAATTAATAACTGACTAAATTTCAAAACCTTAGCAGCAGCGTAGTTTGCTTGACCAAAACTCCCATATATTCCAGAATTCGAAGAAATGAATACCAAACGGCCATACTTTCTTTCACGCATATATGGCCAGGCTGCTTTAGTGACAGAAAATGCACCCTAAAATATCATTGTAATATTTTAGAAAGTATTATTAAAGACCTTTAAATGAACTTTAATCACCAAATCTGGAAAATTAAAGATTTTGGAATTAACGTAGAATTATACCCCAATCCAGTTCACTCATTTTAGCAAAACTTGTGTCTCTTAGAATTCCAGCATTGTTGACAACGACATCTAAAATTTGGCGAAAAATTACAACTAACAAAAAGAATTGCAATTATGTACCAATCCTTCCGAAATTTTTTATTGCAGTTTGTACAATGCTTTCACCCTGTTCCACACTGAAACTTTCTTAAATAGTAAAAAAGATAGATTTCTAAACCTGTCATAATTCGCCACTGCTTGACCACCACACGCCTTGATTTCTTTCACTACTTCGTCAGCAGCACAATTTGAAGACCCAGACTGCCCATGTCGATCACCGCCCAAATCGTTCACTTAAAATAAGTAGATAAACTTAACAAATAACTAACCAATAACTTTAGCTCCTCTTTTGGCAAATTCCAGTGCATAAGATCTACCAAGTCCACGACCTGCGCCAGTCTTAAAATAAATTTATTTCGAAGAATCCTATATTTAATAACCACAAGCACCACACGTCCTTCGAAGCGGAGAGCATGCATTTGACTGAGAAATCAAATATTCAACAAAATTTTGAGCCGGGCAATTGCCCCGTAGGTGAAAAAGCTAGGTATTAATGAATGTATAAAAAGCATAAGTATTTTATAATTATTCCGATTAAATTAAGTAAAAAACAATATTTGAATATAAATTTATTTTCTGGTGAGATAATCTTTAAAAATAGACATACAAAGTGGAAATCCTTAAACACTGAATGAAATCAAGCCCAAAATTTCATGATAACTTTCATTTCATAATGTTGCATCAAACAATCTATCAATGATCATTTCAATCGTTTCGGCATCATATTTCAGTTGCCTGTCGGCTTCAAAAAGTTCTGAACATTCTTGCGAATTCTTTTTGCTAAATTCAACAAAAGGCTGTAAGATAAGACTTTTTATTCTCATTCGGACGTTGTTAGCTGTTATTTGATCGGCTACGCAATAAATTTTTTGTTGTTCAACGATTGCATCAAATTCCCGAGTAAAAACCTGCAAAAACGCACCCATGATTTAATGATTAAAATGAATATACCGTAAAAATTGATTTCACAGAACGTTTCTCTTCTCCTGGCCCCAAATCAGCATTGAAAACCTCACCGACCTTAGACCAAACTTTCAGAAATTGTTGTAAATAACTTTCCGCCTCTGTTTCAAAACTAGAAGGAAATGCTGTCTGATCACCTTGAAGGAGAGCAAGCAAAGTCCTTTCACGGCTTACAGTTTGACCAATATATTGAAGATTGTTAATCATGAAAAGAGAAGCTAATGCAGGGTCTTCATAAGTACTACTCTTTTGACGTAGATTTTGACTAAGAGCCTTCAGAATTTGCACTGAAATTGGAAACTCAATCAAATTTAAAATTTTCAAATAAAACCTGCCAAAGCGCCTGGACTCTCATGAACCTCAGCACGTTGTATAAGCTGATTGAGCAATTTTTGTTGTTGAACTAATACTTTGAGTAAATTTAGTGTTCCACTACTTATTGGATGCACCTTAATTTTAAACAAATTATTATAAATGATCGAATTGAGTATGCCGAACGTTGCCATCCTGAGGCAAAAAACGACCGCCAATCTGATCCTCTAAAATTTTGGATAATAAAAATAGCAAGTGCAAAAAAATAAAACCTGATAAACGTAGACGATAATCTTTAATAAGAATAATTGACTTTCGATATAATGAAGATTGGAGTGAGGCAAATTGAGCTGATTCGCCGAGATTCTAAAACAATAAAAACAAAATAAAATTATAAAAAAATACTTCGGAAAGAGAAGCAAGCTGATTTGCATGTTTGAGCATGAAACGAGCAAGAGGTAAAAGTATCATAAAGCTTCCTTCATAAGAATCAACAACTCGAAGCGCATGTGATAAAACACGACCCAAACAAGCGCCAACAATTTGCCTTAACACTTCTGCCTCAACACTGACATTACCAAAAACGGCCGAACTTTGCTCTGTTTCAAGTTGGATTAAGACAACAGTAGATGAAAGCATAAAAAGGGTAACGGCAATTGCATTATCTCTGTGAAGTTGGTCATTAGAATCAGCTAAAAAATTAACAGAGATAATTTTAACTTTTAAATTAATACCGATCCTGCTCGCTGCTTTTTTCAGTGCACTAAAAATAAAAAAAAATTAAAATTAAAAGAAAAAATCTAATTTCAACAAAAGTCTGAAGGCAATTGGTGCAAACTGACGGATTCCAATCCGATCAATTTGTTCATCTAATTCCTTATCCTTTACATTGGAAACTTTATTATCGTCTAAATTATTTTTCCCTTTCCACACAACTTTATCAATTTTTGCTTTTCTTTCTAAATTATTTTTACTAACATCAAAGCATTGCTTTTTAACCATAATTTGATTTTCCGTTAATTTATTAGTGGAACTTCCACGTAAAACTTTTCGCCAATTTTCCCCACTAACTATAGGACCAGAAATTTGATCTTCTTGTTTATGTCTAATTAAATAAATCAAGAGTAAGAAATATTTAAGAAATTAATTTGTTCAGAATTACGCTCTAATTGTAAGTCCAAGAAAAATAAAAACCTACGTCTTTACAAATTGTCCACTTTTGACTCGGTTATTTGGTCCAATTTGATCAGCGATAAATTGTAAGGGTTTCTTAACAATAAAAAAATAAAAAATTATTTGTAAAGCGAACAATTAACCATCATATTTTCAGCTCGAAATTGTGAATACGATTGCAGAAATTGTCGTTGTCCATCTGAATCGCTGTGTTCTAAAAGCCAACTGGCAATCTGATGAATTTTTTGTACGTCACGAAGCGTCATGAATGAACTCAATCGGAATGATGGCATTTCTAAATTTGAATTGAATTAAAGATTAAACGAATAATACTTGCCATAATCATCATCGAGACATTCAAATAGCTTTTTTGCATCCACAGGCACACAACTGTATCTAACCAAATTAGAAAATTCTGCCTCGATGTTAGAATAGCCAATTTCGTAAATCAATTTCTGATAAAATTACAAAATTTATTGATCTACATAGCAAATTTCTTACCACATGTTCCAACTTGTTTTTGTATGTAAGATGAGTAGAAAAGAAAGCAATTGCTTCTTTAAGTGTTCGCATTTTCTCCAAATAGTCGTCAAGAGCAAGCATCACATTACCATCCTAAAATTAAAAGTCAGCTCTATTTTAAAAAATAGTTAAGAAAACCCTGATAGTATTTTCTAAGGCAGTCGTTTTTCCATGAAACTGAATGGTAGCATCCACCGTAGAAAGAAGCTTGCGAATATCTAGGGGTTTGCTTTTAGAATGAATGCAAAACATAAAAACAAACTTTGTTGTTCTCTCTGTATAACACTTGATTTTGTATAAAGTGTTGCCACATTTGCAGAAAGCGAGTCGATACGGTCCTGAAAACTAACAAGAAGTGTGCAAACTGATTGTTGTATCTGATTTGATTTGTTTAGGGCTTCTTGAAAATCTTTAAGCCATTCTTCATCCTACAAAATAAAATAATAATTTAAATTATCGAAAATAAGACCTTATGCAAACGTTGATTCAACTCTGCAAAAGACAGCACATTCTGTGAATAACTCATCGATCGACTCTAACTTGTTAAGAAAACCAAATCACCTGATAAGAAAACGAAAAGTCGACCAAAAACTCTTAGACTCAATTGTACTTGTTATATTTTAATCAAACAGTCCTCCATACTCTTCATTTCACGTTATCACTCCTAACTTTTCTCCTATTGAGTCTTACTTTAAAGTTATAATTTGAGTCACATGTTTGTTTTTAAGAGTTTTATTCTTTATCCTTGCAGATATTTTTTACTGGTGGATGCTGAATTTATATTTTGTGTTAAAGATACTTATGAAAAAGGGTTTTGATAATGTTATATCCCGGTTCTTCTAATAAGTAATAAATTAAATATCTTCTTTTAAACACTCAAATAATCTCTAACTCAAACAATACTCAACAATTAATTATACACAATTTAATAAAGTTTATTTAAATAAGTTGGGTTTGGTTTGGGGAGCAAGTGTGATCAAGACAAGCTTGAAAATGGTGAAACACAAAAAGTATTTATATGTTTAGGGAATGGGCGGAAGAAGTTCAGACGAGGAAGTTGTAAAGCATAGATAAGAAAGTAAATTATTTAAAATAAATGAGAGTAAGTTTTAAGATCAAAGTAAATGTTTGTTTGAGGGAATGTTTTGAATATTTAGAATGGGAAAATAGATAACAAACATTTACAGCACATTTTGGGGTCAATAAATATTTGAAAATAATACATATTTTAAAAATAAATATTTAATGTCGAAATGAGGATCCAACACTCCTTTCCCCTTTAGAAGAATATTCGCCTAATTGTTGAGACATGTATCCAATACTCCTTTCCCCTTTAGAGAATTGATGTCCATATTTTCTTGAGTTGTTTACATTATCCATCAATCATATTCTCCACAAACATGGGTCTTATAACGAAAACGGTTATCAGCCAATTCTTGGCCTCTCTAACGGTTGAGTTGACCGAAGAGGTGAACGATGCGCAAATAACGCACATTTTTATTTCCTCTCCTATTGCAGGGGTTTTAATTATTATTTTTTTTCTTTCTCCGCAATGTTGAGCGGGATTTAAATTTTTAACCGTTTTGCATATTGTATGATTTTGTTGATGGGCATTTTTTCATTAGATCTCTCCTAAAAAGGAGGAGGTAGTATTTTGATGAAGCTATGCGTAGTTCATTTTTTTTTAATTACATATAAATCATTCTTCTTTACGATCTGGGGATTTGTTGTTTGTTGTTTATCTTCTTTTTGTTGTAGATCCATAATTTTCCAAGTTCATCATTAAACAAAATAATTACAATTCCAAAGAAAATTTACAAAATAGAATTAAATGAATATATTGGGGTAAGGAAGAATAAGAAAAGATAACAAACAAAAATTTTAAATATTTGATTATGTTGATGAATGAAAAATATATATATTTTAAAGAATTCCTTTTAAAATCTCAGTCATTTCTGACTGGGTTAGAGCTGCGAAATTCTCAACCTATGTTGGTCTTTATGCGCAATTCTAAAAGCTCCGCTTTCCCTTTCAACTATAGTTTGAATGCGATGTCCTCTCGGATTATAATCCGGATTACGGTAAAAACAGATACTGGCAATATGCCCTTTTTTCTTGCAATAATGACATATTATATTCTCTTTTTCAGACTTTTTGGTCTTTAGATCATCTAGCATTCTTGATATTTTATCTAATTCTCTGCAACTAATTAATTTATACTCAATCGGAATTTTAATAAGCTCCCAGTTGGTAAAATTCAACATAAGGGGTAAGCAACTTAATGTTTCTCTACCAATAATGGCGCTATATGTTTGATTCTTTCTCTCGGTATCCTTAATAATTACAAAATTTGTTTGAATTTTGCACTCAGCAATTTCTAACTCGACTGTAGCCTGACCTAGAGTCGGTACTAATTTATTGCCAATACCGTAAACTGCTGGAAAATTTGCAGCGGACATATCTTTTAGACCAATTTTCTTGGCATTGGAATTACTAATAATTGATGTGTGCGCTCCAGTGTCTAGTAAACATATGGTCGTTATTCCGTTAATTTTAGTTAATATTCTGGAATTTTTGTCACACTGGGTATTTTCCGCAACGCAAATTCTAATATTATTTTGTCTATTTTTATTTAAATCTCCTCTTACAATTTTATTCCTAGAGGGCCATCTTTTAGAAAGTGATATTTTATTCTCTTTTAACTCACTTTTATTTGATTTAATTTTGTTCTTAATTTGTCTAATACATTTCATTCTTTTATTTAACTTTCTATAACTCTTTATTCTACTATATATTGCTTCTCCAATATTTAAATAATTTATTGGGCCTGCTAAGATCGAACGTAAAACAAATTTTAATACAAATAGAACTGTAACAAAACAGCTAAAGACTAATATCCTAAATTGGTTTACTGTCTCATCTCTCTGTATATAGGTGTCAAAAAAGCCTCTGCATTTATTTACCTCCGTTTTCGCATATTCATTTTCAAAAGCAGGAGTTTTATTTTTTAATATATTAATATCTCCTATAGTAAATTTAGGGAATATCGGATCATTTGGTAATCTCCATATTGGAATGGATGCATCATTAAAGCAACTCAAAGCTGATCCTGTTAAACAGAATAATGCGAGAATTACAAGCATATATGGGCTAAAAGTCCCAATTCTAGGACTTCGATTTCTCTCAAATTTAATTCTTCGATCTGGCGATCGATTATAGTGATTATTTGATCCTTGTTCTGGCGAATTATTTTCTCGCTCACTGCTACTTGAGTGGCTATCTAGGCTACTTGAGCTATCGTAACATTTATAATTTCTTCTTTTATTGTTTGATCTATTATTATAATTTTCATCTCTATAAGGTCTATTCTCGTTAAAATTATTATAATTTCTACTATAACTTTGACTATTATGTCCTAATTGACTAGTAAATCTCCCATAGTGTTGGGGTCTGTAATTTCTCTGATTGTAATCAGGCTTAAGGAAATAGCAGTTCCTAGCAAAGTGACCTCTTTTCTTGCAATTAAAGCAGATAATTTTTTTCTTTTTATTATTCTGAATATTACTTTGAATAGTCAATGCTTCTACTTTTTCTGCTAGATTTGCAGCAAAAATATTATTATAGCTATCTTTTCTTGCTTTAAGCAGCAATTCATAATTCAGTGCTATTTCGTACGCATTATCATATTCTAGCGGCCTTTGCGCTTTAACCTCGAATTGTAAATCCGGTAAAAGTCTATCCAGGAATTCGTCTAAAATTCGTTTTTTAATGGTTTCTTCCTCTTCACCTGAGAGGGCAGTTCGGACAGTATCCGATAGACGATTTGCGAATTCAAATACTGATTCGCCTGGAGCTTGTCTACAATTTGATAATTTTTGACGAGCAATTATTTTACTATTGCCGCTCTCATATTTTCTTTTTAAAATATTAATTGCCTCCGCCAACGTATTAGGTTGCGGGTCTATTTCATCAAACGCTATTCGGGCTTGACCCGCTAAACAAAAGCGTAAACGTAATAATTTCTGCCCTTCAGTAGGCTCCGTCATTAGTGACAACACGTCTTTAAATTTTTCTATCCATTTATTGAAAGATACTGTGGGATTTCCGTCAAATGTACCCACCACAAATGCTCCATTTCCTATAAATGGGTCAGTAACATAAGCTTCTCTATTATCTCTAGTATCATTATTATCAGTCTCATTCGCATCACGAATGCTTATATCCGATTCGTCTTCAGAACTGTCTTCCTCCTCCTCAAAATTTTCATATCTTTTATTTTTATAGTTCTTTCCTAATTTAACAATTGTATTCATTGTCTCTTCAAAATTCGTTTGAAGGTCTGTCACATTTTTACGTAATTTCGTTATTGAGCCTTTTGTTCCTGAAAGGCTATCCTTATCCTTTTTTACACTTTCCTCAATGGAATCTAATCTTTCTTCAACGTGGCGAAAGCTTTGAGCCACGGAGCGCTCAAAGGAGCGAAGTTGTCTTAAAATCTTATCAAATGCCTTATTTTCTTCGTCACTGAAAAACTCAGCCGCAAAATCAGAACCTGACATTTTTTTTCTTCTTCAAATTTTAATCAAAAATATTTTTTCCCAAATCACTTTCACTATTTATCACTTCTTTTTTTCAATCTAATTTCTTTTTTTTTTTAACTTTTTGTTATCCAGACCAATTCTTCTTTTAATTTAATCTTCTCTTTAAATTTTTCTTCTTCTACTTTTTTCAATACAGTCTCTTTTTTTACTAAAATTCGTCTTTTTTTTTGCACTATAATCTTTTTTCTCTTCTTTTTTTAATCAATTTTTCACTCAAAAATTTCTTTTTCTTCTTCTAAATTCCTCAAATAAAGTCACTTCAAAAAAATTTAAATTAATTTTTTTTCAAAATTAATCTCCGTTTTAATTCGCAACGGGTTCGTGGCACCAGTGTTATATCCCGGTTCTTCTAATAAGTAATAAATTAAATATCTTCTTTTAAACACTCAAATAATCTCTAACTCAAACAATACTCAACAATTAATTATACACAATTTAATAAAGTTTATTTAAATAAGTTGGGTTTGGTTTGGGGAGCAAGTGTGATCAAGACAAGCTTGAAAATGGTGAAACACAAAAAGTATTTATATGTTTAGGGAATGGGCGGAAGAAGTTCAGACGAGGAAGTTGTAAAGCATAGATAAGAAAGTAAATTATTTAAAATAAATGAGAGTAAGTTTTAAGATCAAAGTAAATGTTTGTTTGAGGGAATGTTTTGAATATTTAGAATGGGAAAATAGATAACAAACATTTACAGCACATTTTGGGGTCAATAAATATTTGAAAATAATACATATTTTAAAAATAAATATTTAATGTCGAAATGAGGATCCAACAGATAACAACACTAATCATTGTCAAACTACTGATGTGAATGAAGATAGGATTGAAAACGCCATCAAACAATTTGACGAGGTTTTTTTTATTTATTATGTCTTCATATTTTATGTATTTAGATAGAACAAAAATGCGAGTCCTTCAAAGATCTGATAATGTCTGAAGCCAAATCTGCTGGACTTAAAGGGTTGTTTTTTTAAAAAGGTTATACTTTATGTTAATTTTAGTTCTCCAAATTTTGAAAAGCTGCTAGAAGAATCTGCATTTAGTAAGAATGTCCCTAGAGGAGGAAGTGAGGATTCAAGACCGCCGAAAACAACATGATTATTATGTGTAAATTAAGAATCTGCTTTAATAAATTTTTATTTTTTTATTTAAATTGGTTATTTTTTCTTACATATTTTTATTAAAATTCTTTTTCTACACTTTTACTTTTTATTATTATAGGAAGAACATCCGTTCAATATTTTACGATTTTAAAATAATTATTACTATTTTGAATTTAGATTTGAATTTAACTGGCATTGAATTTTTATGGAGGACAATACGTTCAGCGATGATGTAAGAATTTTGAAACATTTAATCCTTTTATTTTCTTATACATTAGTTCGATATTGATGACAGTGCAATGTCACCAAGTCAAAACAACCCACTAAATGACTACAAAAAACAGGCCCGCGCTCAACACGTATTTTTTATTATTTAATTTTTAAAGTTTAATCTTAATTGCAGAATGCATTGGAAAGACGACGACGTGACAATATTAAAGATGTAAATTTTGAATATTTTTTGAAATCTTATCAAATTACTTTAGATGTATTGCTCATTGAAGGATGGAATCCCAAATTTCTCCAGTGATCGCGTAGTTTCTTTTTAACTCTTATTCTTCATTTTTAAAAATTTTTTAGGCCTCTCGAGCTCAAATATTAAGAAAAGCTTATGAAACAATTCAAGCAGGGAATGACGAACTGAAAAATCTTAGCCAAGAGGTGAAAAAAATAGAAGAACATAACGAACATTTACGAAAGCAATTGGAGACACAAACAAAAGTTACGCGTTAAATAAGGATTTAATATCTAATTTTCAATTTGAGGGAATTGTATTATAAGTTAAAACTGTATTTTTGGGAACACCTTAGTTTTTTCTTATGTTTTCCCTCTTCGGCTTGGCTTATATGAAAGTTTTATTGATATAAGAAACTAATAGATCATCGAAAAATAATTCTGATTTATGTGACGGTGTTGAGGAAAAAAACAAAAAGAGAAGATCAAACATACATAAATATTTTGAGAGATTTGGCGCCAATCCCGACCTCGCTCATTGAGCTTAAGCAAGAAAGGTAGAGCGGCAAACCTTTTCATAAGATAAAAGTAGCAGAAATGGTGAGATGATCGATCGTCGAGGGCAACACCCACATTGGGAAAAGCGGAGGTTTTTTTCTTCTTAAATTCTTATAGTATATTCTTTTCGGCATTGCCCTATGGCAAAACAAATCCCTCACAATATTTATAAATAGTGAGACATTTCTTAAAGCAAATCCATGACAAAATGTGTTGGCCGTTCACTTGAATTGATGGCCAAAGTCGGCATCTTTTTGAGTTCTTTCTCCCCCACTTCAATAGGACAGCCGAAATATGAAAGGGCAGGCCCTCTCTCTCTTTGAAAATATCTTGTTTCTGTTTTATAAACCCTTATCGTCCTCCCTCTTATTTTCAATTTTTCGTATTGTTTTTATAAGAATAAAGCCATACAATTCAAAATTATACAAAGAAATAGTAGCGGAAAATCCCTTTTATTATAATTGTTGACAGTCGTCGGGCACTTTAAAAAGATTTTTCCTTTTAATGTTCCGCAATAAATGACAGCTGCAAAGAAGACGTGTTGATCTTCCAAACGCCTAAAATTGAGCGGGGCGTGTTCGCGCATGGTGGTAAAGTAAATAAATAATTTAAATAAATTTATGGCGACACCTTTTTTTATTTTTATTTATTTACTCGTGGATTCTCTTTTATTTTTATAGTTCATTAGTTTTCAGAATATAATTTTTAAGGGGAAGATAATCTAATTACATTATGCAGATCGGATATTCCCGTGACTCTTGAACTAAAAATAAATCCATCCAAGGGTCCCCCTTCTACCTTTTTTGGATTATTTTTATCTTTAAAATTTTTGAATTGTAGACAGAAATTTAAAATAAGGAATCCACCCATCTTTTCTGAAAATTAATTATCTGTAACTCATGCTTGCTTGCATGAACCTTTTTTAATTCCTGCGTGTGTCCTTTCTTTTGTGATGATTTTAATTAGAAGGATTGTAGTAATGAGAACAAACCACTCAGGGTTTAAGGCGGAGAAATAGGCGGAGATGGAATATTTTTTTCATTAAAAGAAAAGAAATGTGAATGTAGTATAGGAAGAAGAAAATATTAAACTGACAGCCGAGAGACTGAAATGCATTTAAATAGCCCCAAAAAAATTTAAGTTGGTAAGAAAATTATTTTTTTTGTATTTTTTTTAATTTAAATTTTTTTTAATTTTAAAAATCATTCCTCGAAATTAATATCTTCCAACTAAATTTTATAGGAGATTTTTCTAACTATAAGTTAATAGACCACATATATCTTTTGTTGACCTCTGATATCTATTTTTATCTTTGATATACCTTACCTTTTTTACTTTCCTTTTCAATTCGCAGTTTAATTCTAAAGAATTGCTCGGGCGAAAGAATTTATCGTTTAATCATTTTTATACTAATAACCATTATAACTTCATGCAAATGAAATGAGTAGGAACTAATAAGGGAAGAAAAAAATTACGTATATAATAATTGATAAATGTCTTTAGAATTTTTTGCACGTTTAAAGTTGAAGGGCAGGGGTTGATAAGAGAAAATTTATTTTAATTTTTTAAAAATAAAAATAGGTAATTAATTCTCCAATTTTCACCATTTTTCGTTGGGAAAGTGATTAATTATTCTCATACATTTAAAATAATTTTTTATAATTTTTTTATTTTAGTCCAAATCTCAAATGACTAATTACCAGCCTCTAATACCTTCAGAACAAACAATGGCCCCACAACAAATGCCCATTTTTGCAACTCCTCCCACCATTTCAAATACTCATCAAAATTCATTTTACGGGTTTGTAAACTCTGATGCTTCTCAAATTCTACCACAACACCAATTAATATATTCACATCCTCAACAACAACAAATTCCTTCACGTCAGCCTATTTCAATGCCTCCAAATTTTCAATGTTCAAGATCTCAAACAGAAGCTCATTTTTCATTGATTTCTGATTCTAAGGTTTTTTATTTTAATGACTAGGACATTATTTTAGCTTTGAAACTCTGTTTAACCTTATTATTTAATGATTCCTTATATTAAATTCCACATCTAAATAAACCATTTTCAGCCAATGGAGCTGTTCATCCCCGGCACTTCTACGATTGGCGATGGAATTGTTGATTGGGAGGTTTCTATAAACAAATCAAAATTCTCTGATGACGAAAAACACACAAAAGTTCCAGGACAACGCTATAAACGAAAAAGAACATTAAATGGTAGTGAGGAAGATGAGCCAAATTCTCGTCGAAAGCGATACGAAGGATTGATTTCTAATGAAGAAGCTTTATTGTTGAATGGATTTAGAACAAGTTCTCCTGAAGGTTTAATTTTTTAAATAAAGTTTTAGATTTGAGAACAATTTTAGATACAGAAAGATCACCAGTACCACATACTGAATTAGCTACCCAAGGATGTCATTCCCAAATTAACAACTGCAATAGCCTACCAATAAACTATTTTGAACAAACAAAGGAACAAAATGAAGAGGAGAATGATGATGATCGGTCAGCGACAGTAACGGGAGGCGATGAACCAACAATCTTTCCTTGGATGACCCGAGTGCATTCTTCAAGCAGTGAGTTTTGAGAAAATTAAATTAATTATTAGTTAGGGATTTCACCACCCTACCAGTCGCAATTTTTGGGATATTTTTTTCATTTTCCTTTATTTTACTTTCACCTTACAGTATTTTCTCATCAATCTTTTTTTCATTTTCTTTGTTATTTTCTCATTGATTCACCCTTGCTAGAAGAGAGGCTTCTTAAAAGCCGGTTTAACTAAGACTCCTCCCCGAGAGGCATTAACGGCTGCAAATCGATTGGGTGCAGATTTTATCTTTTTAAAATAACTGGCGGTCCTTTTTTTAAAAAAGTGATATGAGTACTAACTATTTAACTTTATACGTGAGTGAAAAGTGGAAAATTAAAACTCATTTATAACTTGTTAACTTGTAAAAATACTAGTTAGTGACAAATATTTCTTAGATTTCTAACGTTATTTTTTTAATTACAACGAGTGTGGGCAGAGAATAATAGTAAGAAAAAATACTCTGATATAATTAATTGTCTTGCCGTATTTATTTTGAGGGAGGACAATTGATGAAGGAAAAATTAAAATGCTAGTGATGATGCTATTCGCTGTGAAGCGCCTTCGGTCACTAACCAATCCAAAATTTCCTCTTTCTACTGTCCATTGAATTAGATTTTTAAAAAATAATCTGGACCAGAGTCCCTCGGATGAGCCTAAAAGCAATTAATCTTCACGCACGCTCTCGTTTCCCCCACCATATTTGACAGTTAATTATAACGGTTTTAGATTTTTTGAAGATTGGGATTGAAATGGAAAAAATGATTAAATTAATTTTTAGATTGTTTTTTAAAAAATAATTTAAAAGATTCTCTTTATCTCTTTTTATTTATATATTTTTTTTCTGTAAATCTAAATGACACAACCTAAAACAACCCAAACATCTGAGAGTGATTTACAGCAACAACAACAATTGTATTTCTACTTCCTTTTTCCGTTTAGTTTTTATTTTATTTTAAGATTTAATCTTGTTGGGCCACTATTTTTGCAATAATAATTTTATTTATTCTAATTTATTGCCTAAACCAATTTTTAGGGGGGAATGGGTCAACAAAACTTTTAATTCTTTTATTTTCTTAATTTAGATAAGGAAAATTATTTTTTTATTTTTTTTTGTAATGTTTGAATGATTCTTTTATTGGGATAAACTTTTCCCTATGTGAAAAGGAAATGTTAGAGATTTGTTTTTCCTAATTTTTGATTTATTTTGCCAAATTTACAAATAAATTTATTACAACAAAGCATATTTATGAGTGTGTACTTTCTTTCGATTATAACCCTTTTCGATTCTCGGCTGGGATTTATTCAACAAATAAATCAAAAATAGGCCTATAGAAAAGAGAAGCCACAAATCATCCAACCATTTTAGAGATTCCTGGGGAATTAAACGGGAAAGACAAATATTTTTATAAAAAAGATAGGATATAAAATTGAGCTTTAAATATAATTTTACAGGGTGCGGCAAATTTAGCGCCGACTTTGTTTTGCCTATAACTTTTTTAATTTTAAACGAAAATTGATAATTCTTTTTTTCCTGGATTCCCAACACTTTAGGAAAATTGTTGATACCAAAATCGTTTTTAAATTTTATAATTAAGTTTGATTAATTTTCTATCAAATTTCGAGCAAAAATTTTTGGATAAAATATGGCCTGGATTCAAGGCTATTATTTTAATTTATGAAGTTTATATATCATTCGAATCAGCTCTCCAATCTGATTCGAATGACGTCAAAATCAGGCGTCTATCAAATAAATGGACCGAGATATGGCTCACTGAATGATAAATTAAACAAATTTTGGCAAATACAAATTTTTTGTGTGAAATTTTCAAAAATGAGATTATTAGCTATTTCGATACGCCTGAACGAGATAAGTCGATTGGTACCAAAATTATTCGGATTGGATGATTTTGAACAAAGTTATGATCAATTAAACTTTGACATGAAAAATCCATTTTTACCCGTTTTTATGTTCGGACTCGTTTTTAATTGATATCCGCAAACAAAATGTTTATTATTTGGTACCAATAGATTTCCTAAAGTGTTAGGTGTAAAACAAAAAAAGAATTATCAATTTTCGATTAAAATTAAAAAAGTTATAGCCAAAACAAAGTCGGCGCTAAATTTGCCGCACCCTGTACAAATAAAACAAATATTAAAAATTATTTCTAAAAAATTTTTACAGATTCAGCTCGTGGCGAAAAACGTCAACGAACTGCTTATACACGGAATCAAGTATTAGAGCTTGAAAAAGAGTTCCATTTTAACAAGTGAGGGATCATTATATAATTTAACTTAATTTAAATTAATTTTAGATATTTAACTAGAAAAAGGAGGATTGAAATAGCCCATACACTTATACTTACAGAGAGACAGGCATGTATTTATAATTTTTTGGAGTATATTCAATTTTTTCAGGTAAAGATATGGTTTCAGAATCGCCGGATGAAGCACAAAAAGGAGAGTAAAGACCATCAACATCTTCAACAGGCACAGCAACAGGTTTTAAGTTCTGCACTTGCCCAAGCACAAGTAGCTGCTGCAGTTCAATTAGCTATACAGCAACAACAACAAAATTCCCTTAGCCATTCAAATACTTCAACATTCCATTCACAATCGTCAATACAAAGACAAGAAATTGAAGAAATAAATAGTGATAATACTAACAGACAATTCTTGGTTGGAAATAATGGTATATAATTAAAGAAAATTGAAGAGGAAAAATGATTGATTCACAAAATTATTATCTTTAAAATGATTATTTTTATGTTGCATATCTTTATTTAACAATTGCAATCCCATTTTACTACTAAATCTATCTCTTCAAAAGCTTTCTATTTTATTTTTCGTTTTTAAACTTTTATTATCTCCTTCCATCCCAGATTAATCTAAAGGTTTCCATCAACAACAAAAAATCGTTTTTGATTATGAATAAATAAAATGTTTAGAAATGAAGTATATTTTGTTTTTTATTCTCATTATAATACTTTATGTGTATATTAATTATAATTTAATTTCTTCATGAATTTAATTAACTTATTCTCGTAATTTATTGAATTTAAAAATTAGTTTAAGGCCAAAGCTTGATTCTTTTCCAATTTGCACCGACTTTTTTGTTAGTTTCGGATATCCGAAGAATTTCTTAAGACCAACAAACTTAAAAACGTCAATACATTCCACCTTTTAAATTTAATTTATTTCAAATTTGAAATTTTTATTTTCAAGGTTATAGTACTCTTTAAATTTATTATGTAGCAAGCTGTGACGGATAAGAATGTTATTTCTCAAATTTTTGAAGGAAAAATGGTTCGTTTTACTGTGCCTGGTAAAAATATCCATTTAGAGGAGCACAAAGCCTTTCTTATTTTTGAAAGGTCTTTTTTTGTTTTAGATACTGTCATCCAATAAATAAATAAAATTCATTTTTAACTACAATCATGAATTATTTCGAATCTGATAAGAAAATTTTTTATGATTAAAATAACGAGTGTCCTTAAATAATTTTCTTTTCAGGCTGACTCTGGAGATAACCAACCAAATGATTCCCTGAAACTCGCGTTGACGTGATAAGAAGCATTTTTAACTGATAGATCAGCATCATTGTTAATCAGAAGACTACAATCTCTGAAGCCTTTGGCGAATGGGTTGCTCTCGATTTTTAATTCTGTAATCTGAAAATAGGTTTTATAATTAACGCTATTTACTAAATTAATTCCCCACCCTTAAATGCCCTACAATTCGTTCATATTTCAAAACTCGAATAATTTCCCTCGAATAATTTATCCTACGGATGGGTTTGAATATTAATTCCACCGGGGAATTAATCGAGTAAATACGGTTCTATTTTTATTAAATAATTTTAGTTAATTCAGAACTGACGCGATGATTTTGATAAGCAGTGACAGCCATAAATGCAGTCTCTTTAAAAATAAAAGTTTTTCTTCTGTTCAATGAACTGGCTTGGTCTACATGCACAACCAAATGGAATCGAGGTTGATAACGATGCATTGAGTTGACAATTGCCTGATTAAAGGTATTTAAAAGGTTTAATAATTATTTCTTAAAAACAAATTATATTTTTGGCTTTCCTCCCCTAAAAGTTTGAATGTTTTTAAGAATACATTTTCACTTTCCTTTTCACTTCACAAATTATTTACGGCTTTCTGAGCGAGAACAGATGTATTTTTATGAAAAGAAAGTTGGAAATTTTCGCTAAGAGTTTTTTCTTTCAATAAATCTACCACTTGTGGTTTTATTTTATAGTAAAAGATTAGAGGGGAATCGACAGATTTTAACTACTTATTAAGCATATTTGTTCGAGACAAGTAACCTCACTAATTTTAGATTCTTGGGAGCGAAAAGCGAAGGTTAGGTATATTTTTTGAGAATTATTTACATGGCCATTCTGGTCTAATGGATTGTTGGTTAATTTGATCTTGTCAAAGGTTACAACAGCTTGCCTTTCCCAATGCGCACCATTGGCTGGCGATTCTAAAGTTTTTAGTCTTTTAAATTATTAATATGTGTTTGCCTGGATGGAGTTGCATTCTGGCTGGGAACTCTGTCTCACCTAATTTTAAATTTATTTAAATGGACTTTTCAAATACCTGGACCAGCTACTGTCCACTTTGAGTGGTGGAAGGAATATCTAGAAAAATAATAAAACACAAGTAAATTGTTACCGGTATCGTTTCTGGTCAGTGCATTGAAAATCCACCATTAGTGAATAACTAGAATAACGGCTAAACTAAAACTTTAAAAACTAAAGACTTTAGACTCGGTTCTAATCCATATAGAGAACATTGTAGTGTGGGAAACATTCTTCGGCCACTTCTAGTCACAATCATTTCAGTACCCAAAGAATTAAATCGCCGCCAAAGTTGTACTCCTTCCAGGCGTATTTCTGCCTTTTGTAGTGCCCAATAAAGCCTTTCATCTTGTGAAGATGGAATAATGTTGCTTTCCATAATAGGGATATTTCGCGGTATTTTTGTTTCCAAAATTGAGTCGATAGAAAAGTCGAGAGTCTTTCTTTTTCTCATTTTATTTTCTGACATAACAGAAGGGTTTCAGTCAAATAATCATTTCTCGAAGACTGGATTATACAAGTTGTAATGAACTGAATGAATGAAAAAGAAAGTCCTCACTTTTGCTTATATTCTGCTAAACACTTTCAACAAATTTTTAACATCTGGACAACCGAGAAATAAAAATAAAATTTTCCAAACTTTTTTTTCTTCATTTCTACTGTAGTTGAATTTTTCAACAAATTCAATATTTTTTAAATCTAAAAATAATTTATTCAATAATTTTTAAGCGAAAAAAATTTTTCATTTCATAAAGTGCCTCTTTTAAAACACATTCCTTTTACATACATCTATATATTTCCTTTATTTATTTTATATATCCCTTTTCCTTTATCTATTTTAGTTTTTACCTACATTCCTTTTAAGTTACTCTACAATTTTCCATATGCCATATTCCTCAAATGCCATTTTTTCATTTATATCCGCGCGCAAATTACCCACCTCCTATCGGCCAAACCCGAACATTCTTCTGATTTAAATATTAAATTATTAAGGGTCAACAACAATTTTTTCAAATGTTTTTAGAAAAAATAAAGCCATTGATGCTGAGAAAAGGGCAAGCTAGACAAAAAC